AAAAGAATAATCAATAAATAAAAACCCACATGTGTTCCCTCCGAGCTCGTGGATCGGATACTTGCTTTTCCTGTTTTTTTTTTTTTTTTTTCGCAACAAAACCCAAGCCACGGCGGCCCCATAGCAAAGGGCCCGTGGTCGTTGGGTTGGGTTGCCCATCCTCACAGGGTACTTGCTGACTCGAATCCCTCATTCCACCCGTGTCGTCGGTGACAACAGCGTGGTTTTGGAAAACCTGGCACGGCCGAAAGAAAATGGCAAACGGCTGAGAGAGACAAACGATCCTAGCTCCTTCGCGACCCTTGAGGGGCAACCGGCTGATTGCTTTTGGGGTTTGCCTCGAGAGAAATAGGGAAAACGAAGGCTAATTATCCCTCTCCTTCTTTTTTTTTTTTTTTTTCTCTCGAGACAAGGGAAAACCCACCGTTTCCCTTGATAATTTGGGTCCTCGATACGCAACACACAATGCCGTGTACGACCCATCTTTTCTCGCAGAAGAAACCATTCCGAGGCCAGGGCCTGGGAAGCCACCCAGAGACGCCCGCCAAGTGGTGGGCAGAAGGGGGAATGGATCGAGGGATAGTAGGGCCCGAGATCTTATACAAACCCTCGGACCTTTTCGCCTTTGGCCGTATCGATCCCGCTTCTGCAGCCACTTGGGCTTAAGATCTTACATATACCCGCTTGAACCATCACCTCGGGACGCCGTCTGACAGGCTGCCTCTGCTCACCGGTATCTGTCAGCCCTTGCAACTTGCCTTGACCGAGTTGCCACGCCAAGTCCCCTCTTTCCAGTCTAAATCAACGTCTCGCACAACTTGTAGGTTCCGACTTTTCGCGTTTGCCGGTCGAGAACATCTCAAGCTGACGAGATCTCACAGCTTTGTAATAACCGCCAACCTCTCTCTCTCTCTCTCTCTCTCTCTGTCTCTCTCTCTTGATACGGCTTTCTACACCCCGCCATCATGTGCGAGTGGTACCGACGCAACTATGCCTGCGGGCATCACTTCACGGGCGCCTCCGAGTGGTGCTACCGGTACAGCCAGACCCAGAAGCGCTGCAAGGTTGTGGTGACACAGGTCGATTACGACTCGTCTGTGTGCAAGAGCTGCATGAAGAAGGGCGTCAAGACCGAGGTGCCCTGGGAGCACATGATTGACCGATCCAAATTCGACCCCAATCAAGAATGAGTTTGTCGTCGTCGTGTCGTCGTCGTCGTCGTAACGACTATGATGGGCGGACGAGAGAAACATCCACAACAATTTCCTACCGACGTACTTTTGTCCAAAGACGCCCTCCGAATGGCGAGAAATTGTTCGGGGCGAGAGATGGATCCTCCCAAGACGTATTCACGGGGTGGTCATCGGGGTCGTGTGGCTAAGTACGTCTATGGCTTATTAGAGCATCAGGGAGCGGCGCACCTTATACCCATTTGATTTTTACTTGTTGGACTGGATTTTGTCCTGCGATGGCGGTTGCATTTGGAGTTTTGGAAGCGGGATCTTCAAAAGTGTAATTTTTCCACCTTGGTAGACTTTATCGGTAATGGTCGGTTGAACCGATCTCAATAATGACGAATAGGATATCACTCGTCTTGAGATATCGTGGTGCATTTTGCATGCTGCTTAGACGGGTACCGCAATACCGCGGTGTGTCGACTGTTCGTGCTTTTGCTTCACACCGGCGAGTGCCTCATTGGGCTCAGCGTACTCCTGATGCCGCTTCGTGGTGCACTAGAATTGAGAATCGACCTTGCCACCTCATCAGAAATGTCAAGTCTCAGATCTCAGACATTGGGCCATCTGGAGGGGCTGGTTAGCGTGGTCAGCTGTGGCAACCGAAGAGGATCTGAAATCTGCTTAGTCGACTGACAAATGACAGCCCGTGAAAAAGGCTCATGAACCATCTGCGTTCCGCATCGAACGGTACAGCGCATGGCGTTCCATGTGAAGGTCGACTCTGACAAGCCTGGACGCACGAGGTTTCTGTCGCATGGCAAAAGAGGGAAGGGGGTTCAGGGACACCGAGTGGTTGAGACCCTCTCATCCTCTCAAATCCCGAAATGACACGGGTATTCAGTTTGTGAGACAAATGCTGGCATGAGAGCCGCGATCCAAGGTGCCAAGATCCACGATCCGTGTTCCACATGGCCTCGAGATGCGGAGACGTAGCATGCCTGGTTCAGCAGTGACGTTTGAACTGAACCAGAGCTGACGGAAGAACCAGCCACGGAATTCCTAAGGTCTGGTCTCAATGAATATTGACAAGACTCGGGTACCCGTGACAACGGCTAATTAGATGGATGTTGGAAACGGAACGTTCCTTGGCGAGGGCGACCTGGGCATCAGGTCGATCAGGTCGCCTGGCACCGTTGTCAATCTCACATCGTCCGGAGGTCCACTTGTTCCGAACGGCTTTGGCGGCTTAAATCCACCTAAAAATTGGAAAAATGCCGGCCAATTTGATACGACGTCCCGGGTCCGTCGATGTAGGTGATGCGATCATTGAACGTCGGAAGATGGACGGGGCCAAGATCGGGCGCGCGGGCATCATGGCAGTCACGCGCGGCCCGGCGCCCCTTCCCTTCCTAGTCCGACGGACCCACCTTATCGGTTGATTACCTAAGATGTCGCGGCCTCTAGCAAAGAAGATGGGGTACTCTGAATTGGCGACATCACAGTTTTTAACGTCTCAGACATGTTCAACAGTTCTGTCATGGTTTGGGGAAATCATCTTCAAGTGAGGTGGCCTTGTATCTCTTCGTTACTCAACCAGAATTACGACTCGAGAGTCTGCACAGCAGAGAACGGCACGACTCCCCACCACCTCGGGCCCCCTCTACATCGGTAACACGGTGCCCACTCCCGGGACAGACAGCTCTGAATGGTCCGCCACCGCAGTCGGCCACTTGATCGCTGCTACTTTCCTTTAACACCCCCACCCACGGAGCGAAATATCCACTCCTTCGCAGACCATCAGCTAATCCCGTCAAAGAATAAGGTGCCCCGAGTTGGTGGTTAGCCAATGCCAAACCAGGCTCATCCGGGTCTAGCCATGTCACTATCTAATTCGCCGAGTGAGAGGAGTTTTTTCCCCTGGTCGTTACATTGTTTTGCGCGCAAATCTCGCTTCCTCTCACGCCACGGCCTTTGTAACCTTTGTAACATCGTCCCCCTCTCACCTCTCTCACGACGTTGACTTAAATTGAGATTTTATCGCATCTTTGGCGCACCGTCAACACTGAAAACTTCACTCCTCGTTGAATAGATTTTTGAAATCGCCAATCGCCCCAAAGCTGCAACCATGGGTCAACCCTCCTTCGCGGCGTCCAACGCCCTCATCTACGTGACTTATGGAGTCTTCCTGTATGAACTTCGCGCAACTCTTCCATCTCAACTCCCTCGATCATTGTTGCTTTCCTTCACAATTAAAGAGCATTCAATGCTGACTTTTTCGGGGGAACCCCGTGTACAGGATCACCGGTACTGCAATTGCGTGGAAGTTCCGCAATCAGTCTAAGGGAGAATTCCTGTCTGGAAACAGAACTCAGACGGGTCAGGAACCTTTTCCCCTCTCATGATGAGTGAGAGTGAGAGAGAAGGAGAGTGTTGATGCGGGGCGAGGCTGAGCCTTTTGTTTCTGACCGCGGCCGCAACTCTGCGCTCTCATCTCCGATTTACATGAGCACTCTCTCCTCTCATTCGAAAACCAAAAACCCGTGCGCTGCAAACTAACACCAAACCCTCCCCACAGCCTTCCCCTTGGCCCTCAACTTCATCGCCTCTGGTGAGTGAAGAAGACGCGGGCGGTCCAACCACTGCGCTTCTTAGTCCGATTAGCTCTTCTTTGAGAAAAAAAGAGCGGCAGAACACGGCACGGAAAACAGCAAAGACTACGCGAGAAAAGTTCCACGAACCACGCCATGCGGCCAGTAAAATGCATGGCTCAGATGGAACAGACGCCATGAGATGACCGACTTCTCCATCCCGTCCTCCCCACGGTTAGAGTAATCGTGAGACGAAAGATCAGGGTGACGCATCCAAACGAGACTGACAGGCAGGTTCGTAACCCAACAAAAGATCAACAACTCCTCGACTCCCTTTCCCCCCCACCTCCCTTTATCTGATCTCATCTTCTGAACGGGGGAAGACAACACTCCTAACCTTCTGGCCACCGAGGCGTACAACAACCTCCGGTCTGGCCAGAATTTTCCGTGGAAACCCTTTCCCCCCTTCTTCAGGTGTTATCAGAAAAAAAGGGGGATGGGGGATGGGATCATCGGGGATGCGGCTCACTACGGGCGCGGATTTGAAGCAGTCGCCGCGCATCCACCCTCTTTCCCGTTCGTTTCCTCTGAGAGGGGAAAAGCGACACAGGACGGAGGAGATGCCGCGATTCTTGCGGAAATGAAGCTGAGATTGCACCGTAATTACTCGATCAAGTTAATGCTTGCGTGGGAAACGTGCTGCCGCTCCGAACATCTCTCCCCCTCCCTTTCCCTTCCCCGTCTACTTCGCTTGTGAAATACTAACACGCCCCCCAAGCCCTCGGCTCCGGCATCCTCTTCTCCTACCCGGAGCTGGCCACCATCACCGGCGTCCAGGGCGTCCTGGTCTACGCCCTCGCGTCCTCGCTCCCGCTCCTCATCTTCGCCGTCCTGGGCCCCGTCATCCGCCGCAAGACCCCCGAGGGCTTCGTGCTCACGGCCTGGACGAGGCAGCGCTATGGCACAGTCGCCATGCTCTACCTCAGCTTCATGACCCTCGTCACCTTGTTCCTCTACATGGTCGCCGAGCTGTCCGCCATCGGGCAGGTCGTCAACGCCCTCACGAACCTGGACGGGCTGCCCGTCATGATTGTGCAGTGCGTCGTCACCACCATCTACACCTGTAAGTCCCAGTCCTAGAAACCAGGGCATCTATCCAAGCTCAAGCATGGCGGGACCCTGACCAACGCTTCCCCAGCCCTCGGCGGTTTCCGCATCTCCTTTGTGACGGACAACATCCAGGGCGCAATGGTTATCGGCCTCATCATCATCGTCGCCATCACGATGGGCGTCAAAACCGACATTGACACCTCTTTAATCGAGCCCTCGGGCCTGCTCAAGCCCACCCTCCTCGGCTGGCAGCTCCTCTACATCCTCCCCATCTGCATCCTCACAAACGACTTTTTTCTCTCGGGCTTCTGGCTCCGCACCTTTGCCTCCAAAACCGACAAAGACCTCCGCGTCGGCGTCTCCATCGCCGTCGTCATCATCCTCTGCATCCTCACAATGGTCGGCGTCACCGGCCTCGTCGCCGCCTGGTCGGGCGCCCTACCGCTAGACCAAATCGCCGAAAACGGCTCCGTAGCATTCTTCCTCCTCCTCCAGCAGCTCCCCGCCTGGGTCGTCGGCATCGTCCTCGTCATGGTCTGCACCCTCTCCACCGCCGCCTTTGACAGCCTGCAGTCCTCCATGGTCTCCTCCGCCTCCAACGACCTCTTCCGCAACCGCCTCAACATCTGGTGGATCCGCGGCGCCGTCGTGCTCATCATCTTCCCCACCGTCGTCATCGCCCTCAAGGCCCCCTCCGTCTTGCAGATCTACCTCATCTCGGACCTCGTCTCCGCCTCCGTGATTCCCGTCCTCGTCCTTGGATTGGTGGACCGCTTCTACTGGTGGCGCGGCTTCGAGGTTGTCGCCGGCGGATTGGGCGGCATCCTGACCGTCTTCCTCTTCGGCCTCGTCTTCTATGACGGCGACGCGCAAAAGGCCGCGAACCTCCTCATCATCTCCGAGGGCCTGTACGCCAACGACTGGAGCGTCTTTGGCGCCTTTGTCGCCGCCCCCGTCGGTAGTTTCCTCTGGGGCTTCGGCGCGCTGGGGTGCCGTCTGGCTTTCCAGTATGTCCTGGCCAAGAAGAGCGGCCGCCGCTTCGACGCGCTTGATCGTCCTGTTGGGCCCGGGTTCACCCCCGAGGCTGATGGCGTCCCTCACTTCGTTGAGAGGGACGAGTACGAGGCTAACTCTGAGGTCGAGGCCATCAAGCCCGCCGGCAAGTTCTTCTGAAAGGTAAGACCTTGACCTTGAAACTTGGCCTGCTCTTTGGAGCAAGCAAAGCACAAGTGATTAAAGTGGTGTTTTATCAAAACGCTGCTTAACACTTGCACAACAACCTACATCAAAATATGGAGAGGGGGCTAGATACCCACGGAAAGGGGGGGAAGAAGGGGGGAGATTTTGATTCTTGTATTTGGTGGTCGGAGAGTCTTTTTGCTCCTATGCAATCAGGCTTATTCTTTAGCCAGTTAATCAGACACATATAATACACTCATTACATGTTTGGTTTTACTCCTCATGCACACATTCGCCTTCGCCACCGCCTGTCGTTACTATGAGCGACAGCACACAACAGTGTCCGCTCACAGACGAGTCCCCCGTCTCTTGGCAAAGTCCTTCCTCTCCATATCCGCCATGCCCTTCTTTTCCAACTCCCAGTCCTCCATCGTCGTGGCACTGGTGTTGCCCCATACCAGCCACTTCTTTGGCGCCCACGTCTTGGGGTCGAACTGCCTGCTCATGACAAAGTACTCGGTCTGCTTCTGCACCCGCAGCCCGCCCTTGACAGGCTTGCCAGTCGTCCTGTCGACTTTCCCCAGCTTCTGCGAGCTCGAGATGGCGACAACGACCTGCTGCACAATGGGCGCGCGGCCCAGCGGCGGCATCATGGCAACCTTGTGGCTCACGACCCGCGGGCGGCCGTCGTACCGCAGCAGCTCCCACGTCAGCCTCTCGGTCGTCTTGCGGCGCGAGACGGCGGCCGAGAGGGTCTGGAAGAGGGCCGGGGTGCAAATTTCGCGGAGGGTGTCCTTGTCGCCGGCGGCCATGGCCTCGCCGAGGCGGCGGTGCAGGGCTTTGGCCTCGGGGACGAGCTTGACGCGGTTCAGCTTGCACCGCGGTCTGGTGGTCCAGGTCGGCATGGAGGAGACTTTGGCGCCAAAGACGGTGAGAAAGTCCTGGGCGCGCTGCTTGAGGCGGGCAAAGGTGTATTCCCATATGGCCTTGGGGGTCTTTTCGAGCTGGGAGAAGGGTAGGGCGACAAATGTTCCTGTTTTTGGTTCCGTGTTAGCGACCTGTCCTACCTTCCTCTCTGTTTCCCCCCCTTCATTTTCCTCCATTCTTCCATAGAACAGGGGCATATGTTCAGCAAGCCTCTCTTAACGCCGGTTACGCACCTGGGAGCATAATGTGTGCCATGGCCATGGACTTTTCAATCTCGCTGGCGGAGTACCCGCCATCCCCCTGGGAAGCCTGCTTGTTCAGGCGCGAGCTCATGCGCAGGTCCGCCGCGCTGCCCTTGCTCGCGTACCCCCTCGTCGCCGTCACCGTCATCGTAGGCGCCGCTGCTATCCTCTTGGTCGCGGGAAGGACTCTGGTGAAGGTCTGCTGCGGGCGCATGGCGGCGCTGCCGAGGCCGAGCAGCGGCCTCGCGGATCGGTACATGGCGCGCAACGGGTTGGTCGATCTCGTCTCGTTTCTTTCGTGCGTGGTTCGCGGTCGTCTCGGAGAAGTTGGCTAGCGCCGGAGTCAAGGAGAGGGTAGACTCTGGGAATGGTCTGATTCCGAACTGGTCGTCCTTACCGGGGAGCTCTCTCTCTCACGACCTTCGGCAACCAAAAAATCCAATTGGAAAAAAGGGTGGTCCAAGCTTTCGGGGGACATTTTTCGTCTTGGGATCCGCAATTCGGTCGGAGGGCACGGACCATATCATTGCCATGTAGACGCAGGTCGGGTTATCTAAGGTAGCCACACTGTGGCTGGAGCTCTTTCCTCCGCTGAACCTCGACTGCACCAATCACGACCTTGTCAATCATCAAGCCACGTAGAGTGGATTGTCGCTTCCAAAAATGACGACGCCGCAGGGTTGTGGTATCCGTAGATGATGTGTGTCGGACTCCGCAATGAGGGAGAGAGAGGTATTCGTACCTTACGCTACGTTTACGTACCTTACCCATGGTCGGGCAGGACCCTGCTGTCATTGTCTCAATTCGCATCCACAAGGGAAGCCCGACTAATAAGGTACCTGCTCAGAGACGACGTAATTAGCAATCAAGATAATGTGAGGTAGCGAATCTGGAAGGTAGGAAGATGCAAGCTTCACCTTCTTTTGGAAAATCAATTAATCCAAACTCTTTTTTTTTTATCTAGTCTATAACCTTAGCCAATAGCTCATCATCCAGACCAACTTGATTCGGCGATTTTGGAATCCCACGCACACACACTCTCCGCAATTGAGACTCGTCGACGCTATTGCGGCACGCGACCAAAGGTACCTACCTGGCTTTGCCCCCACGTCGTCCTCGTCCTCATCCTTCGAGACTCCAAATAACCCCCAAAAGGGTCCCTCTCACTCACGCTCCATCACGTCGGCATCCCCTCTTCTAACCCCCGGCCGCCTCCAACTTTTGGGTGGTCTCTGTTCCTTGGAACATATCTGTCCAAAAAAAGACAAGGAAAGAGGGAGAAGAGCCGCATCACAGCCCAATCTCAAGTACTGGACCACGACGCCGAGACAATCTTGGAAGCACAAGTACGTCGGAGTTCCCTTTTGGTCAGCCACTAGGTAGTTCTTGACCGGACCTTGCTTCTTCCAAACTTCCAGAAACCCGCTCTGCTGCTACACTATACTACCTACTCGACAACCTTACCTACCTCGGGGTTCAAGGTCCTCAAGGGCCTAGACGCCCACCGGACTCTACGACCAACCGACCATCTCTCAATAGCTTCTCACTTACCCCCTCCTCATCTGCCACACCCTGTCTTTCACTTTCGATCTGGCCCTTCCCTCCTTCGACAGCCCTCCAAACTCCATGCCGCCGTCGCCGCCGCCTCTGCAGACCACCGCATCCGAATCCCCTCCATCAATGGCAGCGCAATCCGCCGCAACACCACCGCCTCACCGAGCTTAGATGGCCCCCCTCGCGCGCGCCGTCTCAAATCACCACCTACAGCACCAGCACCAGCACTACCGCACAAACGGCACCCCGATTCCTACGAACGGCGCTCCGACCGCCCTCCCTCCGGCGCCGCCGCCGCACGTAAACGCGGATACAGACGACACCGCCTCCGGCCTGCCGCCTCCCTACAACCCGGACCTCGTCTCATCCTCCCTTCTCGAACCCCGCATCGCCGTCGTCCTCAATGTCCCGAAACCATGGCGGCCCTGGCTCTTCGCCTGCCGCCTCCTCTCCATCGGCCCGGCAATCTTCTGGGCTCTGCAGCCCGCCCTGACTCTCCTCGTCCAAATCATACCCGTTGCCGTCCCGGGGGGCAAGAAGGCCATTGATGCCGCTGCCGCCGCCGCCTCTGGAGTCGGCGTCGGCGGTGTGGTTGGCGGCGGGTTCGCGGGCAGCACGTGCCCCCCGCCCAATTGGCCCCCCGGACACCCCGAGATCCCATTCCCGTGGACCGAGATGTCACTGGGGCTCATGTGGGTATGTGGGATTATTGCTCTTCTCCGCGTTCTTTGTGGTTGTGGTGCCGTCGTGTTGGCGATAAAAGGACGAGATAAACCGCTAACTTGGACCTCGTATTAGTGCGGAGCTTCCGCGTACCTCTCCTTCTTTTTTATAGACTGCTTGATGTCACGATGGTCAGTTGAAATATCCCCTTCCCTTTTCCGGTTTCTATTCCACAGCGGGCCCGTCTAACACCCAACAGGCTCATCAACTACACCCCGCAAGCGACAATCATCCGCCTTCTGACGATCAACTCCACAAACGCTTTCCTCACCGAACGAATCCTCACATTCTCCGGCGGCTTCGAGGACCCAAGACTCCTTCTCCCAGGCTGGGTCACCATAGCCACGGTCAGTCCAAACATTTCCTACCCCTCATCCCGCCTGTCACTATACACCCCTCGCCCCAAAACCCCAAGCTCAACACCAACTAACACCCGTCGCCCGCTCGCGCACAAGGAAAGCAGACCCTCACAATAGCATACCACATAACCCAACGAAGCATAAACATCCAAAAAGAAACCTCCACCTCTATCAACATCTTCTCCATTGCCAGCTTCATCAGCATGATTTCCCTCCTTGCCCACCTCCACTATAACGGCTCAGACTATCCCGAGAAACCCTTTGAGTCCCTGGCCAGGTTCCTGCTGCAGCAATTTGAACGTCTCACCGGCGAGGCTATCCTGCCTTCGTACTCGCCTTCGCATAATGAGTTGTAAGAAGAGGCGCACGATCGAAATAGAATATTCTGGCTACTTAATGGCGAGAACCGGGGGAGGTGGGAACTCGGATTAGGAGACGGTCCCCGTGAGCTACGGGGAACGGTAGCGCTGAGCGACAGGGAGGGATAACGAGCTTGTTGAACAGTGATGTGTGTGCAGACATGTGCTTTGAGAAACATAGATACCCCAAGTGCCAATTATGCTGCAATACGAATGGTTCCCTGTCCCCATGTCGCCTTGGTTTGAGCTATGATGAGAAATCGTGGTTGAAATCGGATCAGTGAGGTAGCTACGCAAGTGTTCAGTTTGGATGGGGAGATTAAGTGGAAAATCTTCATCTTGCCTACGCAAAGTCTCAAAGCAAGACAAAGATTTGGGAGTTTAAAAGTCGACTCCCGTACGATCAGCAACGTGTCCCTGACTCGTGAGATGGCAAGCAACTCTGGGTTGATAAACATTTTGAGAATGGGGGAATGCCCGTGGCACAACCCTTACCAATTCACAAAAGAAAAGAAAAGGCAGCTCCTTTTCACAGACCATTTCACAAGCATGAAAAGAGACACTTGCGACAAGTTGTTTATTTTCATAGACTATATCTCTGGACCGACCAAACTGTCAATAGGAGTAAGGCGGTGCCTTTTGAGATGCTCGAAATCTAACCGTCTCGTCATGCGTCGAAGCTGACGCAAGTCGCCCTAAACCTCCACCGATAACCTCTTCCGTCGGTGGTAGGTATACCGTCCTACTACGTCACATAGGGAGCCGGCACTGAGCGGCGTCGGAAGGCGGGAGGCTGCTATGCCCCCTTATCATCCTCAGGCCCGGACGTCAACCATAGCCAGTTTGGCCAAGGTTGGTAGGAACGGTGGCGACTTGCGGCGTGCTTAGAAACCGTGGACCTTGATGGTCTTGGAATCCAATCCGAGTCCCTCCTTGGTGTTGATGAGGAACTCTTGCACGACCTTGCGCTGATCACCTTGGAGCTGGATGACCTCGCCCATCTCGCTGTCAGCTACGATGGTGCCATTGCAAGCTAGACAGAAGGATATTAGCCGGCTTTCGAGGTCGGGGTTGGAGCGGGGTAAATCGTACCAAATTGCTTCTTGATGACCTTGAGAATTTTCTTCTGGTCGAATTTCTTCGGGAGACCCTGAACGGTGGTCAAAGTCTTTCGTCCATTGCGTTCTACAAGCCGTTTGTTAGTAGTTGTATTGTATATTGGTTTGATGTCGTCGGGCCTAGCAACGCAGTGTCGGGACGTGCGGCAATTGTGTATCTTGACAGCGAGGATCGGAGATTCGCGACGTACGTTGAATCCGAATATGGATATAGTTTTGAGACTGTTTGGTCTCGCCGGTGTCTTCGTCGGCTTCGGCGAAGGGGTCTAAAGCACGAATATAGTCAGTGTTTTGGTGATGGAAAATCGGGGCGGTCAGGAGGTCGAGTGCGACGTGTTCCGATCTCCAGAAGGACAGCGTCCCGAGGGAGTGGAAGGAACAGGGCGGCGATTGTCGTAAATGGAGGAGAGACGAATGTAGCAGTGACGTACCGTAGGACTTGAGATTTTCAATTGACATAAACTCGTCTGTTCGGGGGTGACTTTGGGAAACGGTTTGGGTGACGTGTGTCGGAGGGTTAGCGACGGACGGCTTGGAGGGCGGTCTCGCTGTAACTGTTGTTCAAGTCGCTGAGTTGCTGATGCGAAGAATGCGGGGACAACGGTTGTTTTAGCGGTGATCTGTCGTTGTTGTTGATGTATTTGTTTAATGGTGGTGAAGTGGTGTAGGTGGTAGAAAAGGAGATCGCTGGGCTGAATATATACGTCGGAAGATTTAGAGGGGGTAGACGGGCCTGCAGATCAATGACTGATGTTAGGGCGGGCAGGCGGGTAGGCCGCAAGGTGAGTAACTTGGGAGGAATGACGGATTCGGGAGGGCACTGAACAGAGTCGCAGAGGGCGCTGCAGCCAGGTACCTGCCTACCTTACCTTATCTGCCCGCCCGTATGTAGCGACGTACCCCTTAGCATGAGCAAGCCGGAAGACACGAGGGGCAACAATGCACGGGCCACTCGCTGTTTCTTGTGCCTGGCTGAGAGCCTGAGCCAGTGGAAGACGGAATCGCGTGAACCGCTGACAGCGCCCGATGGGAGAGATAAGGCAATGGGACCGGGAAGTCTCTGATTATCCAGTTTCTGACCTAGGTAGGGATTCATCGTACCGTACTTCACACCGTACTGGTAGCCCAGTCGTTGGACATCCTCCTTCTCGTCACCTCGCACAGCTCGATGGGTTACTCCCCCTGCTCCCTTCATCCCAAAGTCAGTCCTCGCAGTGAGCACGTAGTGACTGACAAACCGGTCCGAGTCCTGCACAAGACGAAGGTTACCCTACTATGTACGTGGTTGGGTGTCACACTCGGCACAATCACACCAGCACGGCCCACACCCAGTTGTGGCTGGACTTGTCGAGTCGCGCCGTCATTGCGACCCCATGATTGTCCCCTGGCTATATGCGGTTTAGTCGGCGGGATGCCCAAACAATCTGTGGATGCCCTCCGCAGCTCGTATCTCGGCACTTTGCGCTACCCGGCCCCCAAGTACAGCCCCGGCGAGGCCTCTGCCAGGACGTCGGCGCCACCGGAGCTTCCTTGATACAGCTGCCAGAGGTCTCTTGTCAGCACCAACTACCTCCTTCAACCACGTCCCTTGGACTGAGACATGGGCAATCATCTGATAAGGAACCCACCTGGAAAGAGTGGTAGCCCAAGTGAGGCACATTGCTATTTGTTTCGTCTGCACGAGAAATCCTTCCTCCCTGCGTCTGCGGCGTCTGCATCGACGCCAACTTCCAGACCTCGCGCCTCGAGCGGCCATCTGATGCCAGCCGGCACAGGCTGTGGAGATCACCGGTGCTCCCGCTTTCGGCGCCCAGCCCAGCCCTACCAGTCTCCGGATGCGGCTCCACGATGCGTCACTGGAAGCTGACTAGCCTGTCCCTGTCCACCAACACAATCTGATGAACAGAATCTTTCAGGTTGGCATAGTAGAGCATCTATAGCTTTGATTTCATCGTGCGCGAATCACTCGACTCTGGAGTCACGGAATGGAAAAGATAAGACTTTCAATTTTCAATACAGTTCCATCAGTCATCAGTCCAGCTCTGGCACCGGTAAATGGTCGACGAGCTTCAGATGCGTCAGACCTAGCTTCCCCAAGGCTTCGATGGCGTTCCGGTCCCGCAGCTCCTGCGTCTCCTTCTCCGAGACGAGCACAAAGTCCTGCTCCAGGAACCAACTGCCCTCCTTGACGCTGTACTCCTCCGCCGTCGCCTTGTCCACCTTGTCGAGGTCGACCACGAGGCTCGTCTTGACGCCAAACACCGCATCCGATTTCTCATATGGGTCTCCCCGGATATAGAGCGCGCTAAGTGATTGCGTCAGCCAGACCCACGATCCATCTCACCCAACCCTTGTCCTCCGCATCGGAACGGGGCGCTTTTGGGGGAGGGCTCACTCCTGCGACGAGAAGGAAAAAAGATCATGGCGGAAGGAAGAAACCTACGTGATCAAGTGGTCCCAGCCTTCCTTCTGGAACATAAAGTGCAGATGCGCTGGCCGCCAGCAATGACGCCCTAACAGCTGCAGCAACTTTCCGACCGGCCCATCGTGGGGGATTGGGTAGCTCACGGGCTTGATTCCCTGGAAGAAAAAGCGGCCCTCTTTATCCGAGATCATGACGCAGCGCTCGCTCGCTCCTGTCCTCCCCTCGTGCTGCACATCGTAGTGGCCACTGCTATCCGTCTCCCAGATGTCAATCTTGACCCCGGAGATGGGGTTGCCCTGCCGGTCCTTGATCCTGCACACGACCAGCAGCGGTTCGCCCTCCGGATCTCCAGACATATTGGCCCCGTTCTCCAAAGTCGGCGCATCGTGTGTATGGAAGGGTCCCAGGACGGAGCCTTCTGTCGAGTCGGCCGGCTTGGGGTGGTTGATGCTGTCGATGAGCAAGGAGAGGCCTAGAATGTCGGAGAGGAGAATGAATTCCTGGTCAGGTTGCGGTCAGCTTCGTTCGTCACAGTTCCAAGGCCCGACGCCGTCTTCGCATCAGGCGCGACTTACATGCCGCACGTCGCTGCTAATTTGTCCGCAGCCGACGAGGAAATTCAGCGCCGCCATCCATTCGTCGGTGCTCAGCCGCGTCTCCCGCGCAAAGTCGTGCAGGTGAGTGACCAGCCGTTCCATGAGGTACTTGAGCCGCGCATTGTCGCTTTGGGAATTGATGCGGATCGTGTTGGGTGTGATGTTATTGATCGTGAGATCCAGGAGTTCTGGTGTGTTTTGGGCCATTGTTGCTTGCTAACTATGCGTGATCCAGTTGGGGGCAATATATTCTTTGAAACCGCTTTTTGCTTGCCCGATTGAGGTACTGCGTTGGTTCGCCTCGTCTGCCTTTAATAGGACCCCGGATTTACCTGGAAGTGATGTCGTTCTTCAGAGGGAGGGGGTCCTCTTTATGTAATGCTCTGTAATCACCAACCTCCGAATGGGCTGTGTATAACCTGCGGTACGGGTAGTCTTTGTGAGCTTCGCGCTGCCGTCGACGGGTGACACCTAAGCCGTTATGCGGTAAACCCGTAGTCAAGAGACAACGGATTTACGGAGCAAGTCTTTAAGTCCTAGGTTTAATCGCACGGAAAGGTAGGCATGTGTCAGCAAATTGTAAGTCGTGGAGACCGAGCAGTCGGGAACCTTTCTCCCCCTTCCCACCTCCATCTCCCCGGCTACCGATCTTACGTCGCCCCCATGACATCCAGTCCGAGTCTCTGACCTCACAAGGGGGATCGTTATGCAGGGTTATAGCGCTGCCCCGCCCCCCGCAAGCTGTCGCGGCCCGCGGGAGGTGGTGAGGTCGAGAGTGGAGGGGTAAGTAAATAGAGGCCCGAGCGCCCGCCCGGGTCCTGGCTCGGGACTTGCGATGGGTGGGCGGGTGTACAAGCGGCCTCTTCGGCACTCACTCCGGCCGGGATTATCTTCGGGGAGGGAATTGGGGGATCATGATTACGGGAGTGATTGCGAGGCTGTGAAAGGTTATTCGCAAAGTTTAGTGATGTCTCGCTGCCGATTACCTACCTGGTCAGAGCGAATTGTAGTTGCCTTTTCATAGCCGTGGCTCTGCGAGGGTTTGTTGTGCCATGAGCTTAATCTGCAAAAGTTCTACCTGAGGAAGGGTGATGTATTAATGCAGTTCAGCTGTAGAAGAAATGATGGGAAGTGTCCAATGTTCTCAGAAGCTCAGAATGGCGGGGATCTAGCATCGTAAATAAATGTCGAGATGGGAAACCAACAGTGACACCAACTTCGCATTGCAACAGTGCACCTCTCAAGCAAACTGGGCCATGGTCCATTCATTCCCCTTTTGAATAATTTCCTAGAATAAGAGTAAGAGATCCTAGCAGTCTCTCCAGCCTTGATACATTATGTATTCTTCCCAAGCTTTCCTCCCGCCTCTGGTTACCATCCACCAAAGGCCCAAGTCCCCGTCAGCTCTAATCGGCTCTAAGCTCCGAGTCGGGACCCGCTTCAAGTGGCCAGGCTCCGGCAGCGGCGTAGGATTCCCGCGAACGTCGCCGCACTCCGAGCTCGCTTACAAAGAACGCAGCGTCGAGCTGCCGGGGCCACGTGGATACGTGCCCTATCAAACGACGAGATAATACAACATAACAGATTGGTTAATCAAACCTAATCCGAGTCATGAAAGCGCAATCACAAAGACACCATGAATATTATTCATAAACCAGAGTGAAGGGGAAAAAGAAATATAAGAAAAAAAAGGGCACGGACGAGTGAGTAAATTCGCGGATAGAGCGGAATAGTTCTGAATTGACAAATGTTGTCCGTCACTTCCCACCCCTTTCCGGAACACCGACGAATCAATCTGGGCATTTCCAGGTCCCTGCATGATCATCAAAACTCAAAGTTTACGACGACGTCCGAGCTTTCTCTTCAGGTGGCGGCTTGAAGCGACGTATGGTATTGACTATTCAGGTCCTCCGTAGTCTGGATTGGAGTTTCCCGTAGACGCCGACGGTAAGATAAGGTAAAGTAGATCCCGCAAAGGTACCCGGTTCACGGAGGTGCTCGAGTGCGACATGTGCCTGCCGCCAAGAAAATGGACCACTGCTTCTTCACCTTCAAGGTTGGGGTTGGGATTCTCTATAGAGTAATTACGGACAAGAGATGTAATCGTAAGGTGCCGCCGGTGTGATTGATGTGTGTGCAAGTGCCATCGGATTAAGCTCCGACTGACTCTCGTCCCTTTTCCCCCCTGGGCCCTTCCCCATACCCTCACCATCCTGGGAACCTTTATCCACCTTTGGATTCCCCGAACCCAAACCGGGGGGTGTTGATCAATCTACCATCCTTCAAACATCCACATCGATCAAGAAGAATTCCAGACTGAAGAGATATGGCTGCCACTGGGCAACCTCTGGTAAGATCTCTAGAGAAATTTTTCAAGCTTCGTTTGCGGTATCGTACTGACTGTTTGCTTTTTCTTCCCCAGGAACCCGATACTTTTGATTCGGACTCGGCAATCTCGGAGGTGTGTGTTCCAATGCACCCCCCACACTGTACCTCTCATGTTCAATTACGTGTCTGCGTTTCACGTCACATCCCGCGCAATGGGAGCTCACCAAAGATGCGCCTCGAGATGCCCCAATGACGCTTCCCAAAAGATGAAGCGAGAAACTGACTTGACGACGTTCCACAGCTCCGCAATGGTAGTACCGATTCGCCTACCCCGAGCATGTTGACAGTGCTGGAGGAGAATGGCAGGACGTATCACGCAATGAGTTCCGGGAGTAAGATGTCCTTTGAGTCCCGGCTTACCAGTCCCCTGCCTGGCTAACATATTTTTCACATAGAGTACCCGTTTCCCAACGATATTGTCGAGCAGGAACGCCTTGGTTTGAATTCTTCTCTTCTCCATGTGGATTAGGAAGAGCCGAAGCTCATTGCATCTCTCACCAGATTTCCAGCACCTTATGTGGACTGTGACATTAGGCGACAAGCTCTGCCTATGCCCCAAAGGGTCACAAAAAGCAAAGCGCGTGCTAGACGCCGGCACGGGCACCGGAATCTGGGCGATGGATTACGGTGAGCCCAACTCCTCCTGCTGACTCTCCTTTCCTCAGAGCGATGAGACTGACGGGGTGAAATTACAGCGGACGCACACCCCGAAGCCAAAGTTGGTTTATGAGATTCTTTGGGACCCGGGCGATAGTTACTAATCGCACGCTCACCCTAGGTCATTGGTGTAGATCTGAGCAATATTCAGCCTAAGTGGTGAGATACAATCGTCGTGGAGAACATTCACCCCCTTCACGTTCACTGACGCTGGAATGATAGGACGCCTCCGAACTTGACTTGGGAGCTGGACGACCTGGAGCAGGACTGGACTTGGTCTCAGCCTTTCGATTTCGTCTTTGTCCGCATGCTAGCAGGGAGTCTAAAAGACTATCAAGACTTTGTAAACCAAGCATTCGAGTGTGTCTCATTTTCCCCCTTTTTTCTTTTTCTCCCATCCCCCCTCCCCTCTCCCTCCTTCTCATTCTACGTTCATCGTCACACGAGCCTTCATGCCAGTGACTACCCTAACACTCACCTCTTCACCACCCAGAAACCTCGAACCAGGCGGCTATCTCGAAATGCAAGACCTAAGCCTCCCCTACCGCTGCGACGATGGCAGCCTAACCGAAGAGAACCCCGTCCACAAGCTCTCGGACCTCTTTCTCAGGGGCGGCCGCGTGACGGGCCGCCACATGGATAAAGCCCCCATCTACAAGGACCTCATGCGCAACGCGGGCTTCGTCGACATCGTCGAGGAACAGTTCAAGTGGCCCGTCAACGCGTGGCCGCGCGACCCGCACTTCAAGACCTTGGGGGCCTGGACGCACTGTAATCTCGACCACGGACTCGAGGGGCTCACGCTCGGGCTCGCGACGAGGAATCTGCGATGGAGCAGGGAGGAGACGCTGCTTTTTTGCGCGACGGTGAGGAAGACGTTGCGGAGCCATAAGGCGCATGCCTACATTCCCTTGTAAGTTTGAGATCGATGACAGCGGAGCAATTGCCAAGAGGGGCGCATGTTGACTTGCTACCCTAGATACGTTGTTTATGGGCGGAAGCCGGCCGAGGCGAAAAGGGGAGACTCGAAGCCACCGGCAGGTATACAGTAGCCTATCGTCTCCTCATTGGGGGCGTTGTCGCGTCGAATAGGTGATGAGGATAGACTCCAGGGCTGGCGGGTTGGATGGGTACCATTTTGCATATGGTTCACGGCGTTGCGCAGCGTGCTGCTTGGGCATCATTGGACAACGGTGGGGAAGGGCAAAGGGCGTTCATCACGAGAAAATCATTCATCAGTTCATCGAGAAACCTTTTTGTTTTCATTACTCTATCTAGGAAATAACTCAGGCACGCCAATCCGTCGGGTTGCAGTACAATGGAGTCTCATAGTATTGGTACTTGTTGTGCCACCAGTCCATCAATGGACGTGGTTCAAATCAGATCAGGATAGGAGCAAACTAGGGAATCGTCACCCCGGGGTTGAGAAGCAAATGGTTCCCTCCAGCGAGTTGTTGAAGCAAGTTGTTGAATTGACGGGAAATTCCAGATCTCTAGGACGGTGATATCTTCACTTGCACATGAAACCTAGGCAGCCCGATCCCTTGCTCGATGACGAGGTGCGAGCCGATCCATGTGTTTCTTCCATCGAGCCCACCAGATACCGCTCCTCTCCTGGACCACTGGCCCGTCGGGTGACCCGTTTTCATCGTCAACCGGGTCAGTTGCACTGTTGTGTCGGAAAATAGGGCCGAGACCTCCCCATGGATAAGCTGGGCTTGAAGGAAGAGGGGCGTTCGAGATGGTCGTGGTGGGCGTGCCGGCTACAGAGAAGCTGGTATCGGGTATGGCACCGCTGTCCTTGCTGGGATTACTCAAGCGGCTTGTCGTTGATGTGACAAAGGTCGTGGCAGGGTTTACAGATATCCAGGTTCCTGTGGTGTTGTTAAAATGATGACAGGCTAATTTGGGGAGGGGTCGACTGACGATCGGTCTGGACTGAAGACGTCCATGTACTTGTTAGTCCAGCCGACGATGCTATCGTGATGTTTTGCCACTTGGAAGTGCAGGAAGGCCTGGGAGGGTACGTTGTGTTGTTCAAAGAGGATGGTGGGTATGCCCAGGTTGGATCAGCGCTCGCCGTGGCGGAGGTGATGAGAACACTTGTGGTGACGACCTGAGTGATGGTGCCATTCGTGCTGGTGACGGTATGGCAAGGCCATGAAGTTCCAGGTGGAAGGCCAGTGGAATTGGTGACTGCTGGTTGCGCAGACTCGGTCAGAGATGCCGGGGCGCCAGGGGAAGAAAAATAGCTGGTAGAGGGCGCAGAGGGCGATGCGATTCCGGAAGAAATTCCAGAAGAAATTCCAGAAGTAGATGAGTTGAAATGCGAGAGCGTAGGTACAGGTAATATAGACACAGAAGAGAAGACTGTTCCTGACGCAGTCCAGGTGACATGAGGCGTCGAGATTACTTCAGAGATGGTGGTCGAGTTGCTGAATGGAGGCAGAGACGAAGGCGAACTGAGGGTAATAGGCGGGAAGCCCGTTGAGAAGGCCGTACCGTTTGTTGTTGTGGCCGTCACGTTTTGCGGAGGAGACGAAGGAGTGCCAGAAGGACCTGTCGGGATACCTGTGGCGGACAACGCACTTGAAGCTGTTGAGTTTGGCCATTGGCCCCATGTTGAACTCGAATCGGTAGGAGCGCCGAAAGGACCGCCTGTGCCGGGCCAAGTGACGCTGTTTCTTGTCCCAGCAGAGGTGCCGGTGGCACCCGGGGCCGTGGTACTGTTGAAGGTCGGGAAGGGTGGCGACAAACCCGAAGAAGGAACGTTGCTGAGTGTCTCGGTAATACTGCTGTTTCCCCTAGTGGTCGTAAAAGTAGAGATGGGGAGTCCCGATGCGGAACCAGAAATCCAAGTTGGCCTTGGAATAGCAGTGCCGTTCCCTGTTGGGAATGGTGGCGGTCTGATGGTAGAAGGAATACTGTTGGATGTTTCTGGAGGCTCAGATGTTTGAAACACGGTTCCCGAAGCAGGATATGATATCCCAGTGCCACTGCCTGTAGGTCCGGGCAGCGCGGTCGAGTTTGTCACGGGGAAAGGTGGCGCATGGGAGGAAGAGGGCAGGCCGGTGACGCCGGTCGAAATCATTGTAGCACCACTGCCAGAGAGAATGACGGTGCCGTTGATCGTTGCCGTTGCCGCTGGAGGTGGGGTCGAGTTCGTTGTTGGAAATGGGGGCAGACCATTTCCGATGGACGTGTACTTTGAAGCTACAGTTCCTGAATACACCGTAGAAGACGGAATGCTAGAGGCGTTTGCTGCTGTGGGCCAGGGGGATTGAGTTGAATTCGATGTGGGAAAGGGAGGCAGCGAAATCATTGAAGATGTGAGACTGTGAGTAGTGTTGGCTGTAAATGTCTGTAAAGCCGTTCCATTGGTGCTCGAGGACGCCGTTAGACTGAGAGTCATCCCGGTTGGCCGCAGAGTGATTGTGTTCACTCCGCTCACGGTGATGACTGAAGCTGTTGGGCTACCGCCTGAAGGCCCGAAAGTTGTTGAGTTGATCCAAGGGAACGATGCCGAAGCTGACCTGGTCATGTTTGCTACACTACTTGCCGACGAAGTGATCACAGGGATCGAAACGGTGCCAGTAAGAGATACCTGGGTGGAATTAAACGTCGGCCAGGGTGGCGAGACTGGACCGACGACGGAAGAGTCGGTTTTTGAGGTGCCAGCGGTTGCTGATGATGGAGGCCTTGCTGTGCCTGTTACCCATACTGATGATGTGGAGTTGGAGACTGGCCATGGAGGTATCGTGGCAGAAGCTCCTGCCGGGATCGAAGTCCTATTGGAGGTTACTGGGCCCCCAGAATGGCTTGTTGACGTCCAAGTGGCATTAGCACTAGCGGTCAATGTCGAATTTGGTAATTGGGGAATGGATGAAATTGTAGCAGTCATGCTTGTGGCATTCCATACCGATGTAATGACTACCGTACCCGCCGTGGAGAGCCCTGGGGAGCCCTTTGTTGGAGTCATGGTCATGCTTGAGTTCCAAGGAGCCGTGAGACGTGTTCCGTTGGAGGAAATAGGGATTGGAGTACCTGACACTAGACTGCTCGAACCGCCCGTCGATAGTCTAAGAGAAGTAGTGTTGGATGCAGGATATGGAGCTATTGCGCTAGAGCTATTGGCAGCCGAGGGAAATGCACCCGTCCCGGACGGGAAAGATGATGGGCTTGCTTCACTAACAGAGCCAAGGGTACCGCTTGGTAACACTGTCGAATTGGCTGGGAACCAAGGCGCGACAGTGACAGCGATACTTGTTCGGATGACGGACCCAGTTCCTGAGATGACAAGCGTCGACGTGGGCAGGATCACGGTGATTACGGGGGGGGAAGTCCAGTTTCCAGTCGGGCTTGACGAATTGTATGAACTTGATGATCCGGGACTTGAAGTCCCGGCCGTGGGTAGAACCTCAGATCCTGTGCCAAATACGGTCGAGATAAAGACCGTGCCTTCATTGGACATTATAATGGTCGAGTTTGGCAGCGGAAATGGTACCCGTGTTTGCGAGGCTGATTTGGTAGACGGCGGTATGCCAGATGCGTTCCAAGATGTCGCTGACGGTTTGGTTGATGATTTGAAACCAGAACTCGATACCACGCTTACTAGGCTGCTCACTGCGCTACGAGAGGTAGTCGATTTGGTTGGGAATGGTGTTGGCTTACTCGAGTTGTTGAGAGTTGTGGCCGTAGCATTGCTGTTCCAAGTTGACGAGATCGGGACTTGAGAGCTTGTTGATCTGCTCGTTAACACACCTGTACCAAATTTAGTCTGGCTGTCGGTCACCAGAGCACTTGATTGTGTACTGTTCCAACCGGCAGTTGCTTGAAGGGTCTGCGAGAGAGTCGATATGCGGACGGTTCCATTGGAGCTGAGAGTGATGATGGAAGGGGCTACGGTGATCGAACTTGCGGGCTTCGAGGGGCCTATGGAAGTCAACGTTGATGAGGACGAGTTGGGTGGGTAGTTCTGCGAGCTGGTCACGGAAGTGGGAAGGGCGGTCGAATTCCAGAGCGTGGGCCACGGAGTCTCCACGGGTTGAGTCAGCGTAGGAGCTTGGTTGGAAGATACGAAAAGAGATGTTATCGACGAGGATGTATTCAAAGAAGATGAAGCGGGAGCACCGGTGGCAGTTAGTACCTGGGACGATGAATTGAACAAAGTGAAAGGTAGCGAGAGCGTGGGAGACGCCGATGCTGGAGCAGTCGCAGATATAGCAGTGCCATTGTTGACCTCGGACACAGAAGCAAGCGTACCAGATAAAGTCTCTGAAGAGGTTGTCTGGTTGACGCTCAACGAAGTTGCCGGAGCGGATGACACGCTTGCTGTTGCGGCTTTGGTCGAAGTATTGGCTGGCGGCCATAGAGTCGATTCCGTCAAAACCGAGGACGAGACAATCGAGGGGACGACACTGGATGAATTCAATGATACGATAGTGCTAGTCACATTTGAAGACGCAGTAGGTGAAGAAATATCAGAACTCGGGGGATACGTGACGACAGTATCGGAGGGAGTGGCAGTAGCTCCGTTAGAAGCAGTGGAGCTAGGGGAAGCAGGGCCAGAGACGCCAGATGTGCTGGTATCGCCAGCGGCCGAACCGACGTTAGTGGAAGACGCTGAGCCTGTCAGTATAGCAGCAGCAACAGAGGGAATCATACAACTGACCATAGTTATTTGTGGTAGGGAAAGTCTCAGTCGATGACGGCTGGTCGCCATAAGTGGTGGGAGGGGGAAGCGGCGGGTAAGTGTATCCATAGTCGTAGCTGCTGATGAAGACGTTGGGACCCTGAGGGCTCCTCGCCCGATGCTCAACTTTGAGGGCAGCGGCTTTGGACTCAGCCTTGTCTTGCTGCTCAAAATCATTGGCATGTGCAGTGGCTGCTACGCCTGCAGTGAGGGCCAGCAACGCGCATATCGACGCGAGGTCGACTGTGAGAGACGAGGCTCGCATGTTTGGAGTTCCTTCTGAGGCGGTATCAGTACAACAGTACAAGATTTTCTAGTGCAAGGGATACAGTAGAATCTTGAATGTCGTACCTTGTGAGTCGCTGGGGTTAGAAGTAATCAAATAAACAAAAATCTCTGCTGCTGCGAGCTGAAGTGAACGAACGAAGGCCGACTCACTCGTATTCGAGTGACGACTGGGGATGGGTGCAGGAGAAGAAAAGAAGGAGGGGGAAGGGGAGGAGGAGAGGGGGAAAAAAGACCGAGGTGGGAAAACGAGGGGAAAAAGCTGTGTGCAGGCATCAGAAGCAGGGGAAGGCACAGTTATAGCAGGAGGTCACGACTTCTCAGATGAAGGTGTCATGTTGGGAAGGCACCACCATCCATTGGCTTACACGTGCCTCTCCTTCCTCTGTTCACGACGGCTCCTATCGTACGTCCTTCGCCCGATTTGGGTCTACTTTACCTTGGAAGGCAGTTCCCAACACACGGATTATTTACTTCTTGTCATGGAAGGGAACCTCTCACCTCAATGGACTGCAAACGAGTATCGAAGCGGGCCAAAGAGAGGTAGTCAAAATCTCCATGGCATCTTATGTCCGGGTTGGTGAGAAGTCTGGAAAGAAGCGATCTCTCCTCCATTAGGCTTCATTATTCGCGATGTCAGGAACTTGGGAAGAAAGACGCAGCCTAACGTACCCAAGGGTAGTCACGGGAGAGGCACACTCGAATAGGCGATTTGCTACTCTCCGGACTGAGTCCGACGCACCGTACAGATGCGAGTTCGCTGTATGGTGATCGGCTCGAGGTCATCGAACAGATCGTAGCCATACCTCAACGCCTGTGAAACGAGCAGAGGAGTGACCTACTCGTCTGGTGCTCTGTCGGAAACGCCTTCGCCCAACATGGAAAGCCAATACTGTTGCGGAGGCTTCGCATCACTGGCCCCCCCTCCATTCTAATCTGAATCTGTTCCTGCGTGGGATATCACCGAAGGGAACGCATCGTGACATCCACTCGCAAATCACCAAGCACAGCGTGACATGTTGGAGGTCACAGAAACGGGACGTTATCCCGAGGTGGTTGTACTTACTAAAGAACTCTACCGGTGACGCACCAGACAGCCACTGGTCGGCGAGACTAGATTGGTATCTTCGGCGGAATTTTGAGGTGTTTGCACCGAGTCTTGCTCGTTACCCGTCCCCTAGTGCTGAACCCAAACGTAACCAGACGTAGTCGTAAAGGCCGATATTCGACAGCTCGTACCATGTAGCCACCCGTGTACCTCGAAACAAGATTACCTGTTCCTGAAGCGAGTAGTACACCATACTGCCAGGCTCAGTGCGGGGGCTCGCGATGTCTCGTCCTACCCGTTGGCTCAGATGAGTCTCGCTTGATTAGTTGCGTCTATTATTTCGCCGGAGCGCATGCCAATGTAAGGTATCGTACTTAAGTGCGTGGTGGTGAACGTCTTAATCTGCCGCACTGCTTTGATTGCTCAACTAGGATTCTCCGAATAATACCAAAGTCGGTACACCAGCTTGAGACACGGCGCGATGGTCGAGACGACGGTCAAGATCAGTGCAAGACTTCAAGGATGGTACACCAAAGGTACCACAATTTGCAGAATGGTAATTCGTAAATTAATTATTACGCTACAAGTTCCTTCATTTCATGTTCTTTTGGGGCCCAAAAAGCTTTGCGTCGTCGATTGCCACTGAACGGACGCTCTATCAGCTATGCCTCACGCATCTAAACAACACTGACAAGAGGCATCCGTGGTATTCAGCTGAAAGCCTCGGCCAAGGTCGCACCAGATCCATCACTGCTGTCAAGATGCCGTGGCACCAGTATCCGGCCAAAAGAGGGGTCGGTAACTCCTGGTGCCAAGCAGATCCCGGCGTAAAACATGGAGACGTGATTCCACAATGCAGTTTTCCGTCGTTTACTCGGCCTTTTGTGCCGTCTCTCGAAGCGTGGGAGCTGTGCTGTCGGTCATAGAGGTATTCTTGGCCTCGATATCGGCGGCCCATAGAGCAGCACCAACTACAGACAGCTGTTAGTCATTATCCTAGATAAAGCTCAATCTTTGCAAAATTACCAGCGTTGGTGAATGTGAACAGCACACTGGCGAAGGGGATCATCTCAAGGGCGGTCGCGACTAAGCCGAACCTGTAACAATAATCAGTGATCTATGTAGTATGCATGCGCGGATGGACCCCAAACATACGCAGTGTAAGGTCCGGAGTGTCTCTTGAGCCAGTCGGCTCTTCTGGAAGACGACCAGTTCTTCAGTTGAAAGTACTGGGTCGGATAGTCAGCATGGCATCGGCATATCTGGAAAGGGAGAACATACACGGCCGTGGACGGCTTGGCCTCTGCCGCGAGCTATGGAGATATTAGCTTCGACCTACCCGAAAGCGATTGGAGAAGCTTGCCCTGAAGAGAGATGAAGATGACGGTCCCCACAACGGGAATAAAGTTCAAGGGAAGGTAGATGAGGTATCTGATCAGAGCCTTGGGGCTGTATTTCGCAAAGGGGCTCTTGAGAACCTTGCCCAGCTTCTGCATGGGGTCAGATCCGGGCCGGAGCTGTCTGCCCTCCCTCACAATACCGTCCTCATCTCTGAGAAGAAGAGTGCCGTCAAAGGTGTCCAGAATCGCGTCTTGGAGTAGGAAGGATCTTGAGAGGAAGTTGATGATTGCCGAGCTCTCGTTCAGGATCAAGAGGACGGTAGTGAACACGGCCAGGGGACCGTTGACGAAAACGAGGAGGGCAAGTTGTGGCACGTAGGTGAAGACGAACATGCCGGTGACGACACCAGCAGACAGGAGCAGGTAGGATCCGATGCGCGACAGGAGGGGCTTCCACAGCGTTCGGTGGGTTGCGAAGTAGATGATTCCCTTGATGGGGTACAGGTAAGCCTTGCTCTTGGCAGCATCAGCGACCAGACCTCTCGCCTTATCGTAGTCCTCTTGCCTGTAATACGTGGGTTAGATTGAATCGCGATTACGCGAGGTGGTGGGCAACACGTACAAGACTTCCTGGGCCTTGGCCTGCACTGAATTGACCACTCTGTTTCTTCCGCCAGAGCTGGAGGCCTGGCCCTGTGATACAGTTCGTTCGTCAGACATTGTGGATAGCTGTTTGTGGAGGGTTCGGCGAAGGTTGAAGTGGAGGTTTCCGAGGTGATTTGGCGCTGGTGCACAGAACAAGTTGGAGGAGGGGGAAGCTGGGAGAGATCCCCTGCGATGTGGCTTGGCCAAGGCAAAGCTCGGGCGTATTTATTTGGCGCCGAGGATCGTGATCTGACTTCTGCGTACCTGCTGAAGGCAAGCTACGGCAGCCAAGGTACGTGGAGCTAGCTCCCTCGCCAGCGTTGGTGATGGCTGTATGACGTAGTGCTGTGGCGGGAGCTCAACTTCTCTGTGGACACCTGCATGCGATGTGGCTGAACTACGGACCAAACATTCCGGGAAAGAGCATTCTTGGCAGCGGAGTACTCTTGCGCGAAAAGGAACCGCCTTCAATATAATACATATGATTACACTTTCACCCAGTTTCAGCACACTTTCATAACTTTGCAGCAGGCCGCACTAATGCGTCTGTTGGTAGAAATGACACAGATGCGAATCACCAAGCGTCCGAAGGGTCTGCTTGAGCAAGACGCTTGCTGATGACAGGGATGTGGCCGTGACTTATCAAGATACGAACAGCCAAAGTCAATTCCATCCTCATCCCTTACTCCAAAAAAACAACTCTAGCTCATTCACCACCGAAACCTCGAGTAATTCTATCGATATTGTCCCGAAACGCACAGTCTAGCCGCCCTCAATGTAACCACCATGCCTCTTGATCCCTAGCATCTCGCGAAATCAACGACCCGTATTGAAAGCTCGGCCTGAACCCGACGAGCCCCTGCCCTCAGGCCCGGAGCTGGCCGGCATGATGGCGAGGGCGACGTCTCCCAAGCGGCGGAAGGCCTCCTCCCGTGCCTCTTTAGCGGACTCAACTTCTCTGAAAGCGTTGGAAATACCGTTGCGCGCATCACCTTGACGATGGTCTGGATGCCGATGCAGCTCGCCAACCACAAGCCGGACCAAGTCGTCTGCAGGTCCGATAGATTGCGGGTCCCGTCCCGCAGTCCAGATTGCTCTTCCCAGGCGGCGAGAGGCCTCTGCCTTTTCCTCCTCGAGTCTTCTGATATCACCCAAGGCCTTCGAGATCTTTGAAGAGCCAGCGGTGTTGGGGGGACGGCCGTTACCACTTGCTACTGCGAAGCTGTGTGCGCAATGGATCTCACCAATCTCTTCTTCGTCGGACGACACGCTGTAGGCCATTGAAGTTTCGGTTTCCGATACCACTGATTGCTGATCGCCTTTTGACTGTATCTTGTGGTAAGTTCTGGTCGCCTTCGCTAAATTTCGATACATTTCTTTGACGGTTTGTTGATCCTGGCGTGTAGCTGTGAGTGGAAGTTTGGGGAGGGGAATTATCTCTCCGCATTTTTATACGTACTCGGCCAACAATCTCGCCTTCAGTCTGCTCCGCTATCAAGATCTCCCTGGTCTTGTCGATAATCTCTAATGCTTGGCTCCATTGCTCCTTGGGTATCTGGATGAGAATTAGCATCTCAGAGCACCTACTAAGGAGTGGAAACATACCATGAGACAGGCCAAGTTTGGGGTCCTCCTGGAGAATTCGGCACATCTCCCGCATTTCAGACCTGAACAGGAAAAACGTAAGTAAGTAGGAATAGTGGATGAACGGGGTAATGAGCAATACGTACTAGGCCCTCTCTCACAATAATAGTTGATAGTCGGCTTCTGAATCGGCTTCTTCTCAGATTGGTAGACGCCAGTATAGAAACCGAGGCATCGAAGGCACCAGCGATTTTCCTCGTTCAATGATTCAACTGAAGCTCCTGAGCGGGGGAACATCTTTGTAAAGGTAATGTCAACTGTCAACTGTCGACTGATCTTGCTGTGGTTGCCGGTGGGGGGAAAACCAAACCCTTTAGGTTAAGGGGAGATGGGTATCTTTTAATATTCCCGAGCACTCTTTTTATACAGCTCAAGGTCAGTAGACGGGCACTTTTGGGAAGTTACAGGCGTTTCTAGCTAAGCCAGGTATGTCTGAAAGAGCCGCATGCGTGGCCAGGCAGCACACCGTCTTCAACCTCTCAACACCAAGACCTACATCCAAAGGGCATATTTGAGAAAAGCTCCATTGTTTCAGAATGCCTTCAACGCTGCCTCAGATGTATAGGTGGTTGTCTAGAAAGGAACCCGAGGTAGCTGGATCCTCCTTCCCTCCAGACTGATTCTTGTCTCAGGTACATCAAATCAGCTGGAAGAAAAACACCTTGCCAACGTGTTTCACAGCGAGCATTGAAGCATTTCTACAGTTAACTACAGTCAACTGTGAGTTCTTATTTGGATTGCTTACTAAGAATGATATAGAACCTAGAATCTTGGGGAAGATGGAAGCATCCACCACCCTCAAGCCGTCGACCCTATGGACCTTCAAGTTCAGACCCAGAACAGCAGGCAGGTCGTCATCAGCACCGATAGGAGCGGTTGTAAAGTCACCGAGAAGACAATCATGAACGTAATTGAAGGCTGCGGACCGGGGCCTATGGATATACTCCACTGAGCGCAGCCCAGCGAGCATGCTGTAAGCGAACGTGTTCAGACGCAAGGTACTGTGCCATTCGCAAGTTAGAATACGCGCCAAAATGATGACTCTGTCGTGCTTTCCCAACTCAGTGTCTCAATTATCATAAACCTACCTTGAACCTTGAACTTCATTACCTTTTCCTCCCATGACCAAAGGAATATCCGGCCATCACCGGCGCCTCCCGGCCCCACTCCCGTGCCAAAGACATCCGATCCGACCAACAATCCCACCCCCACCTCCTGGACCGTGTGGGGCGGTAAGTCCCCACCCCTGGATCCGGAACACCCCCTCATTCGGAACAGGATTTCTCCATCGTACATCCCAGTACCGTAACACCACCACCATCAATTAAACCACCATAATATTAAAATTTAATTCTTTTAAAAATACCAGTGCATTCGTAATAGCTAAATATACTAAGCAGGATATTATCGTAGCTCTTAGCGATATGCAGGCTGGTTAGCCTATACGATAAGTATCTTGGGCTTGGGGGATTTTTATAACGACTTTTTATTGCCGTTGGAATAGCGGTTCGATTAAAAGGACGTTAACGGAGTATTTATAGCGATTATTATTAAAGTAAAAGAGGTATTTAGTTAACTGGGTATTAGCGTAGAGCTCCCTCGGCCTTGCTCTAACCTACACTTAGTTACGCTTTTTTATTATTAAAATCGTTTTTATAAGCGGCGATTTTTAACCCCTTAGTAAATACTAATTAAAATACTTTATTAAATAGAATCTAGAGCTTAAGATGTTAAAAAGTAGATTTATTAAAAGCCTTTACGTTAAAACCGTTATTATTAAGATTTTATTAAAGTATTTCGATCTATATACCGACCCTATAGTTAGAGCTATCTCGTTATAAAATATATAAAATATAAATAAAACTGGGATAATAGAGGGTTAAGGGGTTAATAATTTAATATTAAGTTTTAATAAAAAGAAAGGTTCGATCTATATATACTATTTTAGTTTTTATATATAGACGACGATAATTAAGTATATATTAGTAATAGGAGTAGCATTTTGGCCCTTAGTTCTATTTAAAAATAAAAGAGTATAATAGTAATAGTTTCTTAATAAACTCGCGGCTTACGAGAGCTAGTCTTTTAACATAACTGAAAATAGGTAAATAAATAATATTATAATAATCTTTTAATTAACTAACGTTTTTAAACCTTAGATTAAGCTAAGAGGCGCTAACAAGGGCTTTAACCGCCTTTTAATATTAAATAAGTATAGTAATTACTATTTTAACGTATTTATATAAGAGTATTATATCCGTAGGATATATTTAATCTTTTTATTGCTTTATTCTTTTTATATAACCTAACCTCTTAACGTATCTATTTTTAGCGTATTAAAATTAAGATATTATAAAAAAATAAGGGTTCTATACGCGCTTATAAACCTCTCGATCGTTAATAAAAAAAACTTCTTCCGTTACTACGGTAAAGCGCGTTAAGAAGTTTTAACAGTGCTAAATATATACGCTAAGTAAAAAATAACCGGTATTTAGCTATTTAACTTTAATAAAATACTTTTAAGCCGGTAATTTCTTTTTAATAAATAGAAGAGGTAATTACCTATAGAGAGAGAGCCCCCGGTAACCCTAGTTCCTTAGGATTAAATAGTGAGAAAAAAGGTGGCGACCCCTAAGCGCTCGGGCGATCTAAAGAGGACTATTTTTACTATACTATTCCACCTTAAAATTGGTAAAATAAGGGGTTGTATACTATTTTCTAAGCTCGGTAAAAGTCTAAATAAGAAGAATACCCTTATTACTGACTACGAGAGACGGATTTATTAATTAGAAGAGACCGTAAAGGTCTATAAACCGTATATAAAAGTAAATATAGCGCTTAGGCCGAACAAACGATTTACTAAAATCGATGCTATTCGTAAGTTATAAAAACAAGTATAAAAGATCTCTTTTCAAATAATAAAAACAGTAAAAGAATAAAAGGTCGAATTATAGTCTTTTTAATATTAATTTTATATAATGGACTAATATAATCGCGATATTGTTGAGATTTCCGATTGACCGTGTTTTTTTTGGTCGTTTTGGTCTACTGTTCCGCATGAGGGGGTGTTCCGGATCCAGGGGTGGGGACTTACCGAACAAACGCCTCCCAGGATGACCGCCGTAGCCAAGGTCCATTCCGCAAACGGCAAAACCAGTCTTTCCTCGCCTGTATCTCCGAGCACAAGCAGAGCCTCAATCCATCCGCCTATCCATATGACCATTCATCCCCACCTCTTTTTTATTTTTACACTGATGATGGTCAGCAAGATTGAGTATACTGCTATAACTTAATAATAAACACTTTTTGAAGACCCGTAGTTATGTTGACTATTTTTACGTACGAATATTCGTTATTTTCAAAAGAGAGGAAAGCATCCTGGTTCGGATCTGGGTCACGTTCATGCTTTTTGGTACATGGCTTAGAGGATGCTCTTGGTCAACATGCTTAGGATATTTTTGGCTCGGGGAACCTTTCTTATGTCTGGGGATAGAGGGCACGTTGAGAGGGAAGAATCGAACGCGTTCTCTACACGCCAGTCACCAGGTATGAGATTTCTGTACTGTACAGACAAAGACTTTCAGATTGAAAACCATGGAAAGAGCAAAGCTTGTCATTATATATGCATGCCAATCATGATGATAACGGGGAGGTAGTACCATGCAAATCACCAGTTACCGTGCGAACCTCTTGTGAACGCCGTAGACAAATGCCCTCCAAAAGAAACCGTAATGATACAGCCCGCATTTCTCCCAGATGCAACGTCACCCACAATTAAAACCTTTCGTCTCAGCTGGGTCTAGTCCACCCGCCGACATGCAATGCCGCCTCCCCGCCCCTCTTCCCCAAACTCATAATCCTCTCCGTAGCACTAGCGGGGAAAAGATGCTTACGACCATGGACCTTCAACCCACGCCCCAAATGGACAAAGAGAGGGATGAGAATCTAACCCCCATCTACGCCTCATCATCCCTCTTCCCCTCCCCTCCGCGCGGCGCATACAGATGGAACTGCCCAAAAATCACAAAATCCTCCACCATTGTGCCCAGCGACCCCATCAACCACGGCAGCGCATTCAAAAGATACGCCCGGTCCTGCTTAAACGCTACAAGACTAGCCCCGTACGTCAGATTCCCCGTCAGCGACAGCAGGAAAAACAGCAGCGCGAGCCCCTCGCATGACTTCTCCCGGTAGTTCTTGATGATTTGCGGGATACGCGCGCAGAGGTAGCACGCGGCGCTAAAGTAGCCCAGCGCCAGACCAATCTTCTCCCACGTGCCGTCTGCCGCGGCGGGGGATCCGCTGCTGCCGCTGTCGTCGCCGCCGGGGGTATCCCATGCGCCGGCCTTGTACGAGAGGAACCAGCCCGCCGCGCCGACGAGGTAGACCGCCAGGATGCTCAGGGTGTTATGAAGCCACGGGTTGCTGTCGGGAGTGTCGTCCTCGCCCGTGACCATCTTGCGCAAGGGGTCCAGCGAGCTCTCCTCATGCAGGCCCTGACGGCGGTGCGAGCCGGGAAGGCCCGCGGCGGAGGAGCTACGGCGACGCTGGGCGGAGGCGGGCAGGAGGGGCTCGTCTTCCCTCGCCTCAGTCGGGTTCGCGCCAGTGGCTGTCACGGGCGCAGAGCTGCGGCGGCGGGAGGATGCGCGGCGCGCGTTCTTGGTATTGTAGTAGACGCATTGGGAGATGAGAACGAGGTCGGCGAAGCAAAAGTAGGTTGCAAGGGCGACGGCTGTCGGGGCGAGGTGGGTGAAGAGGGCGCCTATATGATAGGAGCTTGTTAGCGGGGGAATAGTCCTTCTCAGAGCACGCGCCAACTTTTTTTTTTTTTTTTGGTGCCGCGTGTTGGAGGTTGGAAGTTGGAGAAATTTGCGGTATGACGAAAGGCGCATTTTTCTTTCAAGAAAGAAGCAGCTGTATGGAAGAAAATTCAAGGCGCAAGTGAGATGGAACATTGACAAAGCGCCAGAAAAAAAAGTGCAGAGCTGGAAATTTCCGTACCCATGAGGTTTGTCACATCCCCAATCAACCAGATAATCAGGAAGCCCATGGACAAGCCATCAGCGCTTTGCGACTTGTAGTTGGTAAGGAGTTGAGGAAGCTGTGCGCAGATAAGAACAAAACGTCAGTTACTGGGGGAAAAAAGCCGTGATTCAAGGTCGCGTGATCACGCGAAGGCGGGGAGAGACGTACGAGGAGGCATATCCACGCGGTCAAGCTGATGCTGCCAAAGATTCCCGACAGGACCTCTTCGACCTTGGGAGTCGACGATAAGGCGGCGAAGGCCGTGACTGCGAGTGAAGCCATTGTGTTCGGTAACTGCCGGTACAAATCGACAATACTCACCAATGTAAGGAACGTGAAGGGGAGGAGAGGAGGGAAGAAGAGCCGCGGTGACGGGGTTTTGGGAAGCTCTTTTGCCGTTCCTCAGTCAGGTGGGCTTGGAATGGGTCAAGTGGGATGGTTTGTCTGGCGATGGAGAGTCACGCAGCAAGACATTGTTGGTGGTTCGGCACGGGTAGGGGGCTGATAGCGCCCACCTCTCGTCCAATCTGAGCGCAGCATTCGTCTTTTTGCGTATCGCATCTCTTATCGCTGACCGCATCCGATAAGAGATCTTGCATGACATAACCAATGGACCAAGAGCGGGCTTGGCGGCGGAGGTGCGGATGACAAAGAGGGCAATTAGTGGGGGTCGAGCATGGGTGACTCCAGTAAATATTGACCAGAATTTGGCGGGCAGAGCGGGTTCACCGCCGCAGAGAGGTAATCGGAGGGTCGAGCTGAGCGAGTTGCGCCAATGAAGAGGCCTGTTTTGGTCATCCCGCCATAGTACTTGCAAGTCCGAGGCTGGAGCTGAGTACGTATCGGAGGCTGGAGCTGATAAGCTGGGCTTATGTGATTGCCCCAAGATGCTTCCGCGCGGCGTGCCTTTTGCATCTGCAGCGATATCGAGATGAACCGCTCGTTTGGTCCAGGAAATATGTCCGAATGCATGCAGCGACAGCCGTCACCCAAAGTCTAAAAGTGGTCTCCAATCATAAGGTAGGTATGGATAGGTGCACCATCAAATAGGCACACAGGCTAAGATTCCGCATTCCAGTGGTCACTGGACATCCGCCGATCATCAACATTCCCCTCCTGAGTGGTCATTCACGTGGGTCCCGTGCTCCCCCGTGCACCGCCATAATTCGCCTTCCGTGGCTGAGGCGGCAAGGCGGCAAAGGCGGGTGTGGGATGGTGGGGATGGGTGAGCACCCCGGCGCCCCGTTCCTCGGCCAACTCGCGTCTGCCGGGGCTTACACCAACGGCCCGCTCAGCGCCAGTCATCCGTGTTGACGTCGACGTGGGCTGGCGTGCATCGCTCCCGTCCCAAGACCGGTGACCTAACCATGCGTCTAGCTCCCATTTAACCTCGCGTCCGTCCTGTCCCCGCCTTGCTTGTCGTCGTTCAGTCACTTTGACTGACTGGATTTTGTAGTGTCAGAATCTTAAACTAAAGTTGCACCTCTGTGTCACTCACCTGTCAAATCGTAAGCCAACATGAGGCTTTCGGGCACCGTAGCACTGCTCGGTGCATCTTTACGCGGAGTCGCAGCATGGGGGAGTATGTCATCGACTCCCTAGCCCACAGGGGCTTCACAATGACCTCGAGCTCCATCGCTGACCGACTTGACTCACTAGGTCTGGGTCACATTGCGACGGCGTACCTAGCCAGCCACTTCGTCGCCAACACGACCGAATTCTTCTTCCAAGACCTCCTGCGCAACGACACCGAACACTACCTGGCCGGCGTCGCGACCTGGGCCGACACAATCCGGTACACGCGCTGGGGACACTTCACTGGGCCCTTCCACTTCATCGATGCCAAAGACAGTCCACCCGCCTATTGCGGAGTCGACCTTGAGCGAGACTGCAAAGATCAAGGCTGCGTAGTGACTGCACTCGCAAACTACACTGCTCGGTCTCTGGATCCCAAGCTGAGCGGGTGGGAACGCAACCAGGCTGCGAGATTCGTTGTGCATTTCATCGGCGACATCCACCAGCCTCTTCACAACGAAGATGTAGCTCGTGGAGGCAACGGCATCCACGTCAAGTGGCAGGGCTCCGATTATAATCTGCACCATGTCTGGGACAGCTCCATTGCCGAAAAGTTGATTGGAGGTTCTCGTCGGAGACCGTACGACAACGCTAAGAAATGGGCGGATGAGCTTGCTGACGAGGTCAAGACTGGGAAGTTTGCTGCGCAGAAGGGAGAGTGGCTCAAGAGTCTGGACTTCAACGACGTCAATGCAACCGGCCTCGAATGGGCGAGAGAGGGAAATGCTTTCGTGTGCACACACGGTATGTCGATTCCCATGCCACCGGCGCCCCCACAAACCGGAAAGGCGACGTCGGAACTGACTATTGTATAGTTTTTCCAGAGGGGCCGCGAGCGATTGTCGGCCAAGAGCTCAGTGGCGAGTACTTCCAGAAAGCGGCACCTGTGATTGAACTTCAGGTCGCCCGCGCGGGTGTGAGAATGGCCGCTTGGCTGGACCTCATCGCGGCGGCATACCAAGACCAAGCGAAAACGGCCGAACCTGTCATGGAAGACTTGTGAGATGATGAGATGAAACGCCAAGCATGTTGCGTTGTACACGACTTTCTGTAAAAGACCCTCGTTTATCACAGAGCAAAACGTGTTTTGACGCAGTGAAAGCTTGGCACTGCTGGGGCCATCTGTGTATATTTGATTTAGTGATCCAGTCCTCGAAGTAAACATCCTCGAATGCCTGGCCGACAGATTGATACAGAACTAGGCTCTCTCTAGATTCATGTGTCGTAACAGTGCCAAGAGCGTGACAGCTACCACGCGGCGACTCACAGATTAGACATTGTAGGTAAAAGCCTTCCGACCATGCGAATGATGTTGATCACGCCGGTCGTGGCACGTTCTTGGCCGGGCCTTCATCAGCAGAGAGTGTGTCTGCGATGGCTGAGGTGGCCAAGTTTGATTACCATGGAATAGCTGTTTTCCTGAGGCGTATTCGGCAAACATTGGCTGGCTACGAGAAAATGGCGTAACTGGAACACATTTCCCTCCTGGTGGTGGGGAATTTGAAGTCACACTAAGGACGGGTTGTAAGTCTAGCCGTGACAGCAAAGCGTAGCAATTGGGATGATAGGTGACGTCTGACAAGTGAAGTGCGATGACCACCCTTGTCGAAGGCCCGGGAGCAGCTGGACGAGCAACAGGTCGAAGGATATTGGATACCGAAGCAGAACGCATGGCAATCGACCTAACGGGATTGGCACGGGTTCTGCATCTCAAGTTTGCGATGACGGTTCAAGCGTGCTGGGGCGCATAAGCATTCAGCGACGATAGTGCAAGGCGTTTGCCTCTGTGACAGTTGACTGGTTTCAACTCGTCGACCCGAGCTGGGATGATAGGTAGGTCCGCAGGCCGGATCCGAGGAGGATGCCTGCGGCTTCAAGTGAAGACGAGGTTGCGCCGGTTGGATTGAGTGACAAATGGATGGAAGTTGAGGTGAACCTGTTTCACCATTGGATTTTTGGCACAGGCTTCAAACTCAGCCTCTTGTCGCAGAATGCTGCCCCTCCCTGGCGTAAGTGGAGGTTCGCGACAGGGGCGCTGTACAGTGTCCACCGCAAGCGACCCCGGTGGCTCGGATCCAGATAAGGGAAAATTGATGACAAGCCCCGTGATTGATCTTGGAATTGGATGGCATCTCAGGGGAGGAACAATCTGCTCGTTTGCGGGATCTCGGAAGGGATGAGACGAATATGGGGGAAGCGTCGGCTGTGGTGCCGGTCTTTTGGGTGCGGTTGTGGTAATTCGGTTTCGTCAGATGATCCTTTGCGATGCAGCTTCAAGCATCAAGCCGTAGAGCCGTGCCGTTTGTTGCCAGGCGCAGGCGAGGCCGCGAGGGCATCATCATGTAGTGCGTGGCTCCGCATCCGAGTGCAAATCGGCGACAAGGCAGGCCGTTCCCATCGACAGAGCCAGCGCAGTTATCCACGACGTGGTATATGTGCTCAGAATCGCGGATGCAAGACCGAGCATGTGTTTCCAGTGGTGCCAATGGCGAATCCGTCATCCAGCAAACGTCGTAGGGCAGTATTAGGTGGGGACGATCAATAAGGTAGCATTAGACTCATCGCCGTTTGCAAAATGTCCGACAACACCCAGCTCAGAAAGAAAAATTCTCAACTCGACGACTTGGGTTGACGATAGAAAGTAGCAGACGAGCTGAAGATCGACACGGTCATCCCATGGATAAGCATCTGGCGCCCTGGGGTTGGGTGAAGAGCAAGTTCAGATTGACCTTTTGCTCGGATGGCTCTCGCAGGACAAGCCGATCGTCCGAAGGGCAAGGGGAGGGGGGCAGAGGTGGGCACCGGGGTTTGGTCGTCGGCATCGTCGTTGAGGTGGCAGGTGGCAGGTGGCAGATGTCCGAGGAAACGGGGCAATGGCATGGGAGAAGAAGAAGGGAGGGGAAGACTCGGGGGGAATCAGGACCGTTGGCAAGGGACCCCCCTCCACCTTGCGCCTCCCGGTCTTCCAGGGCTGTGGTGGTGGGGCGGGCTTCTGGCGGGATACTAGGTAATTAATGACAACCTTAAAAGCAAGAGAGGATGAGTTAACCAACCTTTCCTCTTTCGGCGATCAAAGTGGAGCCAGGGATCTCCACGGGTCTTGGGCCGCTGCAGGTACCGAGTGTAAACGGCGCTTGGCACTCCTGCTGGGACGTGGGAGGTGCAAGTGCGAGTAGATACCTACTCAATTCCCCAATCCCACCCAGGAGCGATGGAGATAAGGCACGTACCTCCGTTTGATAAGGTGAGGCAGCGGTAGGAAGGAGACGGTGCACCTTCCTTCGCTCGCCTTCTTCGCCCTGCACTCCTCCTCCTTCATCATCATCATCATGGGGTTCCTTGGCACTCAACTTTTGACGGGAGGAAGATCATCCTCGACGCTCCAACCACATCGAAAAGTCCTCTCACCCCTGGAGCCCCTCACTGCTCGCCCTCTTTTCTCAAACCGACAGCCCACGGTACCGTAATTGGTCGTTCCAAGGGGCCTTGCCGTCATCCGAACTTGCCGAATAACAGATTAAGTTTATTAGATGTTTGATACCATCGTTGCTGCGCGCCCGCTGAGCTTCGTTGCTAACTTGCTCGCTTCGCCAACTCCATATTCTGACCAGAAACGGATGCGAGCTGTTCCTCGTTTGCTTCTTCCATTCTCTGCAAAACGGCAACAAGATAACTTCCAGGCTTTGCCGCACTTCCGCCCAAAGCCTCCGTGCACCTCCGGCCAAGCGGTACGAGGCATTCGTTCGCGGTGCAGATGAGGCACACGGCACAATTCCCGCCCTTATCTGCAGGATGGATTCCATACGGGCAGGCTTTGAGGTGGAACGAAATGCAGTGGAGTTGATGCGTTGCAGCTCGCCTACCAGGGTTAGACGGGCGCTTCCATCCTAATGCGAACCGATAGAACCGCCAAAACCAACGGTTGATGTTAACCTTCTGGTGCAGCTGGCCGGCCGTCGCACTAGCACAGCATGTGTCACCCGTCTAAACGGTCCGATGCCAATCATCCCCATTGCCGCTTTCTCCCGGCCGAGCTTGAGACCGTTCTCGTGTCGCGGGTACCCGTTCCCACAGAAGCACCACGGAAAAGAAATACAGCGTGGCTCGGGGATCATCAAGCGGTAACGTCAATCAGAAAACCCTGTCGCGAACGTGACGATGTGGACGTTGCGTCTCTGGCGGGTGTGCGCGCTTTCAGCAGCCCTTCTGCGTGGCCAGGCTTGGCGATAACCCGGGCCTCAGGAAAGCCAGCGTCCAGAGGCACTGAGGCAAATCATGGCCGATTCTCAAAGAGCTTAGCATGAGGGGCTAAACCGATGACGACTCATGGCTCATGAGCCAAATCCAATTCCATTCCCAGCGTGCCATTCGTCTCGACGGGGATGCAGCTCGTACACAGTCCTTGGTCTGCAAGAAAACGGAGATACGCTGTAACGATTGTCCCAACGGATGACCCGTTAGACACAGGCCAGCACCGCCTGCCAGCTGATAAGTGCAAGCTGGACTTGGACAGAATGCTCCAGAGAGATTGGGACGGAGAGGGCTTCGCTCAGACAGACAACGAGCGAGCGATCGTTGACGGTTGGACCTTACTTAGTAAAGGTACACGGTAAAGAAACGTTGAGCGAGTACGGTGACGAGGTACCGCGCTTAGGAGAAGGCAAAGGACGAAAATGTCGTCCAATGTCTCGCTTCGCTTCATCGACGCCTCGGGCGAAACGCCATTTGCCTGATGTGCCGGATACAGCGCGCCGTCATTGGCTCGCTAAGCCGCGGCGGGACCATATGGGGACTCCATGACCCCATTCTGCGACGACAGGAGCCGCGTCAGACCTCGCGACGGGACAAGCCAACCACCAGACGGGGGATTCCTGGTTCCTGACAGCAACCACCACCGCCGTCAACCTTTTCCTGCCTCGCATCTTCAATCCCTACCAATAATGGCAGGCACTCCTGCCATTGGACACCTACCACGCCTCTGAACCACATCAAGCTCGCCATTCCCGCCCCATGCATGCCCACCTCGACGAACCCCTGCAGCAAGCTCAGATCTCTAGTCTCCCGTCTCTCACTCAACCTCCCGATCCCCCTCACCCTCCGTGCCTCTTCGTCGGGGTCGCAGGCGTCTTCCCTTGCCAAACTAGCCGTCGCATACCATCTCATCAGACAGATGCTTCCTAGTCTCCCGCAGCGAATTTGTCCCTACACGGAGACCTGCACAGAGAGCACACCCCCCATCACCTTTTCCCACACCCCCGTTCGTCATCCACTGCGGGCCTGCCATTGCCCGCACGCACGGGGATCAGATGCTAAGCAGCATCCATGTACTCACACCCCCGGCCAACAGTTTGAGCCGTCTAGGTGCTAGGTATTCTGCAGACTGCTGCTTCTGTCAGCCCTTGTCTTGTCCTCCTCCTCTCCCGTCTCCCCTGCGCCGCGTTTTGGACTCATGGAGACGATTCCTCTTCCCAAGCCGCCATGGAACCTGTCTACGTCCATACGACCCCTTGGTCGAACCGGCACCAGCCTGCAACCGCAGCCCTGCACATATAAGACCTGAAAGCTTGGCATTCATCGCATCTCTTCCTCCCCTCTCCCTTCTTATACCGCAGCAGCGCTCAGTCTCAATCACTCTTTTCACCCTTCACCCTTTACATATATTTCTATTCACCCTGTTGCCTCACGCCCGGAGTGTGTCATCACATTCATTCATTCATTTCTTTTCATCTTGCTACGTATTCAGGTGTCTGTGACCGTTCCTTTTCCACTCTACTCTTATTCGCTTCTCGGTCTGGAACCAGCTATTTCGAACAAAGTTCTAGAATATTATTGACAGCGACTCGGTCGACAAACACCCTTGGATTCAGCAACGATCAAAGAGACACGATGCAGATTCAGAAGCTTATCACCGCCCTAGTGGGCCTGGCCGTGGTCGCCGAGGCCTCCGTCACCTTTCTCGACTCCTCGCCTCTGAGCGCCGCCCTCGCTAAGCGTCAACAGCGTGCTGGCAACCGTGCAACCGCAAAAACTGGCGGAAACGCAAGCAACGGAAATGCGAACAATGGTCAGAACGGAGCCCTGTGCTTGCAGGCGAACGCGGTGCAGAAGGGTTCGCAGCAGCCCGGAAAGCCCAGCGCGCAACAGGCCAACTCGAAAACGTGAGTATAGACGACCCCGCCGACCACTCTGAGATACGCTAACCGGGCTTTGAAGCGACAATGCCAACTTCATCAATGTCTGCTCCGGCTCTACCCTCACCGATGGTGAACAGAAGACTGGAGGTTCCTGCAATGGTATCCCAATGGGCAAGATCCCCGCCCAGACCAAGATGGTCTCTACGGTTATCACCAACCCCCCTCACAACGGCAACATCCAGGCCAACAAGGACTTCGACGTTCAGCTCAATATCCAAAACCTGCAAGCGGGCTCCTTCACTGATGCTCAGTCCACCTATTACTCCGCTCCCCAGGACCTCAGCGCTGAAGGTATCATTGTTGGTCACGTTCACGTCACCATTCAGGATATGGGCAACACCCTGACGCCCAGCTCGCCTTTGGATCCGACGAAGTTTGCCTTTTTCAAGGGTATCAATGATAACGGCAATGGCAAAGGCACCCTGAAGGCCACTGTCACCGGAGGTCTCCCCGCTGGAGTCTACCGCCTCTGCACCATGTCTAGCGCCTCGAACCACCAGCCCGTCCTGATGCCCGTCGCTCAGCGTGGTGGCCAGGATGACTGCAACAAATTCACCGTTACTGCCAACGGCGGTGCCAACGGTGGCGGTGGCGCTAACAACGCCAACAATGGTGGTAATGCCGCCAACAAAGGGGGCAACAACGGAGGCCAGCAGAGTAAGTCCATCGGGAGAGCTTCCGCTTGAGTGGGTGCTGACAGAAATCAAGACAACAATGCGGGCGCTGCCCAGGGAAATAAGCAGAACGGCAGCAAAAAAGGTGCCGGCGCTGGTCAAGGTAATGCTCAAGCAACACCTCAGAACACCCCTCAAGGATTTCCGAACACCCAGTTCCCTGGCCAATTTCCCCAATTCCCTGGAAGCGCACCCCCCGGACAGACCACATCACAATCCCAGACCGGAAGTGCGCAGGGAACTCCCAATGCTAACAGCTCCGGTCAGGAAGGGGACGCCGCCAGTAATTCGAAGAACGAGACGGCGACTCCCGCAGTAGACCCGGCGGCAGCGACAACAACCCAAGGTGGCGGCGCTTCCAAGAACGGCAACACCAATGGATCCGGACAGAACGGCAATGGGAACTCTTCTGGATCTGGCAAGGGAGGCGCGACGTCCAACGCTATCGGCGGAATCGCGGCCCCGGCGGTCTCGGACTCTGGCGATAGCAGCCGACCATTCTCTGTCAACGGGAACTCGTTCGTTTCAAAGGCCAATGCGGCGCAGCGTGCTTGCGATGTTCAACGGAATGCCTGTTTCAATGCTTTCAATGGTGGCAAGTTGAACGGGGCTACCACGGCCGACTGTGATGCCCAGGTGCAGACCTGCATCCAGGAGCTCTCTTAATCGATGCTTTTCCCAAAATTAGAAGAACAACAGCAACCGGGGGATTATTGGGATATGCTCGCTCGCGCTTCACGACAAGCGGGCCCTTTGACACACAACGACAAGTCTCTCAATCTTTTTTGGTTCACCCGGGTCGCCAAGACGTGTTCTGGTGTTTTCAGGTTTTAGTTTCTTGGGCTGTTATATTCTACATGGACTTGCAGAAGATTACTAGATGAGCAGGTTGGCGTGGGATGGTTTTTTTCTTTTTGTTTGACGAAAACCAGCACTCCCCCCGTGCTTCGATACCACACACAGACACCTACGTCAACGACGACACTCGCAAACTCCTCCCCCTCTATATTATTGTTCTAATGTTTCCCCTTGTGTTCCCACCACACACACATCTCATCATCATGACACAATTCTCACGATCCGACCTTTCTGTACATTAGAGGGAGATGCTTTTTTTCCGTTGACAGGATACGCGGCATGGCTTGGAAAGACATGGAAGACACGATTCCAGCAGAGAGTGCACACAGTTATCATGGATTATTTTTGCGTGGTTCCCAGTTGTCGTTGATTTCACATGTCGTGACGTGGTCTCCTAGCGAGATGAGTTAAAACAGATGACAAAGCACGATGTTACCCCATTCATCTCATCGAAAGTCGGGGTGGCAGGAGGTATACCGGCAAGTGTGCGCCGAAAGTCTCCTCTCCGATGTTGGTGCCGGTGAAGTGAAGAGGTGTGGTGCCGAGTAGCAGTCTGAGCTGCGGCGTCTGATCTGCGTGTCGCGAGGATATGGGGGGAGGGGGTGGGATGTGTCTCGGCCGGGGGCCGTGTCATGCGCCGGGGGGTAACTTGGCTGGCGTTTGGGGCCTGCTTGTTTGGAAAGACTCGGCCGCTTTGGTGGGAGGGTTTTGTTTATGACTAAGCTTGAGCGTGGCATTGTATGTGTGTTGGAGACTGCTGTTCGACTTGGCAGGTCTTGAGAGAGTGGAGGGAAGGGGGAATAGGGTGAGCAGTTGAGACGCGTTTCATCTTCCCTTCTTTGCTGCCGGAGTTGGGACGGTTGGGAGGGATGCTGCGACGGAGGGTGGGGGGCCGTTTTTGCGGGCTTGCGGGTACCAGATAGCAGACAGAGTTGGATTTACAGGGAATTGCATTAGAGCCTGGTCGTGACGTTACAAGTCGAGATTGGGTCATATTGGTAGGTACGCACGTGGCATGGCACCTTTTCGGTGTTGTGAGTACCCGTGGGGGGTGGTGGTTGAGTCCTTTTTTTCTTCTTTTTTTTATGGGGGGGTTTCTGGGGCAAGTTAATTAGGAGAACCTTTTTAATGTTTCGGAAGGGAGAGCGAAAAAAATTAATTGACGCTTAAATCTGCCTTACGGATACTTTGAACCTATTCGCACGCGCATGATGGATGCTCTTGATGTAGACGAATTGGCAAGCTCGGCGGACGCTAAGGTTAAAGGTCTATTTCCGTGACTCTTCTTCATTCTCCTCCTCCTCCTCCTCCCCCCACCACCCCCCTTCCCGCCTTTCCGCCGAGGCCGTAATACCCATATTTGGCTTTTTGGACCTCTGACTTTGGCTCTGAAGAATCTACGATATTTGAGTTGCTTTTTTCCCTTCTTCTGCAAATCTGTGCTGTATGAAGGTGGTAATGTGGTGGCAAGTGCACGATAAGAAGGCAACCTCCTCCCCACCCACCCTCTTTTATAACGCCCATAGCGTCTTCGACGAATGTCTTGTATCTCTACCATTGAGCAGAGTTTTGGTTTCCATGACTCAACTTTGGGTCCTTTTCTTTCTTCCAGTTCCCTCATTCTGGCCCACAGCTGCATCTTATCATGAGTTTTTTTTTCCCCCTTGGATAATGCAGGTACCAAACCTTGCCGGGGAGCGCAAAAGATCAACAGTCCGTGTTTGTCCTTCCCGTGGAGAAACGTGACAGCCCTGCCCAAAAAAAAAAGTCATGTATTACTTCGCCAGCCCGTAGCCGCGTGTTTTCGTCCCGAGTTCCTTTCTTAAAAATCTTCCCATGTGAAGAGACAAAAATTTGGCCAAGAAAGACTGATAATGGGAGTTTCGCCTGATTTTTTTTTGAAGCAAGCGGAAAAGTCCCGAGATGAAGGTGAAGGTTCGGGAGGCTCCGGCGTTGAGGCGACGCGAACTGGCATCTTGGCCTTTTTTTTTTTTCTTTTTTCTTTCTTGTTTTCCCCCCATTGCCCTTTGCCCGTTGCTTGCCCTTCTCCCGCCTTGCATTCCTTTTTGGGGTACACACTCTCTTGGCAGGAAGAGATTGATTTTTTCGGAGAGACGGCAGGGCTGAAGTCTAAAGAAATGTAGGGCGGAATATTTTGAGTTTTTCTGGGACGGTGGTGGGGGGCAGTGGACGACAGCCTTATTTGGGCCTTTTGGGTTTTTTTCGTGTTTGACTTGTCTTGTTTTCTTTCTCCTTTTTTTGCCATGGGAAAAGTATTTTTCCTTTGACCGTTTTTGTTTCTTTATACTCGATTTCCCCCGTTTCATGGCTCTATTACGTTGGGGATACGGTTTGAATACGTTTTGCTAATCGGCGTGTAACGCGTCTATCCGGCATGGCTTGCAAGTGCGCGGCGCCGCTGGCTTGATTCTCGTCGGGGATGGGGTAGGATTCCCATCCTCGTCGGGCGGATGTCCGTTGTCAGCGCACACCCCAAACGAACACGTAGACGTACGGATGCTCGAGTAGGTTACGGGTTCTCGGGACTGCCGCCAGAGTTCGCAAGGTCGGGGTCGGGAAGCCCCCTTCGGATCCGACCGGAGGTGATCCGTCCCCGCTCCGGCTGTGAAGTGGAGTTTCGCTAGTCCGGAAGCCGGGGCGGGCCATGGTACTCGGCCACTTGTGCACCATTTTTTAAGCAAGTTAGTCACACGCGTGCCGTGATCAGCCACGAGTGTGAATTCGGTCACCGAGGTACGGGCAAAAGGGTACGCGGACCGGTGGCATACAGGCGAAGGGTCACAGTCTCCCTACCTCATCTGTACTGCGTATATAGCGGCTTCTTGCGACTTTTGTAGAGAAATGGGCGTCACTCGATTTTGAGAGCTATGGGAGGCTATGAGGGGTTTGAAGCCCTGTTTTTCACAGTAATGATTCGGTATTTTGTGGGCGCCTTGGCCCACGAGGCCCCGAATAGAGCAGGAGTCTCACTCGGGCGGTACCCATGGAAGCCTGAGAACCAGATCTCCTTTCCGCAAAGTGACGTTTGTTTCCTCTCCTTGCAGAGAACCTTTCAGAAACCAAAGTAAATACCGCACAAGAGCTCGTAAGCTGAAGACACCGGTTTCGATATAAGGCTGTGGGTGCCTCAGTTGGGCTGGTGCTGGGCGTGGGCTTTTTGCTCCCCGAGCTCATCGCTGCGCCTCCATGTCTGAACACCATGCAATGCTGAACTTCATCCACATTACTATATAGGCGCCATGCTCGTACCTTTGTGATTCGAATGTAGGGATTGCTGACTTGTCAGGCTGATCAGATCAACAGCCAGATCTGGACCCCGTGAACCTAGATAGGACTCTGCACCGAAATCGCCAAGCAAAAACGGCAATCGCCATGGGCAAACCGAGATTCGGAATCGATCAATGGCACACTACAGAGGAAGAGAACTGAAAACGATGAGGGTGGTGAGAATGGGTGAGAAACTTAACTATACCCGATCCTTCTCGTTTCCTAAAGCCGCGAAGCCATTTATTTGTCAACTAACGCTAGGCACTATGAAGAAACTTAGCATCATCCTTTTACAAACTCTTTGCGCCTTCACAGCTGAACAGAGGGGTATCGCTGAGAAAGAGTGGCAAGAAACCTCAAAAAGATCTGGTGTATGGGATGCCGCCGCTCGCGTCGACGAGCGATCTGAAGCTGGTTTGGCTCGAGGACTTCGTCGCGAGGTTGACCAAGGCTGCGCTGCCTGGTGCTCATTTGAGCCTGGTGCTTCCCTGGTTGAGACGCGTACTGTCTAGGTACGTCTTGGGATTAGAACTGGTGTTTCTACGTCTACAATCTTGATGATGATTTCGATTCGCGCCTTGGAAGGGGCGGGTGGGAAGATTCGTTCGCTGCGGATTCTGCCATTTTTTTGGGAATTGGTTTGACGAAGCCCGCCGGGAGAGTATTGCACTTTGGAATTCCCATTCGCTACTGACATTGGCTGAATCGATGTATAGAGGGGTGTTGATGGCGGTAACTGCCTTGTCAAGAGCTTCGGTGGGAACCAGAACTGTTCCAACATGTCCAACACAGGAATCAACTGGCTCGCAGCGAGCGTTACGTGAGTCCGTCCAAAGTGCATACCACCACTTTGAGGAACCATGTTTGAAAGAAGTGTAGCGCTGGGTCAAAGTCTATCACTGGCGTCCTAGATTGGTGGATGCTGGCCTTGGTCTTGTACCCCGAGGTTCAGTAGCGTGCTCAGGAGAAGCTGGATCGTGTTGTGGAACGCGAGGCGGTCCCGAAGTTTGTCGATCACTATTTGAAGCTTCCCTACATTCAAGCCATGCTAAATTGCTGATGGATGGGCGATCTTAAATATAAGAAGCAATGGAATTCTTCATGATTGGAACTTCACCAGGTCAAGGACGGGCTTCGATGGTAGCTCGTCGATCCAAGAGGTCTCCCGCACCAGAGCTCCGAGATATGTCACAACCTTGTGCACATAGCTCTTAATCGTCTAGCTCTTAGTGAAGGACATTTGGTACGAGGGTCACTTCATCCCCAAGATCCCCAAGGGCTCGATGCCTATCCCCAATGTCTGGGCCATGGACCGGGACCCGGACATATACGGCCTGGATACCCATCACTTCAACCCGGCGAGGTATCTTGATCAAACGACTGGCCAACTCAAGACGCTGCCTGCGGAGACGAAAGATCAAGTACACGTCACATTTGACTACGGCCGCCAGATTGAGAACGAGGACCTCTTCATCACCATGGCGACGGGACTCTGGACGATCAAAACTAAGCCGGAAGTAAGATACAATGCGCTTGGTGTCCCTATAGACATCTATGGGTGTGTCTACAACGGTGTCATCGTGTAAGATACCCCCGGACGGATGCTTGTTGCGTTGTCACTGACTCTGATCCCAGACGCCCGGTTCCGTTTGAGTGTACTAACAGATCTCGATTTCCTGAGGCGGTAAAGGTTTTGAAGGCCGCCGAGGATGACGGCGTTAGTTGAGAAGCCATTGATTCCTATATGAGAAGGCACTATCCTGCTTAGATATGGAGTTTCATTCCGTTCCCACCACCTCTAGCTTGTCTGTCCCGTGGTCAAACCTCTGGAACTTGATATCCTTAATCTATGGGCTAGCTCAATTCACTGGTATCTGCCTTATTCATGGATGATTTCGATCAGAATACTACTCGCCTTATTGCAGCATTTCGGTCAATTTTACCTGCTTGAATCCCTGCAGTTTCTTTCTACTCATTCCCCATGTGCATGAGAGCTGTCCTGTTTAGAAATTGTCCCGACCCTGTCAGACGTCAGAATTCAAGATAAAAGTCCCTAAAGAACAGTAATCGCCGTTACTGCACCACGTTGGTACTGCAATTTGACTCATCACTTTGAACTTCATCTGAAGCATTGGTTCCACTCACTCACCATGCCAGAACCTCGGGGACATCAGATCGCGCACTTCAAGGAATCCCATGGTGCGCTAAAGTCCTTTCAGAGCCAGGCATCATCGCCAGACTGCTCATCGGCCGCCAATTCGACCCGGACAACCGCATCACCTTTGAGTTCTGAGGCGTAAAGGTCTTCAACGCGGCCACGGTGCCGTTCTTCATCGGCTGCTTTCATATGCCGGCGCCATCACCGGACGCCGATAGATGATTTCCCGACGGCCGATCCCTCAAAGAAATCTAGATGACCAAGGTCCGGTGCTTTTGACCCTCGGTCACGATCTGAGCACGCTGAAGAAGAAATAGCGCCACGGCCGCGCTGTCGCGGCTATATTTGACATGTGCATAGGTGCAATCGGGTTCATCAACAAGTTGCTAGTGTCATGCCGGTACCGTCGCAGGTTCACGCAGACCTGGGACGTCACGTACATACAGCCAGTGTCAACGATGTTGACGATGGCTTGTACGGCGATCTTGAAGCGGACGGAAGGGCCCAGGAAGTTCTTGGTTGAGGCAAACATCACCGATGCGCATGGGACTGTTTTTGCTAAAGCGGAAACACATTTCGTTGGACTGGAGAAGCGGAAGAAGACATAGGAGAAGCTTCGATGGGGTGCCTGAGAAGTGTTAAGTCGAATTGTTCAAGCGTAGAATCTGCTTTGAATAGACATCGCCCTCTGCTGCCAGAACCTTCAGTCTCCCTTACGTGAGTAGCAGGGGAGACTCCTCTCTTAGATGGCTTACATACAATTGGTGCCGCGATAATAGACTCCGCAATTTGGCCTCCCTTCAAGAAGAGTTTCCATCAATCAAGCAACTTCACTGTGATGAACGGCCCAGGTAAGTCTGCCAAAATTCGCCACATTCAACCAGAAGCTTAATTGGCTGGCTTTCTGGCATAGATTGAATGACTGTTGATATTAGTGAAGCCTCTGAAACAGGAGATATTTTGACTCACACTGGGAAGTACGCGTGGATACTTCTATCGCTGAACTCCTTGCGCACCTGCATCAGGAGAATCAGGACCTCCTCCCTAGACCAATTCAAGGCCCGGGTAAAAGGAGCCATGCAGAAGCCCTCCCAACCAACCACCAAGTTTTCATGGCACCAAGCACCGAGCTCCTTGTGCCGTGCATCTTTGGCCCAGGGATTCGTTGGCCACTTGTATCTTTGGACAGTCACGTCCTCAAAACCAATGTTCGTCAGGATCTCCTTGAGGGCCTGTGCATTGTGGTAAGGACGATCGAACAGTTTGGCAGCCTCTTCGAGCATGCGAACAGACTTCAGGATGGCAGAGTCTTCCTTCAGAGTGCCGTCGTCGGACTGTGGGCAGGCATCAATCTCGTTCAGTTCGATATATCCACCAGGGTTGAGGTTGCTACTAATATTATTCATCACATCTAGTCAAGCTTTAAGAAGAGATTGACTTACTCAAAGCAAGTCCGTATATAGTCTTCCCAGTTCTTAATTGAGGATGTCATGACTCTACTATGGATGTAGTCGAATGGCTTAGAGTAGGTCCAAGTATCCTCAATGTCGTCAATCTCGAAGCGAACGTTGGGAGGAGTACTGCAGGTGGTCAATCGCCATCAAACAAAGTATCATGAGGAGCCGAAAATGGAGAAATAAAAGAAACACACTAGCTGGGCCATGCTGCAGATAAGTCGACACCAAGAACCTGAACTTTTATTAGCATCCTCGACTCATGTGAAAGAGGTTTTATTCGACCTTACCTCAGCTTCCGGGTGTTCATCGCCAAAGTCAATTGCCCAGATGCCGGTCCCCGTGCCAATATCAAGAACTCGGTGAACAGCCGAGACTTGAGTGTTGGTGTTTGGTGGCGCAGTTCCGAGTTTGTTCTCAAAGGTTAAGAGAAACATGTTGTGCGTCAAATCTGTGTTGGCAGGCTTGAGTTAGTCCAACAAAACACTTCACGATCCTATGAATTGAATCGGTCCTCAATCCGTACCAAGTCGGTCAAGCTCCCGTTCATCGTTAGGTATAGCATATTCTGTGCGAATAAGTGAGCTGCGGATCACAATGAGGTCCATTTTCGCAGCGTGCTGCTCACTGCCATCTTTATACTTGTGATATGTCCGTCCATTCTCGATCCGATAATCTAAGATGGAACTATTCACACTCGTACTTGAGGAGGCCACGCTCTCCATTGTTCGATGTTAATACATTGCCCACAAAGCAAGCTGTAGTAGCAGTTCGGTGACACACTTACGGGTCCAACCTCCGATTCGCCATCATCGTTGATCTGGGATTATTAGCGAGAGACTCTCTTAGGGTAACTTTTTGGTATCCGGACCTCATCAGGAACAATCGTGCCAATATTGTCGTCGCCATTGGGTGGGGGTGAATTAGGGGAAGAGTTCGGAGAGGATTTGGACGGAGACGGTGCCGCCCTCACCGCGTCCTGAGCCTGAGACATGATGATGTGGATACAAAAGTAAATGTTAAAGTTCTCTCTTTCCGCACCACATATTATATATACTTCTGTAAAACTTGGTCTGTCATATTTTACCCCTCTTTTGGCGCGTGATAGTCGTGCATGTCTGCGGCGTGCAAGCACAGTTGGGACGATTTCTGCGGGACCATTTCCGTATCTGGAAGGCCAACATTGTACAACCAACCAATATTGAAATGACCAATAGCTGTGAATCTCATCGGGCACGGCAAAAGTGGTGCACCAAGGTAAAGCTGCATTTACTTGAGATGGAAGCTGGTCAGTGCTATGCTCATGTTGCGTGTCGTAACCCCTAAAAGCTTCTAGATGATTTGCGTAAACAATTGCATAATTTACTAAATCATATTCTTCTTTTTTTACGGCGACACGTTATAATGGTCTAGAGTAAGTACGGGTGGTACGTATCTTTAAAGGCAGCTAACCACAGCCCTTCCAAATACCTCTCCTTTTTCTAGCTGAGACATAATCTCAGAGACGTGCTCAAAGGAGAAGAGTTCTATAGAAGCTCGAATCGTTCCCTTCTCAGCCGCCTGAAGCAATTCAGTCATTTGCTCTTCTGTTCCTACCATGGCACCCTTGATTGTCAGAGCTAGTGCAAATCTGTCAGCCTACCACATCTTCAAACAATATCAAACATTAAAGCAAGACAACGTACCTTTCAGGGCACACTGAGCAACTGAGATCGGCAACTCGAAATCATTCCGAGGTAGCCCAACGCAGACGATCGTTCCCATTGGCCTCAAAAGCTTGGGCGCAACTCGGTAGGCGTCTTCTGAACCAGGAACAACGATCACAGCATGGGCACCCTCCCCAGTCAAATTCTTCACCGACTGTTCCATGTCATCAGTCGCGTAGTCGATGAATTCAACGGCATCCTTCTCGAACCACTTCCTCTTCTCACCTCCCGTGTCTACCGCGATGACACGGAGCCCCTTCATTTTGGAAGCGATCTGCACTCCAAGATGGCCGAGCCCTCCTCCCGCTCCTTGGATCACAACCCAATCACCGCGAGACAAGTCATTATCCAGCATCGAAAGCGCGCCCATCATCGTGAGACCCGCACAGAGCAAGGGCCCCGCTTCCGCCTCGCCCAAACCCTCTGGGATCAGGGTCAGGTACCTCGAGTCTGCGACGACGTATCGCTGCAGGGTCCCAGGGCGATGCTTGCCGGTATTCAATTGCTTGGGGCAGTTGTTGGGGAACCCGCGCACACATACGGAACACTCGCCGCAGGCTCTGTAAAGCCACTTGACTCCGACTTTCTTCCGAAAGAATGACTCTGAGACGTGTTCGCCCAATTTCACGACTCTGCCGACGCCTTCATGGCCTATAACTGGATCGTAGACACCCAAACCTCGCAGAGCTCGAACTTCTGACCCGCTAAGAAGATGCCCACGATGTTAGGAAGGTAAACGTTGGAATGAGAGGCGATTGCCTCTTGGCAACGTACCAGACTCCGGTGAATTCAAGTTGAACGAGAACTTCGTACGGTCCGGGAGTTCCGACTGGAACGTCTTCACGTACAATAACCCTAGCATCAGGACCAGGGTTCTCGATAACAACTGCTCGCTGCAGACTAGGAATATCAGAACTCATTTTTTTTGGGCAAGATAATATGATGATAAACTAAGGTAGGCACCTTGGGTATGTGTCAAGTGAAAGTTGGGATATCTAGTGATTGTACGTCCAACGCAGTTTGTTCATTCGAAAATCGTGGGGTATACCCCGCGCCGGGAATGCACACGGCAGTCAAAGAAACGGGAATTTTGGACCACATCACGGGCCACAACCGGCTCCTTCGGTCCCGGTTATTCCGTCTATCAATATCCCTGCGTTGTACCTTAATCAATCTCATGCCGTGGATGTTTAATTATAGAAACTACACGATCAATTCCGCTCCAAAACTCCATAACCTACGCAAGCAAAACATCAGCTGCAAGTCTTTCTTTTCGCAACACGCTGCTCACATACCTACATGCGAATGGTTGTAAATGCCTAGCAAGTCCAGACGTAACTGCACGGGGTATTGGCAGGGGTGCAGCTCGTCTTTCCTTCGTTACCCTTGCCATTGAAACGTCCAGTCGTGTTGTTGCAGAGATCTGTAGTGTTGGAGTGGTTTATGCTGTCGATCCCGCAAGTGTTGTCGCTCAGGCACGTGCCCGTAAGTAACCAGGTCGTCTCTGTCAGAGCCAGAGGCGCCAGGAGAGCGACGATGGTGAAGAACTGCATCTTTGATAGTTTCGGGGGAATCCTGGATTGGGGGTTCTTGAGATCTTGAAACGAGAGACTGGAGGTGGGAATGCAATGTTTGAATGCAGTGCTACAACAATGCGAAATACTGCAGGGCTGCTAGCAACTTATAAATCCTTCCTTGTTTTTTAACCCCGGCACTTAATTCAGGCTGAGTATCAATTGGTAAGCGGCCTATGAGACGGAGAGTGGGTGTGAAGTTTGAAGTACGCCTAGGGCCATCATACGCCTGACTCGCAGAGGTAGATCGTTATTTGTGATGTGACGGAGAAGGTTGATCAATTAATCCATGTAAGATGATTATTCCACGACCCGAAGCACCAAGCGGTAAAGGAATTCGATGCAGTTGGAATTTCTGAACGGGGCTCCCACATAACCCAGCCAATGCCTACTGGTCCTATTTAAAGATGAACCGTTTGACACGAGATTCGCTTGAACAAAGTTGGTTTTTCCTGTAATAACATAGCGCATTAATCGTGTTTAGCAATGCTTGCAAGGTCTTCTGGGCATGAGTGTCATTCGAGGCATTCAATTGATTTCATAAGCCACAAATAGGATCACAATTACTACTGATAGTTACTGACATGTCTTCTTTGTTACACTGTAATGCTTCCAAGAAGTTTAGAATACCTTTGTTATGGGCTACGCCGGCCACAGTTCACCGCACTATACTCGTCTTTTCTCTACCTTTTTCTCAGCAGAGCCCCGCATAGAAAACTCTTCTCTTCAGCTTAGATTGTCAACACAGAAGACACCGCCACATTGAGCAAACCAAGGCTGTGCTCTTAACACCTTTCAATAGAGACAAACTTGATACAGATCTATCTTCTTTATAGTTCAAGACGAGAGACATGCGCCATTGACCCCTTGCGGGGGTGTGAAACTGCCATGGAACAATTGAAAATAGCACGCCAATAGCGATGATTACCTTGCAAGCCAACAATGGAACATGGCCTGTATTTCGGTGCGCTGGGAAATGATACGACGGGTTTTATGATCCATGAACACTATGGAATAAAGTTTTCTCCTGATCCCCCCGCATCCAATCGGGGCTCTTGCAAGGATAGACTCCCCTCTCTGGTCTTGTCTTGCATGTTCTGCTCTAGAATGTCCAGATACAATGCAATGACTGTACACCGTAGAGACTCATCAAACTCGGATTCGCGTTAAGCTATTTTCAGTACCTAAGACGCGCTAATCTCCCGCACTTTCTGAGGTTAAGATTCTGAGAGAAAGATCGTAATGGTCAAATACTTGGTAGGACAACGGGCGCACAGGCTAACGCAAATCCGAGTTTGACGAGTTTCTACGCTGATGATAGGCTTGCCTTGGAACCCTTATAGCAAGGAAGCGTTAGGTATCCAAGTTCCTCTTGGAAACGAAACGGGAGATGGCGTTGGACGACTGTTGCGACTTGTCTTTGGCTACTTCTCCACGGATACCGCGCAAAACTAATTTTATCACGGACGAGTTCGTGGAGGTGGGTCCAGGGAAAAGGGGGGTGCGCAAGTTTAGAGGCCCCCCATATACGGCACGCCGATACCTGAAGATGGAAGAGTAGGCTACATTGTATAGCCTGTAAGTCATGATGATGTGTCGCTTTCACTGACTCGGATAAGTACCCATTGATCCCCTCTCTATCCGAATCCAGTGTCGGAATATCCGGCTCTCTCCATATAAATGACCAGGAGGTGAACGCTGGGACCATTCATGTCACGCAGCCAGGGGCTCAGATAAGCAACAATCGCGCGAAAAGGCTGCGTCCCAAGATTCTTGATATGCTTTTCAAAATCAATGCCGCCTGTGTCAACGTCGCGCTGCTTCCAACAATGTAGGTACCAGCTTCGGAATAATCCCGTCCTCTGTAATTTTGACTGATCAATGTCTCCTGGTGCGAGATTTATATTTCCGGTACCGAGTAGATTGTCTGATTTCGAGCAACTAGAACCCGACCTCATGATAACATTTAGATCTGCATGTATCGTAAGCAAAAGATACTAGGCTACACCTGAAGTAGAACAAATCGCACAAAGACTTCGTCCCCATCCTGCCAGTTTTCTGCAGCATGTCAAGAGGTTTAAACCCTCAAGTGGTTGTCGAAAACCGTGCCTCAGCCCTTGAAACAGGTCTGTAGCACTTCCCCAAACCGGCCTACTACTCAGCCCTGAGATCCAGGGAGAGGTCCAATCTCACATATTACCCAAACTCCGAACATAATACATTGGAACTTTCCATCGGCCTCAGAGCCAGGTAATATGCCGGCTTGGGGATGTGATGTAGGCTCAGCACAAGGGCGAGATCATCTAGGGATCAACCTCTGCTTGTGGGTTTCAGTGGGCTCGTAGGTGGTATTGTAGTGTGTATCTTATGATCTTGATCAGAGCTATTGTTTCCTGAATAAACATAGGCAGAAGAAGAGGATGAGAAGGAAGGGGAAGCTTGAACAGAATGGGCTCGATATCCAGCTACAAACAAGGTCTTTATACTCATCTGTTAACATGAAGCTTTTCTAAAACAAAGTCCTAATGTCGGGTTTATTGCCTGCTACGGCTCGTCGATGAGGACATTTACGGCACGTTGGTTACACCGTAGTCCAGCGCAATACCAACCACAAAGGTTCAGAAAGGCCGCGCCACACGCAGTGTCACACATGGCATAAGGTTTCTTGACGAAAATATTCAATCCCGACCTTGAGGGCATTACTGTTGCGGCCGAGTGAGTACCCTTAGCTCGCTGTCGCGGCGCCTAAGGACTGAAGAGGGCTGTAATTAGAGTAAGTTTTTCCAATACTCTTACAGATATTTAGAAACTTGGAAACGGTAATGATCAAAAATGGTGCCTCCGACGTAATGCGACAATCAGGGGACTAGGATATCTACTATGTAGCAAGCTCCTCTGCCGGATTGAGACTGGTCTCTCGAACGCGTGAAAGAAATCCGTGGGCCCCACCGCACCGACATCCGGCCCCTCCTCCGCAATGCGGGGTCGACTGGAGACGGCTCCGCCTGGGAAAACGAGGTAAGCCGAACTGCAGTGACGTCGGAAACAACGGTCTTGGCCAGAAGCGAATTGAGTATCAGCCCAGGAACGCAAAGATGCGCGTGACCAAGGAATTCCCCTGCTCGAAGCAATGGGATAATTGGTCAACAGATCCGCAAAGGATTGCGCCGAACACAGACATCCGATTTGACCTGGCCATCTCACCAATGGAGGACTTTGACATCGTAATATACGGCTCAACCTCCGGCGCCGTGGCAGCGGCTATCCAAGCCGCTCGACTGGGGCGCCTCGTGGCACTCGTCTCTCCCCAAGAGCACATCGGTACTCCTGGCTTCCCGTCCTCCACCACACACGACGCTCCGTGATTTAACCCTACCCATGAACTTGGCAAACGAATGAGATTCTCGTTGCAGTTCAAGATCCAACTGACGAGAAGACTAGGCGGTATCCAGGTAAACGGTCTCGGCGCAACCGACATTGACAACCAAGCCGAGTTCCAGAACAGTACCACGCTGGGCGGTCTCAACCTCGAACTGCACCAGAGGATCAGCGCGCACTATGGTCGCCTGGACCGGTTGAATGAGGTCGTTGAGAAGAAGCTTAAAGACCCTAATGTTTGGCGGTTTGAAGCAAAAGTCGCTGAGAAGGTCATCAAGGAGTGGCTCGTGGAGTATTCATCCATACACATCATCAAAGTAAGTGCTCTCAAGGGGGGGGGGGTGGGGAGAGAAAACTTCGAGAATGTTGGAAATCCACTGACATATTTCACAATCAGTCTCGACTCAAAGAGCACGATGCCGTCGAAAAGGATGGAAGCAGAATAAAAGCGATCCGCCTCGAAAGCGGCCAAACAGTCACTGGAAAGGTACCCAGTCCATCACCTCTCCCTCGTGATGTGACCTAACACCGGGGCCAGATCTTCGTCGAAGCCTCCTACGAAGGCGACCTCCTATCCGCCTCCTCAATCTCCTGGACCCTCGGCCGCGAATCCGCGTCAAACTACTCCGAACTCCTAGCAGGCATCCGCAACAAGACGCTCTACTGCCAAATCAACGTCAATCTAGACCCTTACGTACTCCCAGGCAACCCCTCCAGCGGTCTTCTGTACGGCATATCCGACGAAGCCTTTGGCACCCCGGGAGACGGCGATTCGCATTTACAAGCCTATTCCTACCGCGTGCCACTGACCGACGACGCAGATAACAGGGTGCCCTTTACAAAACCCGCGGGATACGATCCGGCGCATTATGAGCTGCATCGCCGTTTTATCGGGGCCGGGGGCGAGATGTACACTCCGCAGAAGAGGGTTCCGGGGGGCAAGACGGATTTGATTGGGTCCGAGGGGGCGCTTTCGACTGATTTGCTGGGGAGAAATGACGAGTGGCCTGTTGCTTCAGTGGAGCGGCGGAAGGAAATCTTGGAGGACACGGCTCGGTTCACGAAAGGACTTTTCTGGTTCCTTGCCACAGATGAAGCAGTCCCCGTGAGTTTTGAAAGCCTCATCCCTGTCCTTTCCCTTTCAGCGCAGCCATGCAATGGGCGGGAAGGCTAATATGAATGGCAAGATTCACTACCGTAGAAAATGGTCCAAATTCGGCTACTGTCGCGACGAGTTCGCAGATAACGGGCACTTCCCTCGCGAACTCTACGTCCGAGACGCCCGGCGCATGATCTCGGACTACCTCGTCACCGAAGCGACCGCATCCGAAAACGGCGCTCCCCAGGTGTCGGACCCGGTGGCCGTGGCGTACTGGCCAACGGACACGCACAGCGTCCGCCGCATCCTCAGGGACGGCAAGGTGCACAACGAGGGCTTCATCTTCAAGGACGGGCACCGGTGGCGGCCTTTTGGCATCGCGTATCGTGCTTTGGTACCGAAGCGTGCGGAAGCTGTCAACTTCATCACGGCCACGTGTCCCAGCTCGTCTCATGTTGGCTACGGTGCGTGATTGATTCTCCCCGATGAGACAACTTCTGTTTTGATGATGGGAGACTGATTATTGAGAATTGAGTAGGGGCTGTGAGGCTGGAGCACCATTTCTACGCCTTGGGTCAAGTGTGTGCCAATGCTTGTGATATAGCGCTCGAGGAAGATCTGGCGGTGCAGGATGTGCCTTATAAGCTTCTGAGAGATAGGTTGGTGCGGCAAGGAGTTATCGTGGATGCTTCTGTCGTTGGTGTTCCGTCTTTTGGTGCTGAGTAGAAGTATCTAAGCGGGTTTTCAAAGGTCTGCGTAGGCTACAGCTTAGTGTCTACAAAATGTTGATGAAGCCCGAGTTGTTACAAAAGACTCGTTGCCCTCTTGGTGAAGTAAGCCGTTGATCAAAAATTAATGGCGAAAGGGCGTCTAAGGTCTCGGAGATTCTCACAACAGCGCTGCCGAGTTGTGAGTTGCAGTTATAGCAACAATAGATGCCGCTGGTCTGGTGCTATGGCTCTCGCTGTGGGCTTCTGAGCGGTTGAGGCTGTTGGGAATGCTATCTGTAGCAGACTTCGCCATGTTTCGGTTCGGCGAGGCGCTACTGGTGTATGTCTTGTGTTGAGGTAGGCTAGCTGTGGCAACGGCGTCATCATAATACACCAGGTTTCGGTATAGCTCATACTCCGCATCACGATTTCAAAGCCGCCCACTGGTCGACCCAGCAGCACTAATTGCACTGAGAGTCGTAGTCACGCCTTGTAGACTGGGGCTTTGAGCTTGTTATGTGTTGAGCCGAAGCAGCGAGCCAGTGATGAGCATCTGGCCTTCACGTTCCCTACTTCAGCTATACGCTGGCAGGTGATGCCGAGGTGGCAGAGAGCATGACAAAAATGACAGCAGAGAAGAGAGGGAAAGATGGAGATAAGGCACAGTCGCCTTTGGGAACCGTCTTTGGGAACCGCCTTTGGGAACTTGCCACTTGGTGTTCGCCTCAGTTATCGTGTTTTCGAGGTTGTTGCGACACATCTCAGAAGTCATTGTCTTGGGCGTGAAGTAGGGACCACAAGTAAACATTAGGGCTGTGTCACAGATTTCCACATTTGCATCTTCGGCGCGGTAATCCAGTGGGAGGCTATAAGACAGCTGAACAATTGAACGGGAGAAGTGACCCAGAGCCGGGTTGGTTCCCTTGCGAGACAGCCTGGCTTTAGTTGCAATAGACCGGGTGGCGTGTTTGTGGGTGAAGGGAATTGCAACGACCTCGACGAAGGTTCCTATTATGCCGGAAGAGAGGGGGCCTTGGCCGATACCTTAGTCGCACTTCATTTCCTCGAAACTTCGACTGAAATGCAATGGATGGATACATGACTTCCTCCAGTATTCTGCAAAGGGCTCGCGAAGGCGAAGCTTTGGAAAAGGATATTGCAAGTGCAAGACTATAATCCCATTCGCCCCATGCCTTAGGCCGCGAGTGGAAGGAAGAAACGCCATATTCGAGGTAAGCGAGGAGCACTCGCGAAGGCGAAGTCGGTTACACCAACAGGACTCGAATCGGGATGAGACGAAGTAGCATGCGAGACGGTACAAGGCTTGCGACAGGCTGTGCGCCGTGTCACAAATAGGGTTAAGCAGAATATCTGTCAGCCGCGAGCGCAGGGATCCGGTAATGGATCTTGCGTAGACTTTGAGGTCTGTTGAATTGATAGAAGCATTTCGAGGAGTGAAGCTGGCCATAGAAATGACAATGTCATAAAACACAGTGCTTTCAGCTTGGCCTAACTCGTTTAGTGAGTAAGCAGTTTGGGTCTAGGATGGACGGCAGCGACAGGATGGTGCGAATTTACCGCAACGAAACTGACGAGGTGCGTTAAGACGCGGGAGCGGAACGGATGAGGCTGTTGTAGTCTGCCTGACTGTTTCATTAGATTTCAGCTAGCTGCACGGCGTAACCTCAATCTTGAAGGATCTGGAAAAGCTATCCGCCCGGTCGTTCGTTACTGGCAATTCTGCCTCAGGGCTGAGAGCTAGTGGGAAGAAACTGACCGGGGCCTGGCGCCCGAGAGTCCCGACAAGCGTACAGTGCTAGTCAGCTTGCCTGATTCTGTCATAAGGTCGGAACGGGTCCGCGCGAGTGAAAGAAGCATGATTTCGTGAAGATGGGGAAGCCGATAGTCTACTTCGGAGCCCTGGGTCGAGCGATGCCCGCTTTGGCTTTGCGATGCCGAATCAGCAGAGCGATCCAGGCGAGCCAGACTGGGGCTGGGAAAATCAGAATCTTTGTTTTCTCCACAGCGGGCTCCATTCCGAGGGAGATCTGCTCCCCTGCAGCGTCAACGATCAGGCTCCGGCTGCGCTGGGAGTCACGCGGTGGCCCAGCAGTGTAAAGTACTAGGCATATTGGGAAATCAATAAAAGACCGATGCCAAGACCTCTGTACGGCATCGCGGTAGCAATAGCGTAGGCAGAGCTAGTGGCCTTGTCTTTTTTCCTCCATTTTTGAACGTCATCGATTGGCTTGCCGGCGAAAACCGCCTACGCTAGCGAGAGACAGCGCGATGGCTTGAGGGGCGGATGAAGGCTTGACCGAGTCGCGGCGACAGGCTGGCTTATTCCCTTGAAGAGAGGTCGATCGCCTCATTCCTTTATCGCCCGGTTAAATCCCGACGAAAGCTGCAGCCGCTGTGCCCCTCAAGAGTCAAGAGGTGCCACTGCAAGCCAACAGCTCTCGTTTGCCACGGTAGCCAAGACTAACGACAATAGAGGCCGAGCCTTGGAGGGTGTTGATGTCAAAGAAAATTGTGCTTGTGTGCTTGTGTTACGCCAGACTAGCGACTCAAAATCGCCCGAGGCGGATAGCGGCGTGGCAGCATAGTTGCCATGGAGGTTGCGCTGTTTCGAGAAGAGAGATGCCAAGATACCATTGGCATGGAACGGTGGGGAGACATGAGGTGGCGGCGCGGACGGGCCCCTCGATGGCCTGTCTAGACAGAACCTTGGTTTGGTCTGATGCGCGAGACAGAGGCCGGGCCTTGGCCTCGAAAGAGCGTTGAAAGACGGTTAACAGGCGAGTTTCCGTAGAGGGCCGCGTGCAATTGTTGGCACAGAGGGTGACAGAGGGTGTCACTGGTGTGTGAAGGTCGTCGTAATCCTCCTGCCACGGCGTCCAGTCAGAAAGAGGCTGGGCGTGCCGATGGTGGGCCAGCCACACGTGTGTCAAAGGGAGCGCTGTGGTTGTAGCAGCTGAGAGAGGCCGAACACCAATCGACGGTTGGCAAGACGAACCGTTTGACGAGGGCCAACCCTCTGTTCTCCGAGCATGCCCAGGTAGAGACAGGACAGCAACGGGAATGGGGCCAAGGTTTGTGCTGTGCAGTGGATGTCAGTCATCCATCTCACCGCACCTGAGCATTTCGGGAGCTGCGAAGTGGCCGTGCCGAAAGCCGGTGCCTTCCTGGAGGGGGCTGTGCACGGCCGTCGTGTCCGTTGCCACGTCTGGGCTGCGTGCTGGCGCCAGTCTCTGGTCGGAAGCGGCTCCTGAGCCTTTGCTGGTGTCTTGAGGATAGGAGGAGAAACTTATCAGCCAAGGTCAGTATCGTGAAGAAAATGAGCAGGTCATGAGCAAAGTAGGCCGTGAGTATGAACTTGCCCTCAATAGAGTGCAGACAATGCTGGTGACATCCCGGTTGTCGGTCATTGCTTTCGCGTGGGGCGATGCAGCCGCTGCCCAAAAAAGGCTGTCGCTTTCCCTTCCTTCCTATTTTGTGGCCAACAATAGAGATTTCCAATTCTGGGAGGATGAGAAGGAGGGATATTCAGGGACTGTGCTTGCTGATGCTGACCCACCTTGTGAGCAGTTCATCCAATCAGGGGCCATTTAAAAAAGCAGGTCCCCGTAGTTCTCCAGGAGCCGACGAATAGCAACCTCGTGGGCTGGCAGTTGCCTGGCATCTGAGCATGGCAATGCCTGCGGAGCTTGCTGGTGGTCTCAGCAGAGATGGGCTGAACTCAGCCTCAAGAGAGCTTTGGACGAATTCAAAAGTACTCTTTTGCTGGCCCCAACGCCAGAAAGTACTTTGTCAGCAATGACGGCAATGCGCCCACACAGTGCAGTGCAGCGCCACGCTCCCGCGCCTGCCTTCCCCAATTCAGTGAGGTCACCAACGCAGGAAGTCACTGCCCCCCCCGGTCGGGTGCTCTTAGTACCTTGTTCCCGGGGGCGGTCTCTCGGTGATGCAGGCGCCTAGACAAACACATCTCGCGTAAGGTAAGGTAGGTAAGGTAGCTTGGCCTCTCCTTTCCCAATCCACGCTACGAGCCTGGGCAACCAATCTGCCAAGGCACCAGCACCCTCACTCCTTAAAAGCATTGCCATCCCACTTCTTTTTCTTTGGCCTCCCTAACTGTCGCCGTCTCCCCCGTCAATAGCCTTTTTTTGTGTTTTTGGGATCTCTATCGAATTCGGTTTCCGGGGCTTGGAATCCTGCATTTGCATATCTGCATCGACGAACTCTCGCCGGCATTCTTACACAACGTCCCCTTGTCGAATCGCTAGCCGTACACCACTCCGACGACATCGACCAGGAACCCCGAAACCTAACCATGGTCGCCCGCAACCTTCCTTTTGCCGCCCTCGCGGCAACCGCATCCGCCCTATCAGTTCGTCGTGACGAGACGCAGTCCACTGCCGGTAGCGGTGTCGTTTCTCTGCCCGTCTTCCAAGACATTAGAATTCACCCTCTGGAGAAGCTGCGCAGAAGACAGGTCTCGGATACAGACGCCCCGGTCCTCAACGTGACAACAACCACATACCTGATTGAGCGTACGCACTATTCCGGATCCTTCACATACAGCTCGCTTGCTAATATATGTTTTTAGTCAACATTGGTACACCCGGCCAAGACACAAAGGTTGCCATTGACACTGGTTCCTCCGAACTCTGGGTCAACCCCAACTGCGCCAATGCTGGCAGCACCGCACAGACACAATCCTGCAGAGCCAACGGCCAGTACGACCCTCAAGACTCTTCGACTTCGTCTGTTTATCAACAGACAGGCCGTATAAAGTATGGCAAGGGAGAGGTCGTTCTGCAATATGTCAGCGATAACATCACCATCCCCGGCAGCGGTATGTGCTATTTTCCCCCTCTGGCGCCCAAACACTTGGACTAATCGTATTCTATAGATATCGCGCTGAGAGACACAATCTTTGGCTACGCCACCGACAGTGTTGACCTCAACAGGGGCATCCTCGGTCTTAGCTTCGGCGAGGCAACCAACAACACTGGTTACCCCACCGTTCTTGATGAGATGAAGGCACAGAATATCGTCGAGTCTCTCACTATCGGCATTGCGCTCGGAACCAAGGACGAGAAGACGGGCAGCGGTCTCATCTCCTTTGGTGGCGTCGACACGAAGAAGTTCACTGGCAACCTGCACTCGGCACCCATTCTTGGGCCTCAGAACAACGAGAACCTGTGGAGGTGAGCAGTTCTATGCCCTGTCCTTTCTGACGATGACTAACCCATCATTTAGGTACTGGGTTCAGCTTGATTCTGTGGGCCTGAGCAAGTCGGGAAGCAGCTCCAAGACATACCCCAACTCTCAATTCCCCGTCTTCTTCGACACTGGCGCAACTCTGAGCTACTTGCCTTCGGCTGTGGTCGACTCGCTTGGGTCCGACATGGGCGGTCAGCTTGACTCTTCCGTCAACATGTACGTGGTTCCTTGCAGCACCACAGGCACTATCGACTTCAAGTTTGGCGACTACACCATGAAGGTGCCCCTCCAGGAGTTCATCTGGAATGTCGGCAACAACCAATGCGTCCTCGGAGCTGATAAGGCAACCGACGGCTCATACCTGCTTGGCGACTCATTCCTCCGTTCGACCTACGTCGTTTTCGACCAGGAGACGCCCGCCCTCCACTTTGCTCCCTATGAGAACTGTGGTTCCAACCTTCAGAAGATCCCTCTTGGTGCAAACGCGGCCGCAAAGTTCACTGGCGAATGCTCTGCCAACTCCACAAGTAGTGATGGTGGCAGCAAAGGCAAAGGCAACGCCGCTGGTCGCTCAACGTCTGTCAATCTCTGGCTTGCGGCCGGTGCCTTGATTGGTGTTCAGGCCCTGATGTCTTCCCTTTAAATCCGCATACATAATTGAACGGCTGAAAATCATTGCATGAATCGGGAGTTAGGGCGGGATCAACACGATCGCCGCATTAGCGAATAGATGACGAATCGAGCATCCTGAAGATGGCGGGTCGCTTTATACCCTCATTCCCTGGCCATGGGACTACATAGTTTTTGTTATTGATTAATGAACAGCTGAGACCCATTAGGGGTTTCGTGACTATCTCACAGTATCTGCATTTTACAATCGTGATGTCATCTGACAGCATGTGCCGACGCTCGATTTGGAAATAAGACGTACAAGAAGCTGAGAGATCATGCGGATGCATCTCCAAGTGAGAAGCATCATGGACGCTGGCAAGTGATGATGGAAGTAGCATCGGAATGGTTCTCCCAATAAGTTTTCATGGGAATTGTGGCGGGTGTTCTCAGAGCGAGTAAAAGAAATGAACAGTTCTCTGGGAACGTTGGTGAAGCTAGATATCTACATAGCAGCGATGATGTTGAAGACTTAGGTCATTCAATTTGCATAATGTGGGAACCAACATTGGCGAGAATGAGAACGGTCTCGAAAGTGCCAAGACCTGATAGACATTTCATAGTTTGAGAAAAGACGGATGGTCAGTGCATCTCCAGCAGCTGCTGGTTCGTCCCGATTTGAGTTGTCAGGGAGGTGCGGGATGTCAAGGTTGGACCCTGCCTACATCCCGCTCTTGCCCAATCTAGACAGGCAGCACCTGGCAGGAAGTGTCCTTCCCAAACCGGTGTTGAATGCCCTCACTTGCCTTTGGTGAGAATTTATGGCAGGCCGATCGACATCAATGGTTCCCTCTCCTGTCTTTACCACCTTCATCTTCTTTGCTGATTGACCAAAGCCTTTTTTTTCCTTGCACCGACCTTTGATACCTACTCTTGTCTCTACCGTCTTCCTATCCCTTTATTCTTGCTAAACCTTCGCCAAAGATACACCGGTTACCAACTTAAATATCTCCTGGTAAGCGCCAACACGTCGACCTTCATCATGCGCTTCATGTCGGCCACTTCCGCCATGTTGGCCTCAGCCCCTGGCCTGGCTCTCGCTTCCGGATCTCTGGGCTTCGCTCTCGGTTCGAAGCAGCCGGACGGGCAGTGCAAGTACCAGGCAGACTACGAAGCGGACTTCAGAGCCATCCGCGATGCATCGGGAAGTGGCATCGTGCGCATCTATGCCGCCGACCAATGCAACACGGCTCAGTATATCCTTCCTGCAGCGAAGCAGGAGGAATTCCAAGTGATACTGGGCATTTGGTAACCCAACGTCGTCCAGCGATGCACTCCACTTTGCCCGAATCGAGTGAAGTTTAAATTCGGTGAGGGTACACTCTGACTCGGACAGGCCCGACACCGAAGCCTCGTACGCCGCCGACAAGGCCGCAATCCTGAAGCACACCCCCGGCTACGAGGATCAAGTCTACGCCATCACTGTCGGCTCCGAGTCCATGTACCGCGGCAACTTCACCGGCACCGAGCTGGCGGACAAGATGAAGGACATGAAGAAGGCGGCACCGCACTTCAAGATCGGCACAGCGGACAGCTGGAACAAGTATCAAGACGGCACGGCCGATGCCGTCATCAAGGACGCTGACATTCTGCTCACCAACGCCTTTTCCTACTGGCAGGGTCAGACGCGCGACAACGCCACTGCATGTTTCTTTGACTCTATCATGCAGGCGTTTGGACGCATCCAGAGTGTTAGCGGATCTACCAACCGGCCTGAGCTCTGGGTTGGCGAGACGGGTAAGTCGGTTTGCTTTACTCATCATCCCGATCTCCGTCGTTGCCTTTTTGGATCCTCTCCATCAGCTATGTCATACAATGTGATCCCTGATCGCCAAACTTCTTGAATCTACACGGCCCTTGTGAACGGACTGCTGACACTCTCGATTGAAACTAGGTTGGCCCAGTGAAGGTGCAAAGTACCAGCAGGCTGTCCCGGGACAGGACAATGCTCGAGCTTTCTACGACCAGGGTGTCTGTGGTATGGTCAACTGGGGCTTCAACGTGTTCTTCTTCGAGGCCTTTGACGAGCCTTGGAAGCCGCATGCCATTGGTCTAGATGGCAGCGAAGCACCCGAGACTCACTGGGGCGGGATGGAGGCCGATCGCGCTCCCAAGTACCCCCTCAGATGTTGAGCAACCGTGGCTACTGGTTGACTTGAATACATACGCCGTGGAGGGTTGCTGAGTGTCAAACAGAGGGAGACAATTCAGATGGCATGGGCGGCGTTTGCTCCGTTGATGAGAGACTGACAGAAACCAAAATACCCTAAGAAACGAATTCAGTATTTACACTTTGCTTCCTTATCTGGTAGTCGATGAAATGAACCCCAAGCAAGCGGGACAAGTGAAAGTACGTTCTCGATCGGGAGTGTATGTTTCTATCTTCTGCGCATCTGACGCGTGATTGTGTGATGGTGTGGGTATCGAGTCGTCTCAGGACCGGAAAGACAAGGGGACGAAGCAGCGCAGAGGTCCAGGTTCCCAGGTCGACAACCAGGCACGCGGACATGGACCGTAGCACGTAGTTCAAGCTTTCGGTGAGATAAGATGCCCTATTCTCCGTGCCCGTCCGTGTGGGGGCTTGAGAGTGGTCGAGAGTGGTCGAGTTTGGGCTTCGAGGAGAGACTTAAGGTTTATGCGGCTCATGTATGGAGTAGCCCCCTCCCCCCCATGTACCTTGCCAAGAATAAGAGTAAGGTAGGTTACAACGGTTGCCGCTGGCTGGGTGGGGAGAGGGGGGGAAGGAAGGGACCTAGAGACGGAACTCACGGGAGACGAAGTGAGAAAATCTGGAACACGGACAAGTCGGGACGAAACTGAAGCATGGAGCGGCTATTGGAGGGCGTGGTCTCATGTTCTGCTACGTTGAGGATGAATCTGAGGCCGGTTTCACGTATCAGCTTGTTTTAGTTTTTTTTTGGCATTTCAGGCACGCGGAAGTCTAAAACAACTATGCCGTGACAACTTGACATGGGGAAGAGGGGGATGAAGGGGGATTTGCTAGGTGTCATTTGTTGTCGCGGGTGGAGGGGGAGGCGCTGTTGCGCTGGATTTTTGCTGTTTGATGGACGCCATGGCTTGTCTGGTGTGAGTATCATCTACGTTCGCTTAGAGTCATGTCTTTGTTATTGGTGGGGGGGGGGGTTGTTAGTGGTAGTCAGCCCAGACTGTCCAAATCAGCGCATCGTCAACGAAAGGGAACGGGGGGTAAAATGTCCAATATTTTTTGAATTCTTCACGAGAAAGGTGTTCTAGTATGTAGTAGAAAAATTGGGTGTGAGGATAAGAAGAGAAAATTTGGTGAAGAAGATGCCAAGACTGCGGATGCAACTTGTCCTGTCTGCCGGCGCTTCCAGCCCGCCGCGGCGGAGGTCCGGAGGGGGAAGACGACAGGTACGGCACAACAAGCACACGCAAGTCTCGGATGCCAACATTAGTTTTGGGGGTGACCGTAATCCTCCGCTGCAAAGGTCCACTGACGACATCCCCTCTTTTCCCGGGCCCTCAATGTCCTCTCTCTCACCAGTGTCGTCAGTCATCGTCGTGTTTGAAAATGCCCAAAATAGTTTCCGCCAAAATAAAAAAGCCGCTGATGCTGATGGATGCTTTTGTGAACCGGTCACATATGTAATAGTCGTAAATGGTACAGACGAGCCTATTGGCGTCGAATCCCCCTCCTTCGTGAAGTGGCGCGTAGAGATAGGAGAGAGCGGCGGAAATGAGGCGGTTCATCGGAATCGTCGTGGGAGTAAGTGTGCTCACACGTCCGCCCAGATTGGCAGGAGTGAGGCAAAAAGGTTGCGGGGGAATTGACTTGCTCCCGACGAGCTCCGGCCTGTCTCTTTCCCGCCTGCTCTCTCATCGCTCATGGTATTGCATGAGACGCGAAGCGTTGTAAAGCCAGGCTCATGTTCTCAAAGGACTAGGAATCATGTTAGCTTCTTCGTTGGGAGGTCATGATAACGATCCTAGATTCTTGACTTACGCGCAACCTTGAGGCGTCACCACACCAAAGAAGCAGTCGCCCGATACTAGTTGTGCCGGCGGGATGACCTGATTTTGACGAACGGGGGTGATGACCACGCCTGCGGAGGCGAGTGACGCGCACAGCGTCGTCAGGATCGCGAGTGAGACCTTCATCTTGATGTCGTCGTCGGCTTTGGTGTTCGGGGAGAGGGCGTGACAAAAAAAAAAAACAAAGGCGGCTCAAGATAGCTGCCTTGCGTTCGCGCGAATCGGACCGGGTGGCTGGACGGTTTCTCCCAAATTCCACTCTCTTTCTGTTTCCCAATGATTTTTCTTTTTTCTTTTTTCCTTGGATTTCCTGAATCCTTCTAGTCTCCGCAGTGTTCGTGGAGTTGGTGTTCGTTACGGACGTCGAACTAGCGACGAATCGTCTTCGTTGGTGAAAGAGTGTCGTTGGGGAAGTATGTACCGGAAGGTCGGCAGAAAAATATGTATAGCGAAGGCAAGGTTTTGGATCAGACCAGCTGGGCTCGTATACGCAAGTACGAGCGGGCGTTCGGTAAGTAAAGAGAGGCGAGGTGCCGCTTTGCTGTCCGGGATACAATCAACACGCAAAAGAGGTGATGGGGAGAGAGTTGTGGTGGAAGGATTAGAGTTCGGGAGGAGGATGTCGGTGTGTTAAGAGCGAAAGCCCGATGATAAAATTGTGTATGAGCGTGCAGATCTCGTGGCGTGCGTGTGCAGGTTCGTGCGTTGCGTGCGTTGCGTGCGTCTTGCTTGAGGCCGTGTGTTCGTTGGTGGTATTGGTGTTATTGGCATGGGATGAGGTGACCGTGAGACGAGAGGTTGAGATGGTAAGAAAAAGCGAGGAAGAAAAAGAGGGACGCGGGTTTTGAGATATCGGACGATGATGGGCTGTGACGAAACTCGTCTCGACAGGGGTGGTGGCACCGGGTCTCTAGGCGCGAGTACCTCACTTCTCGTACGGCAGGGAGGGAGAGAGGGGGGGGAAATATGGTGTCGGACACGAGGTCCAGGTCTGGTCCAGCTGCGTCTCTAGGCCTGTACCCAAGCCTTCTTCGAGTGGTAACACCTTCTGACTATCGATGCTAAGCATTCGAGGTACAGGGCATGCTCGCCCTCGAGAGCTTGAGGACGGGGGGGTGGGTGATCCCTTTGGGGATGGAGGACCGAGATGAGCGGGTGGAGTTTCAGGGTTGAAACCCATCCATTGCGGCGGTGCGCGGTTGCGGTGGTGCGTGGATGCGGTGGGAGTTGGCTTGGGAAGTGTGGTGAGTCGATTTTGATTTGCTTCTTGGGCGTGGTTCATTTAACGGGATTCTTGGAAGGAGGAGGGGCATCATCCGTGATAGTGTTGTTGATGCAATGGCCGAATGTTGGTGAGTCGATATCTCAAGTGCCTCCCCTCCATTCACGGTTGTCGACTTTGCGCCGTGTGGCTGCGGGCCAGCGCACGGAGAATAATAACCTAATAATGTAAGGTACAGCGCGGACTGCACAAACACAACCGCCGAAGCCGCCACCACTGCCCACCAGCAGACATCAGCAGACCGGGCCCACCAGGGACGGCGGATCGTTAGATGCTGGAAAGGCCCCTAGTCCAGCCGCCAAAAACCAAGCAGGGCCAGGGAATTAAGGTTGTGCGGTCAAGGCAAGGGGAGAGAGAGGATGAATTGGATTGGGCAACGACATGTTCGTTGGTATGGAAGTATTCGTATACGATGGACGTGAAAACAGAGCCGTTGGCGGTGGGCTCCAGACCTTCTGGAATGGCAGCGGGGATCGATTGGATGGGAGGCACAATGGGCCAAGACGGCAATTCGGTGCCTGAACCCCTGACTCTTTTCTCGAAGACGACGCAGCATGATTGGCCGAGTAGGGCGGACCTGAGGGGACATGCGACACGCCCGGACTTCGAGCCGCGCCACACCAGGGCCACTCAGAGGGGGCGGGTTGGCTGCTCTGTGGTGGGGAAAGGCGCTGAGTGGGGCTGCATGTCACGGACGCCGGGACACGACCGAGGGATGTAAGGGGAGATGAGAACGGTATATTTGATTGGTCAGAGATGGGAAGAAGGGGAAGGAGGCAGCTTAACAGGTCACGTTATCATCCAGTCGTCGAGACACTCAGTCGTAGGGGGCTTGCGCCAGAGGCTTGAGAAAATTGTTAGTGTACCTGGCCGGTGGGTTCTTCCTGTTTGATTATAACAAGCTTTCCAACGACAACTCGAGACAGCACGACAAGGGAAAGCCTGGTGGATGCAACTCCAACGCACATGGCGCACTTGACGGCGTGCCTGACTGGACCAGGGGCTTCGCTGTCACTTTGGCGGTTTCCAGGGATTCCAGCAGTCTTAGCATGACAGTTACGACGGGAAAGCCACAAACAACCCCAACCCCCTTGACATGGATTCGGGGATTTTGGTTTGGAGATCCCACTGCTTTCACACTCATCAGGCCCCTCATCAGTCCACAATCACACCCCGTCAGCGATTCATCGACGTGATCCCTGGCGATGATCTGGCTACCTTTTTTTTCTCATAGTCCAGTATTGGGGGCCAATATCGTTCGCGGATCACTGGCCATTGCTGGGCGCGGCGTCCTAGGGAAGCTGGACGCGTGGCGGACACGTCTGGACGAGGAGGATCTACCTGATCCAAGGAGGGCTTGGTCATGGTGAATGGCACGGTGAATGTCACTCATGGATACGTTGTCCCGGCATTTGACGCATCGTGACGAACTCGAAACGTGGCTGAAGGGCCTCTGGAAAGTGGACTAGTAACCACATTGGCACATACCCGCGACTAGCTTGATGGCTTCTCCTCCCTTCCACTCGGCACAGTTTGCAGTGGGGAATGGACCATGACAAACGCAGAAACGCAGGTAATGCGGGATCCCGCTGAGGTAAGTTGCGCTCGTCCTCCATCGGCGTCAAACGGGATCCAATTGCCGGGCAACATATGCCGGGACATACCCTGCTTCAATGCGCAATGCTGAATGGGGGAGACCTCAGACAAGTGTCGTCCAGTTCAGCTGAAGCGGCAATGTAAGTCACAACCGCCTTGTTCCCCCTCACCCTCTCCCCTTTCTTGAAGGGCCAAGGACTTGCACGCACGAGCCAGATGCTGGACGATTCTCCCGTCTCCCTCCTTGGATGAATTTGTGACAATATTGGCTGACTCTCCCTTGCCCTCCGTCACCCGTGTCCTTCTGCGATGCGGCTCTGCCGCTTCGTCCCGTGGGCCCGCCATTACTGCGCTGATCTTTTGATACGCACCGGGAGGAACGCAATGTATCTTCCGCTCTTTTTATTCATGCTGTGTACGGATCAGTCCTCCTGTGAGAAGCCTCGAAAGACGACATATCGTCCGTGAGCTTGTGGAAATGAAAGATTCCCCTTACGGATCCCTTCCGGATGGGTGGTTTTGTCCAAACGCCACACACACGATGTGATGATGTGCCTATGCTGAGAAGTGGACCATTCCTCTGCCGCGCTGTGCTGTCGAATTATGTGCCGTTTTGCCCGAGACCTTCTGTCCCGGTGCGGTGGTGATGGAGAAGGGTCTCGACTCCTGTTACACAATGTCTCGTCAGGGCGGGTAGTCGGCCGGTGGAACGACATGCCGGGTCTGGCGGGCAAGCAGTTGACAAAAAAAGTGATACACAGTGTACTTCTCACCAAAAACCCACGATCGAGCCCTTGTTAAACAGCCCAGGGAAGCTCTAGATTGTCTAAATTTCTTAGATATTACTATTTAAGAGCGTATAATAGTTTTAGTTTATTTAAATTAATTAAAAGATTGAGAAGTAGTCAAAGTAGTGGTTATGGTGGAAGAGGAAATGGGGGTTATTGGGCGAGGTACTGTGTATCACTTTTTTTGTCAACTGCTTGGCGGGGTGGATTTTGACCACGAAGTTGGGGCAGGACCGTTGGCACTGATAAATGTGCCAAGCCTTCTTGGTGAGGACTATGATCGAGTGATTGGCCACGCAAGCGCCCAGTGGACGTGGGCATGAGAAATCGTCATACTTCATTCCTCACCGGTGCTCTATTGAGTTGAGTGACGTGCCGTTATCGTGCTCATCGAGTGTGGATTAGGAAAAGCCCAATCTAGCCCGTCACTTATGGTATCAACATATCATTTTCATCTTGACTGGTCTGATGTGTTCGCAATTGACAAGTAAAGCAAATTCCAAGTTTTTCGATTACCCAGCTAAGCTATGTGAAGCATTCGTGCAATTGATTCCCTCGTTTTCCTCCTCTTCAGTGTCAAAGCCTCCATCCTCAGTCTCTGTGTCTCAAATCAATCTGTCTTCTGCAAAAATCTCCAAAAATCTCCAAAAACTTTGCGCAACGTTCTGTCAAAATGTTCTCTGGACCAAGTTCATGAAGGCTGCGCTGATGAGCATCCTCCAGGACACTCTTGCCTCCTTCCAACTCTTGTTGTCCGAGCTTGATGAGTCCATGTGTATAAATGCAACGAGGTACGTCTGCCCCAGTGTCGCCATATATATTTTGTAACAACTGAAGCGCATGAGCTAGGTTTTCTTCTGCGTCCACCAGCGATCCTTGGTGATTTTGAAAAAGAGCCAAATCCATAATTGAATGGACTTTGATTACGCCCATAGGTTTCTTGAATTGCTCGATACAATGAATAATTTAGCGCTGGATATTGATTGCAGCCGTTGGGCTTCTCTCTACTTGCTCCTCAGCGACCGGAGGCGACGTGCTTTGCTGCTTTAGTACGGAGGCCTCCCGTTAATCTTCTTGATACAAGTTCGAAGTTCATTGCAAATATCGATAAATCCAGGGTCGTTACAACTACTGAACTTGGACATAGTAAGATGGTTTGCGTGGATCCCGATGGCATCTTCACCTGGAAATCTGGCTGAGTCTTTAGGAACGACCTAAAAGGAATGTAAAGTCAATACACTGTCCAGAGGTCGCCGGAATTGATTGGGCCAATTTACCAATCCAATTCCCGGGAGAGGCAACTCTTCATAGAAACAAGTGATCTTAATGGTGCAGACACCCGATGTAATCTGCGATTCTATGATGTAGTGGAAATTGTCCTGAATCTCGGCCAGGATCTCCGATTCGGGGTTCAGAACACCGAGAATGTCGGTGTTTGTTTGCTTGAACACTCCGACGGACTTTCCAAGTCGTTGCGCCCACAAAGGAATGTTTAAGCCGCGGTGCGGCGTACCAAGGAAGAGGATGGCTCGTGTAGATTCGATGACTTCTTTGAGGTGCTCTCTTGTATGGGAGCGGACAAGAGCCTATAGAAAGATGGTATAGGTATCAGTATCACAGTATTAAATTTCGATTTTCATTCGAGCCTCATGACGGTGAGAACTCCGGTATAACGTACAGCTTGACAGACTAGTCCACCTACATTATGGCAGACAAATATGATAGGTCGCTCAGACTAGCAATGTTAGAAAACTTTTTTTGCAGCAAGAAACTGAATGGCTCACGGTCTCGGTTCGGGCTCGAAAGCCTGTAAGTCTATGCAAAAACATCGCCGCGTGGTCTCGAATGCGATTGACCGAGGCGCCGTATCCGTATGCCAGAACTCGAGCATTCGGTATTTCGTACGGAAGAAGAGTCTTGGGCCAAGGCTCAGACGCATTCTCTGCCGTCCAAGTCTTCTCGCGGTGGCCTTTGAGACCGTGAATGAACACGATGCTGTGTAGAATGTTGTGAGCAGGGGAACGGAATATTGCGAGACTAGGCACCTCTTACTCAACTACGGCTTTCCCATTAGCCGGATCGTACAGTTGGCTGATGCCTATTGGATCATCCGAGTTTGTGTTCGACGCGAATGCTTCGGAGGAAGCCGTGGTATGCGTGCTCGTCGAAGTGATTAGTGTACGCATGGCGGGCGGGGTTGTAGAGCTCTCCGCTCGGGCTCGGGGCGCTAGCGGGGCGTTCTGAAGTCGGTCCTCGGCTTCGTCACGGTCTTTGAGCCGGTCTTTTCGGAAGAAGTTACCCATCGTTGCAAGGACGACTCGATACTTGCGTAGAATCCAACGGAGACTAGGACAATAAGGATAGGTGAGGAAGTAGAAGCAGAACCACGTCTCCAAGAGAGAGAGAGAGAGCTGAGTTAGGAGACAGCTCAGTTGCAGGAGAGGGGCATAGGCTGATGGGGTTTTATATCTTCTTATTGAGCTGCGGCCTGATCACGCATGGCTAATAATTTTAGCTATTTTCTATCATCTGTCATAAATTTAACGGAGTCTGGGAAGCGCTTAGGAGAGGGGCATAAGTTGACGGAATACCATATGGTCTTATTGAACTGCGGCCTGATCACACATGGCCAATAATTTGGCTAATTTTTATTATCTACAGAAATCCAACGGAGTCTGGGAAGCGCTAAGGAAAGGGGCATACGTTGACAAAGTTTCATGTGGTCTTATTGAGCTGCGGCCTGATCACGCATGCAGGGCCAGTAATTTTGGATGTTTTCTATTATCCACAATAATCCCACGGAGTCTATGAAGCGCTTAATTGTTGGGCGCTTAGACTCTTAGCTTACTCATCCGCTCGCCCCGCTCACCCCAAGCCTCATCTCTGGCATCACTTTACCTAGTTAAAAGCAACCACTTCCTGGTGAACAGCTCGGTGAGGGCATTGAACTTGGACTTTAGAGTGAGAGGCCACTTTTGTGATGAGCCCCTGGCGTCGCGATACCTGAATTCAGAGAGGGGTCCTCCCACGCAGATAGCTCCATAATGTGACTTCAAGATCTCTCTGCAGGGTAAAGTTATCTATGCCGAGCAGGTCGCTCCTGTTTGATTGGACCATAGAAAACAGGAGCCTACCTGTCGGATTGGAAGCCCAATTCGACCTCGAGTCAGCGCCAGCGCAGGGACCATCTGAGGGTCTCTGTATCAGCGTTCAACCGGCGATCCAACCCACGGTTGGAACCTCTCTTTTCCTCTTCACGCAGAGATCAATACAAGTTAATTGACCCTTCGTCACCACGGTTCGATCGAACAAATCACCCTGTGATACGTAAACCAACACTACCAAATAAAAAGGACAGTCTCCTTATAGCCTTACCTAAACCATCAATTTCCATTTCCATCGTGCCGCCTTACATCTCATCGGTAGGTAATTCTTCATATCGCAGCTTGCCAGGAACCAACTGAATCAAAGCGTCTCTGTTTCAGTCCTCGTTCTTCCTGAAATACCAGCCTCGAATTTTGTTGAGAGCATCCTTCATCTCCAAAGCCTCCTTCTCCGTCAATGCCGCATCATCTGCACAATTTCTTGGAGTTCATAAATAGCTCCCCTCGTAACTCATGTCAAACATGCCATAAGCAACAACACTCGAAAGATCTGCGTTTGTCATGAATCGAACTCTACTCTCTCTACTCCCTTGAGTAATAATCCGTATATAGGCGGCGCAAAAGGCAGGCAAAGGCACTGTCCACATGGTGCAGGGAAGCGACCTTTCACTTGTTGCGATGGTGGAGAGCTCGTCTTCTTCAATGCTGATCCAGGAAAGAGGCAGGAGAATGAATCGGGACTTTGGCTTGCCGTAAAAATAGCGAAAGCCTTGCTCCGCAAACTCGGAGAGGTATGCTAACGGAAGATCGTCGTCTTCAGCGAGTTTTAAGCCGCTAGCTGTGGCAATATCGTTTGCTTCTTGAAGCTGATCATCTGGGACCAGAAATAGCAAGGACTGTATTTGAAGTCAGTGAGAGGCTATGAATGGGCCAGGATATTGGTAGCTTACCGATTTGGACGCGAGCGGATAGCCCAAACGGCTGAGCAGAGGAGTCTCCCATTCCACAATGGTAATCTTGGACTTGTCAAAGCCCTTCAGCGTTCTGAAAACTTGATGATCCATTTCAGGTAGCATACTAAAGTTGAGACGGCGCAGAGAGCTTTTCTGGGTGTATTTCATGTGGAAATGGAAGTAATCGGTGCCAAGAGTGCGCCCTGGAAGACAGGCTGAAAGACAGTGGGTAGGACCACGCATGAAGTGAATGAGAGAAATCCGCCTGTGTCTCATCACCTTAGGTAATTTGTTGCAACCATTTGCACTACGCCATTTATATTAGAGTTTTGCTACACTGGCGGTGTCATCTGGCTATCTGGGCAATGTCCCACTTATTAGCTAACTACCTAGGCAGTGTAAATGTCTGCACTCCGCCCAGCCTACTCGCCCGGGGCAGTTAAGTACAGCCCAGGGCAGTTGAGCAGCCTAGTTATTGAACATGAGCACGTTGACAAACGTCAGAAGATGAGAACCATGCGGCGGCTCTATTGATCTACAGAATGGCAAAGGTCTCCATCCAACACAAACCACCTTGGCTGCCATAAAAGCAACAAAGGAAACAACTTGTATAAGACGAGTGGACAAATCCAACCCCCGATATCCGTAGTCCCCGTTCTGCGCAGAAATAACCTCCCCGGCCACGCTCGGTCGGCGCCGGCATCGGCTCCGGCTCAATGAACGGTGTCGCAATCGGGGGGCAAACGCAGGGACCCCACCTTGTGGGGCTTGCCGAAAGGCAGTTTAAACGTCACACATCTCTCTCTCCCTCGACTTCCGAGGCTCGGACTAAGAGGCCCAAATTCCAACCATCAATGCTACAAACTCAGCCTGCTTCACGGTAAAGCCACAATCAACCCATCGCGCACCCGGGCAGGAAACGCGAGACGATGCTCCTCCAGATCCTTGGGTCCCTCCAAGGACTCCGGACCTCGACCATCGCCTACGCCATCACCGCCCTCCTCCTCCCCATCAGTCTCACCCTAGCCTTCATCCTCCACAATGGCAACGTCGCCTCCACGCGCAGGAAGCTCCGGCACCTGCGAAACATCGGCGTCCCAGCCAACCACAGCCATATGGCGGACCAATTCGACCCCAAATACGCCATCCCAGAAGACACTCACACTCATACTCACACTCCTCCATCTGGCACGCGGGGACCGATCCGCATAAAGTCCATCTACATCCACCCCATAAAATCCTGCGGCTTCATCGAGGTGGACAGGGCCCTCCTCACAAAAACGGGCTTCGCCTACGACAGGTGCTTCGCGCTCGCCGCCGAGACGCCCGACCCGGAGACGGGCACCGTCTCGTGGAAGCTCATCAGCCAGCGCACCAAGCCCAACATGTGCCACATCAAGACGGACATCTGGCTCCCGCGCGAGGACGCCAGAGAGCACAACGAGGACCCCCTCGTGCAAGCCGGCGGGTGCGTCGTCGTGACCTTCACAGATCCGGACCCCCCACACTGGACCCAGCGCATCGAAACCCTCCTCCGCACACGGGACCCCTCTGCCAAACCAACCCTCTCCTTCCTCGTGCCCCTCCATCCCACGCCAACCCTCGTGGACGAGTACAACATTGGCCTCAAAACCTTTGGCATCCACGCCCGCGACGCAACCGGCCTCGACATGTCCCAAATCCCCTCCGTCGCCACAGCCCTCCTCCCCAAACTCAAGAAATTCCTCGCCATCCCCCCCAACCGCGGCCTCACGCTCACGCGCTGCACCCCCGAAACCCTAACCCGCACAACCCTCAACCTCGCTCCCGTGCGCCACATCGGCTCGCCCGCCGTCCACGGCTACACGGACCAGCAACCCGTCAACCTCAACAGCCTGGCCTCGGTCCACGCCGTCTCCGCCCTGCTGCCCCCCGAAAACAGACCCCTCGACGCCCTCCGCTTCCGCGCAAACCTATGGGTCACCGGCGCGCCAGCCTACGCGGAGGAGACCTGGAAACGATACCGCATCGTCCCCCCGGCAGAAAACGCAAACAGCAGAGAGCCGCGATCGAGGGCGAGGGCAAACGTCTCCCCAAAGCTCTCCGTCGTATGTAGAACCTCCCGCTGCACAATGCCAAACATCAACCTCGCAACCGCCACATTCGACACGTCGACACCCTCCGCGGAAAAGAAAAAGGGAAAACCGCAGCCCAGCACGACGCTGATTGAGCACCGCACCCCCGAGAGCGGGAACCCGAAAGCGCTGGGCTACCTCGGGATGCACTGCGTACCGGAAGACGACGACCTGGACGAGGCCCAGAGGCAGGGGCGAGGGCTGTACGTCCACGTCGGCGACGAGATTGAGGTTCTCGAGACGGGGGAGCATTTGTACGGGTCTACTGCGAATGACTATTGAATCTTTTCTTTTTCTTTTTCTTTTGCCCTCTTTTTTAGAAGTGAGTTCTGTCAAAAATATTGGTTCGTTATCGAACTTGAAAGGCAATGTGTAAGTAAGTAATGGTCAAGAATAGGACATGTCCAAGTTGTTTTCTTGCTTCAAAAGGAGTCAAAAAGGCTTGTAAATATGTCCTTATGATTTAGCCAAAGCCGTATTTTCAAGGGGTTGCTTGCTCTATGCCGAACGTTTCGCCTCACAGTAGATAGTCCCTCGCGGTAATTACTTTTGGTTCCTCATTGTGTGAAATGTCTTGCATGGTTCCTTTGTATACATCTCAAAGTAGTATACACGTCTACGGGTAAGGTAACCCAATCAGAGGTAGCCATAAATGATAAGAATTGGAGATTCACGTAGGCCAGAAGAAGGCAGCAAGATACCTGTACAAAGGTCCGATGAGAATTTTTGAGACCGTGGGACGAGCATGGTGAAGCGGCATAGTACACTCCACATCAGGACCAGACGTCAGCAAGATAAGCCACACCACATTGCAATGGGCCCATCATGTAATTCGTAGCAAATGAAGCCGTCATAAACACGTTTGAATAATATGCTGTTGTCATGATGATAGAAAAAGGAAACCCCCCTATGCCTCACTAATACAATCATTTCGATCCATCTTCCCCACCCCCTCTGCGTTTCCAAGCCAGCCAACGCCGACTTTTGACTTCCATCCTGGTATCAAAAAAGGATTTTTCGTTGCTCTCCCGCCTGCCTGATTCTACAATCCCGATTTGGACCAGTATTGGTATCTATAAATGAACACCCCGTCTTTCTTTCAACGTTTGCATGACAATAATGAAATATGTGTGTGTGAGTGTGTGTGTATTCCCAACGTCTCCTCCAATTTGTTTACTGAATCTTGATCGCCTCAAACAATGTGAGACTGAGAGCCGTGTCATTCTCTCCGACATTGGGAGTCGGCTCGCTAAGCATCTCCCACTTGCGGTAGATGAACGGCGTTAATTTATCCGTGCCTTGCATGGAGATCGGCATCTTAACCCGCGGCGGCCCCGTTTGTTGTGTTGTAAGTTGCTGTCGGTGGGCAAGCACAAATTGCTCCGTCGGCGGGGGCATGTGGCTGAAGAGGTACCGCAGACGGACATCCGAGGACGCTGGATTCTGCATAGTACCACCGGTAAGCAAGACTCGCACGCACTGCAGGCGGACGTCGTCTGGCAAGGTGTCGACCAGCAGCAGGGCCAAGTCGAATACTTGCTGGCCAAGGGGTCGGCTGCTTTGAGTATCCTGGAATGCTAAATTGTCCAGCTCGAGTGTAAGACCAGAAAGAATAATCAAGATCCTCGCCCGGATCTCAAACGCAGCGGCATTGACTGGCGGCTTCATGTTGTTGGCGGCCTGGGGTTGAGCCGGTGCTGGCACAGGCTCATTTACAGTCGTGTGCAGCGTGATGAACCGCAGCAACGCGGGGAGCCAGTACCTGAGAATTGACGCGCGCAGGTCCCTCTTGTTGACGTCGTCGGTTGCGAGGAGCTCCCACAGCTCTGCGATTTTCTCGACCATGCCCGAAGTGAGCTGCGATGTTCGAACTGGCGGACGACCTCTCAATATCGCCTCGACTACCGACAGCAGACTTGCGGCTAGCTGGGTACTTTCCTGCGAAAGAGGATCCGCAGTCGGCGGGTTCTTCTGTGACGGGAACAAGCCCAGGAACCGCAGATGAGCTTGCTTCTTGAGATGTTCCGTAATGTCCTCGCTCAGATAGGGCAGCATGCTAGTCCACATGACGTTGTTCGCGGACACTGCGCGGTCCATTGCCCTGGAGAACATGTCGACCTGTGTGAGAGCCTGCTCGCCTCCACCGGGACTCGTCGTGCTATCCGCCGCAAGGCCAACTGATAGCTTGAGCTGGCAAAACGGTAGAGTGAACTCATTCGCTAGTTCTAGGACAGTCTCAAACGTGAGTGGTGAGCCATCGCCGGCATCGGGTAGCAGAAGTTTGGTTGTAATCTGCGCGAATAGAGTAGTCAATGCAGGTTCCGGGTTTTTGATACCCAGTGCTTGAACCACCGAAGGAGGATCCCGTAGAACCAGGAACTTCAGTAATTGCAGCGCGGTGTCCTTGATGGCAGCATTCACGAGTGGCAACAGGGATAAGTCGACAACTCCCTGTAGCCTCGAAAACTCAACAAGAGCGTTTCGAACAAGGTACACCATATCCTTGTGGTTCTGGCGCGGTGCCACTCGTTGCTGAATGTAGAACCGGTACGTCTCTTCTGGTGTCAATGCAGTCTTGGCGGGAAGAGGCATCGTCGTAAGTGAAAGGACTTCCTGCATATAGGTCGTGGTGCTGTTGGGGGGCACCGAAGGGTTCGTCGCGATCCTACTAGCCTCGACAGATGTCGTAGTTAGAATAATGGGCAACGTCAGACAACCCATGCTGATGAGCAGGGGGTAGATGTTCTCGAGCCCAGGGCGAGCCTTCAACGCGCTGATATGGTGGACCCAGTCAGTCATGCGTACGTCAAAGTGCTGTGCGTCGAAAATACGCAGTCTTCCGAGAAGTGCACTGTAAGCACGCTGCCTATCCGGTGACTTTGACCAGCAGGATTCCAGCCGTCCAACTACAGTCTGGAAAAGGCGATCCATGGTGGGCCGATCAACGCTGGTCCCACTCATGAGGAGTTTCTCAATCTCTTCGTGTAGTTCGCCCTCAGCATCCTGTAGCTGCGCAGTCATGTTGTCGGACACGGGCGAGCATGCGTCGATAGGGTTGTTGCGATCGCATTGATGGAGCTGCTGACGCAAGTAGACAGCAGTATTCGTGTAGCCGGGTATGAGAGTCGAGAGATTTGCCAAAGATGCCAACAGAGGTCGCGCAGCAGGTCCTTGCTCGTCACTAACCGCTCTCAGCCTCTCCATCAGGGCGTCGAATAATTCCTTGGCCACACCGAGTGCTGCGAATATTGGTAGGTGAACATTGAAAGTGTCGGCGCAGGAAGCAAGAATCTCGGGGTTAGAGGCCCTTGACACCAGTTTGACGATTTCGACGAGGACTGTGTAGTCGGATGCCGCCTCGAGAATGGCACGAGCAAAATTGAACATGCCCGGGGAGACTTGGGGGCCATTTTTCGTCATGATGATTTCCTTTGTGAATATTTGCAGAAGCCTGGCTCCGACCTCAGTTTGCAACGCACGGTTGCTGTTGGAAATCAGCCTACAAAGCTTCCCGACCGGTACAGGCTTCCGCTGGAGCATCGGATCCCCTGGCGGGAGAGGAAGTCCCATAACATGCTGAACGCATTTGAGAGCTGTGTTAATGTCCTCGGCTTCGTCATTGACGTCATAGGATGCTCGTCGAAGGAGACTCGCTCGAGTCGCTTGGGCAGAGGAATTTAGAGCGTGGAGAGGGAGATCAACCAGCAGCCTCGTTGCGCAAGGTCCTTCCGCCTCGGTATCGGCTGGTTTCCTCAGTCCACCTCGAGCAATAAGCCAGAAAATATAGCCCTGAAGTTGGAAGTCTCCCGATCGAACAATTTCCGACACGAGTTGGTGGAAGACCTTCTTCGAAGTCGTTTCGGTTGGCGGGCTGTGACTGAGGAACTCAAGTATGGCGGTCGTCATGTCCACCCCAGTAGCCACCCAGGTCCGGAGAAGACTGGCAGTGATATAGACCTTGGCCATGCCTGGTCGGTGAGACGAGGTGCACCACTCTAGTAATGTGCGTACTATCATTCCCTTGTCTTCGCTGACGGCCCAACACTGCATAGCCAAGTCGGGGCTGTACAAAGACATGAATGAGGTGTCGAGATGTTTTACAAGTATTTGTCGGTTTGCAGGCTGCGAATTGCTGGCTGAAGCAACTAGCTGCTCGTTTCTGACATTGATCCATTTGAATGCGTTCTGGGCAAAGTCGTTTTCGATCGGGATAGACGCGAGTAGAGCATCTCTGTACTTAAACCAAGTCGCAGGAGATACAAAGTTGTCGGAGTAGGCGGATAAGAGGGGAGTAAGAAGGGATGTTAACCTCGTTGATAATTGAACGAGGATATCGCGGTCGGGATCGTTATGGATCTGGACAGTTAGTTGCGAAGCCCTCCCGGGTCTGGATCGACATACCGTGTTGAGATGGCTGAGTAATGCATTCACTAATCGTCGGCCATATCTCCTCAAACGAAGCAAGTCCTTCCAGTATATCTGTGTTGTGAGAATCCACATGGGTAGCTTCGACTGCGTAGAGTTCTCCAGCCCGGAGACGAGCCAGTCCATGTAGTGGTCGCGGTCGAGTAGTTGTTCCGCATAGAGGTGCGTCGCAAGCCGAATGCTGTAGCGAGGTTAGTTCGCGCGCATGGGGTATCGCATGATTAAGACTTACGCATATTGAACCTTGGCCTTCCAGTCATTGTCGCCAAAGGCCGTCGAGACTCCTTCCACAAATTGCTCCACGAATACTGTCCAGTCTCTGAGCCACTTCGCCTCGCCACCGAGCACGAAGGGTCCCGGACCGTTCCCCTTTCTCTTGAAGGCTCGTATCTCGTTGGCACCGACGCACTTGACCAGCCAGACAGCTCTTTCCGTCGGGACATTTTTGTTGAGGCAATGGTCCAGGAGCACTTTGCCTCTGATACCGTGGGGAATGGTTCGGCTCAGTCGGCGCAACGATATCGATGGGTTCGCCAAGTCCCTCAGCCACATTTCTCGCTTGGTATCAGTGAGGGTAACGCGCGGCGGCGGCTTGAAGGTCGAAGGCGACGATATCTGGCCATTCAGCTTCCTCTGATTCAGGACACCGACGAAGATGTTGGACAACAAGTTGAGTCCACTCTTATGCTTGAGGGCGGGAAAGAGTGCGGCCTTGGCGGACTGTGTCTCGACCGAGGCCTGCGGCTGTTTATCGTAGTATCCATTTTTGATGATCGATTCGGTGTATTGGTCTTCGGGGTGGTTTCCGGTCCAGGGGAAAAAGTCGGCGTGACCCATATCCGGGATATCTCGCGCGCCACTACTCGAACCTCCAAAGCCTGGTTTTGCTGCCGCGTCGGTCCGCGGCTTGCTAAACGGCGCATATCGGGGGGCGACGCTGGGTGTCTCAATGTGGTACGGTTTCGGACGGCCATCCTTCTTCACAGCAATTACAGGCGCTGGTGCATCCTTGGCGGCGGCGGGGACGACGAATCGCGGGCGGCGTTTAGGCATGGGCATCGGGGGGTTATCTGCGTCGACGGGCTGGCCCTTGGCCGAGGCCGGCGAGCTCTTATCGGTGAGGTTTGAGGCTTCGTTCTTGGGCATGAGGCGAGAGGGCGTGAGAGTCTTTGGGTTCTCGCTGACGGCGTGCTGGGCAAGCATGGCCTCGTTGGACAACTCCAGCTTGAGGCGAGAACCTCCCCTCCGCGGCAGTGTGCCATATCTGTTCTGGGCGACGGCAGCATCGTTGGCATCGCCAGTCAGGTCGATGAGATTATCTTTTCGAACGGGCGACTGGGGCAGGTACTGGGCGGATAGGGTACGTTGTTGGGTCGGCCGTTGGACTGACAAGCCCGAGCTGCTCAGAGTTCGCTGCTGGGGCGGTCGCGGCTGGACGCCCATTGGGGTCCTTGAGGTCATCGCAGGCGGAAGTTCCGAAGCGACATTGCTGATTTTTCAAGAGATGATCGTTGTTGGAAGTAGTTGAGAGGCGAGGGAGTCGAAGCGCCGGGGCTGCGATGCCGAGTGCCAACGGGTTGACGATGCTGGAGTGATGTCGGATGGAAGGGGGGGAGGAATAATCGGTCGACAGATTGATGTCGGGGATCTGACGGCGTCAGCCGCGCTATCTGTGCAGCGGTCGGGGGTGCAAGAGCGGTTTGCGAATTAGGATTGATTATTAGTAGGCACTGGTAGGGTGCCTGCAGCGGTTCAGCGGTACAGCGGCGGCGGGCTGCAAAGTGCGCGTGGGTATTTCGTACGGATACAGAGACGGGGGCGCTGTATCTCCGAAGGTTCCCGCGTCTGTCAGGTTCGCTGAAGTCGGATGACTCGCGACGGCCCGCTGGAAATGCTGTTGCGACGTGCGCTGGTTGCTGAGACTGTTGAAGATTGTAAGAATCTATTTTACGGTGTTGCAGCCGTTAGTACAGGTGCCAGGCGAGGGGAGAAGTCGTGTGGCAATGAGTGGGTTGAAGCAAGAGTAAGGTCAGGTAATGTGGACAAAGTCAGGAGGCAAGGAGCGGAGAAGCTCGTAGTCCAGGTGAGAGAGAGTCTTGTCCCCAAAGGAGGTACGATGGGGGCGAGCGACAGAACTTCGGAAGGCAGGGCAGCGAGAGTGAGAGAATGAGAGAAACAGAGAGGGTGTGTGAATGTGACAGGAAAAGTCGCCGCGGCTTGGGGGTGTAATGCAGGCAGCGCAGTGTGTTGCAGGGGACCATCAGACGGACGGCAAAGATGGTTCGGAATTAAGTGTGCCTTGGCTCAGCTCCAATGAGGACGAATTCAATCCGACCGAATTCAGACTAGGAATGGGGAATGGTAATGGTAACTGAAAATGGGAAAGGCAAGCAACAAACACTGAACAAACACCCTGTGGACGGAAAGGAGGAGCGGAGGGTGTGGCGTGTGATGCGGGATGAGATGGGAAGGGAAAGGGGGTGTGGGGTTAGAGAAGAGTTTGAATGATTACTGTGGGAAGTGAGTGAGTGGTGAGAGAGAGAGAGAGAGAGAGCGCGCGAGTGAAAAGAAGGTGTGTGAGAGTGTCGGCGTCCAGGGAACAACAGCTAAATTGCTTTAGCCGTGGGGTGGCACTCGGGAGCCGATGGGATCTGCGGTTCCAGGGAACGGGTCTTTTTTCTCACTGTTTGGTTGTTTGGGACCGGGACGGCGACTTGGAGGAGTGGGCTTGATGGATGAAGCGCCTCGTTCTCCTGTGGACTCCACTCCGTACGCTGTATTACCGGTATTGAATTGGGACTTTCTCCGAGATGGATGAGGCTCACGGACATGTCCAGGTTGACGAGTTGCGCCGAGTTGCGGGAAGCCCCCGATAAGCGCAGGGACTGTCTAACCTTGCTGCACACACTGCTACTTATACACAGAAGTGTGTCTCTGTGCAAGTCCCAACTCTGCAAACTCGGATGCCGTCCCCGGTTGCTTTACCTACTACGTATTGCAGGGTTGATTCAGAAGTACAGAGTTGACACCCACATCTCAGACCACAACATGCAAACAAGGACTGAACAGCAACGCTGTCCCGCACTTGGCCGAGGGAAAAAGAACAGTTTAATGTTTGGGCATACAGTTCACGGCAGGCAAGAAGGCGGCGGCGCGGCAACGTATCTGTCCTCCAGGCGGTAAAATACGAGGTTGAGGAATCCATGCGTTGCAGACTTGTAACCGCACAGCAAGAGACTCCCACTTTGTTCTTCGTCGTCGTCGTTGTCGTCGGTAACATGAGACTGGTTGCACGGGGAACAATTGGTAACGATGCAATGTATCCGTAATGAGCTAGGAATGGAAGTCGGAAGCTTGCGAACAAATTGTTAATGACCAGGCCAAGGTGGCGCCAAGCCCGGATAGGCAAGGTTGGTTGCTTTCCCATTAGCTGGGGGTGATTGAACACACGCCTCACTCCTCTCCCTCTCTCCCGGTTTCTGTCTCTCTGTCTCCATCTTCAGCATGGTCAGCAGTGTACTAAAGTGTAAGACAAAAATGGATCACGGTTACCTATCGTCATTATCAATATCATTACCACCATTAGCCCCCTTTTTTGCCTTTTCCAAGCTTCGTATCAGACTTGCATCTTCGCGTACAAACTTTGGCAGTCATCAAAATAACCCGAAGCATGCTAAATTAGACAAGTGTCAGTTCGCAGTCGATGCTGACAAGGACCGGGGCACCGCTTAGTAAATGTCCACACACATAGTGTACGGGTACACTACCTTACCGACCGAGTACTCTGACCGTACCGTACCTAAGCTAGGAACCCAAACTCCCGGGTGTCCCTTCTCCCAGGTCACAAATCCTCCTTCTCTCGGGGCTCCGTACCGCTGGAATGGGAGAGCCCATCGCGCATCGCCAGGCGGAAGGGCGGAGAGAGGAAGCCGGAATAGGCTGTTGTGAACTCTCGTTAGCCGCACTCGGCCCCAAGACCCCAGGACGACGCAGCCGCTCCTATCGCCCGGCCTGGCCTTTTCCTGCCCTCTTACCCCGTCCAATCGAAGCTAACGTCCATTTCCCATCGCCAGCCTGCCAGTGCCTACACTATCTACAGGCGGGCAGCTCCTTGGGTTGCTGTCGCAGCCATCTGTACGAACATCCGCGGCCAACTGCCACTTGCATCTTGGCCGCCACTTGCAGGTGCTTCGCTCCAACGCCACCACCCAACCCAAAATCGATACATTCGCTTCGAGCAGGTCTTGTCTTGTCTACTGTCTGTTGCATCTGATTTGTCTACGACCCCCTGTGTTTTGTCTCATCCGCACAACCCCCTCTGGCCCTCTCACCATTCGCCCCCTCTCCCGAACAGGTGTTGAGAGACAAGAACAACAAGCCCAGCTTTGAAATTAGTAGGTTGTCCATCTGAGCGGGCGGCGCTGCTATCCGCAGAGGCGGCTACAACACCTACCACCCCTAGTTGACACAAAGAACCGGCCTGCCTCTTCCCGCGTTTCGTCCAGACTCTCCAACCTACAGGGACATCTCCCTCTGTCCCTGGGTCTCTCACCAACCACTGAGGGAGGGGCTGAAGAACCCTTCGGCTTACATAGTGTACCGAACAGCATCCCGGTCGACTGTCCCAACTCTCCTTCCCCCCAGGCCCTGGCAAAGTTTGTCTTTGGCCAGCGAACCAAAACGTGCCAAACCATGTCCGCCGTCCGTCTCACTACACCGGACCAGGCACCGCGGCTGCTTGGTTTGCGTTGCCCGCGTTGCCCATGTCTTTTGATGGCTGAATCGCCGCCAGGTGTCACGCAATCTGCCCTCATACTGCATGCGATCCGCCACTGCAAATCAAGTGGTACCTGCCGGGGGTGAGCCACTGAGAACTTGGAATTCGCCGAGCTCCTGCCACCAACAAGAAAACACACGATGCCCCGTACCCATCAGTCATGCTCTTCAGCTGACATGACCTGCTCTCTCGTGTGACCCCGTCATCACCGCTCGAGACACTCGCTGAGGAGGCGTGCGCCAATCTGGTGCTGGATTAGGTAGGCAGGTTGAAACGGGACCCAAAGATGGTGACAGCTGGAGACTTTTCGTTGGGTTTTGTTCCGCGTCCCACCGCTCTTCCAGACCAAGACTCTTCCTCAGCGGCACATACGTCTCGCAGAGCCCGACTGTACACACCCGTCCCTCATGCGCCAAACGATGTCTAAAGTCGTAGGCCCGTGTCGCTGCGACCAAAGCCTGAGCCTGGACGGCCGTTAGGTACTTATTTTTTTTTTTAGAAAAAAAAAAACCACCGGTCACGGTGGCACGTCAGTCCATAGTACCAGCAATTTAGCGCACACCTCATCTACAGGGCGTCGTCCCCCGAGTCCCCGGCATGCCCAGTCCAGACTCCAGAGACGACGTCGAAACCTTCTTTGGAAAGTTCCAAGCGAACTCCAAAAAGAGTCCAGGGCCCTTCCCAAGTTCCTCCTCTCCTGCAGGCCCCGTGTGGGGGAATAGCTGTGCCTGCAGGGCAGAAGCGGCCGCGGCCTAGCTGTTATCTAATGCTTATCCTGCAGCAGGCCCGCATACGGAGCTAGGTACTGTCCGCGGCAGATAACGGAGAGATTTCGTAAAGGTGCAGGAAAGCAAGACCAAACAGCTCCGGCAAGTTCTGATGTAAATTGGATGCCACGGAGAAGGCGACGGAGCAATATGCGACAATCCTTCTCCCCTTTTCCTTTCTTTTCTCTCTTCCTCTGGGCCCTCCGTTGGCCGCATCTTCCGAGGCCCCGCAAACTTCGGCCCCTAGAGTGTCCACGTCCCAGAGTCAGACATTGAGGGATCCTGTGGTACCTATCTCGCCTACGGCAGAGATATGTAAATGTCCAGCGGAGGTTGTCCGTACTCTTCTCTGTAACCCTCTCTCTCTCCTCACTCCGCCGGCGTACTCGTGAAGTCGAATTCGGCAGCGGGACGAACAGCATGTCAGGGTTGAGCCCGTCGGCCGGAGCGTCCGCTCGCACTGGACAGAAGGCGATCCCATCCTAGTCCCAGGTTGTGGAAATCCCGGGCGCGCGAGCGGCGCCTGTCGTTATCGGAATCCGCGTCCCTCGGAATCTCAGTAACTTTGCTTCCCACTGTCAGATCGGTTCGTGGGGCGGCTCTCGGAGGGGCCGCTCAAAGGCTTGCGCGGACATACACACCCCCAAAGGTGGGGGGGCGTGGCCACAGGGGAAAACGTGTCTCCGGCTGAGTGTTTGCAAGCGGGGCAGTCGGCCGGCCTTTCCTTCCCCAGCTCTGCCCGGTCTTTGGGGGGGTCGCGTGCGTTTTGCCTGACATGTTAGGCGCAACTTCCTTTGGCAGGTGTAATTGCGGCCCGTCACTCGGGGAGAGCTTCATTCGCGCATCCAGGACGTGGTACCTATCCTCAGCCGCTCTACGGATACCTCCCCCCTCCACCACAGCTCCGTCGTCCACATCTGCGTTTGTACAGCACATCATCCTGCCAAGCTCACAATGGCGACCAAGCGGGATCAGCGCCGGCCGGACCTGAGTATGTTGACCCCGTACAGTCACGAATGTCGTTGCTAACTTCCACAGTCGTCCCCTATCAGGAGCCCAAGGCCAAGGGCGACTCCACCGAGCTCTCCTCGACGCTTTCCTCCACCCTGCCAATGGCTGCGATGCTCACGCGCAACAAGTTCATCGGATGGTACGGCACATCCCTAGTTCTCATTTTAGCGGTATCGAAAAGCACGAAGCCTCGAGCTGCGGCGAGCAATTGCGTTACGGGTTTGCGTGAGGTTTTTGGATGGGGATCAGATTGAACTGACGGGGCAAACCAAACAGGGCTTCTGTCGTCTTCAGCATCCAGACCTGGCTCGGAGAGAGCGAGGAGACCAAGAAGAGTTCCGCGACGCCGGGCTACTTCTCCGTGGGCATGTCAAGTATGTGTTGGTCCCCTGGCCGCATTCTATGAGCTTGGTTCCCTAACAAAGTACGCAGTCATGGCTCTCGCCGTCAGCTACCTTCCCCTCTTCCTCCCGCCTCCCGCCCAACGAGGCGCCGCGACTGGCACCGGTCCCGCTGCTCCCGTTCCTCCTGCGTAGACACGGCAGTCCATATAACAGTCTATGAAGAGAAATTATTCCGAGGGCGGCGTCGATAGGGCCTGTCCAGTATTATAGAGAGTTGCAACATGAGACAAGGCATATAAGCAGAGTGGCCTGCGAGCATTCTGACGAGTCGATGATGGCGTCGGGGGGGCAGGGTGGAAAATTGTAGTATAATACCTGTTGAAAAAACCTAAAAGCGGGCGAGAGAATGCCACGCGGTTGTTACTCAAATCTTAATAGCATCAAGTTCATTATGCTGTACCTAGTCCACGCGACCATTGCCATATGATGAGGTGGGTAGCCAACAAGAGGGACGTTGTCGCGTTGTGCGATTGTCGATGTAAGGGGGCTTATTTGATGTCGTCATATAGCAACCGACCAATTACCTGCTTTCACTACAACTGCATGCTGCAACTTCGACCTTCACCAACTCCGACTCACTTACATCCCCTGATGAGTTCATCCAGTCAACCGGTACTATCCTCCACGTTTTTGCAAAGCTTCACAGCCGGATTTTCAACATTATCCCAAGACTGGTAAACCATTCAGATCATAGAGTAGCGCAATGGCCTCTTTGATAACCGAGGCCTCGGTCCTCGCTGCCTTTGATGAAAAGGTGCGAGATGGGACCGTGATGTACGCGGAGGACATGGAGAAGATCTATCATGATGATGGGGGGTTCAAGGTACTGTTTTCTTCTTCTCTCTTCTTCTCTTCTCTTTTCCTTTCTGGTCACGCCCTCGTGGTCTGGCATCAATACTGGGCGTACATTTTGATGATCCTCATCCCTACTTCGGTCTTGATGAGGATGAGGAGATCAGAGATAGGGCAGGGTGCACAAAAGGGGGGTAGTCCCAGGGACGGGAAAAAACAGGACAAGGAGGCAAAGTGCAATTGTGGATAAAGACTCGCGCTGACATTTCTGCAAAGTTTGAATTTCGATTGACAGCCGCGTTGAAGAGTAAACCTGCCGCGGTGGAGGATAACGCAGAGCTGGATGAAGCCCAAGGCAACGGCAAAGCTCGTCCCGACGAAAAGGGGAACTCTTCTCAACCGACCACAGCCAAGCACCACCACCATCACGACCAGGCCGACGGCAGCGAGCACAAGAACGAGATCGTGCTCGACAAAGAGGGGAACCTCCCGGGAGGCGACATTAGTATCGCCGGCTTCGAGCTCACGACCGTCGGCGGAGGCGGGGGCGAGGGCGAAGCTACGCACGTGTTGGCCTTTAACAAGTTTTGCGCATACCGACCGCACCTGCTTCTCTTGACGGCCAACGGGAGGCGGAGGCAGTTTGAGGGACTGGATGAGCGGGATCTCGGGGCCGCGGTGGAGGTTTTGGGGGTGTTGAATGGGCGGTGGGGTGGGGAGGTGACGGATGGTAAAGGTGATGAGGGACAAGAGTATCTTGTGATTTTCAACTGTGGCAAGGAGGGCGGGTGTAGTCGGCTTCATAAGCATATGCAGGTCATACCCGCGCCGGATGCGATTCCCATGTGGCCTGACCTGGTTAGCGGTTGCGGGACCGGGACCGGGACCGAAGCGAAATCGAACGGAGGTGGGAAGCAGCAGCAGGAGCCGCCGTTCCGGTTCTTCGTCCATTATTTCCCTCCCGACCTCCCGAACGGCAACGCCGGCACAGCACCCCCGCCCTCGGTGAGCGATCTCGCGGCCAAGTACAGACATATGCTCCGCCAGGCGACGGACCTGATCCCCGGCCGCGAGGCAGTGGTGGAGGAGGACGGGGACGGGAGGGCCGTGGCGGTGCCGCATAATGTTATTCTTGGGAGGCGGTGGATGGTTGTGATTCCGAGGACGAAGGCGGGGGTGGAGGGCGCTGATGTGAATGCCGTGGGGATGCTGGGCGTCGTTTGGGCTTCGCGGCAGGAGACGGTTGGGAAGTGGAGGGAGTTGGGGGCTAGATGGGTGCTCGGGGAGGCTGGTGTGAGGAGGTGAAGTGTGTGAGGTAGGTCGATGTGGGATCTTACTTGGTGGATTATTTGTGATCTGAGGCTTGATAATTGAGAGTAGGGGAATGGGCAGTGGGATTAGAAGGCTGAGGGACTTGCCTTGGGAGTTGCGATTTGCTATAGATATTAGATATAGACGCCGGCTGGCATAAAGTGGACGCTCAACGCCAGCAGGATATGGATAAATATTAAGTTTATTAGACGATCTGTCGATCTCGCCGTCCTATCAACACCAGTGCTTTCTGAAATGTATCCTGTCGGGGGCGTGCATGGTCAGTTCCTGTGAGTCAATGTGCCGGTCTCGGCCGACCTTCACTTGCAATTTTCCCCCGCCAATATCATTCATCTACCCATCAAAAGCATACCGTAGTCTAAGTTTCCAACGCACTGGTCCCTTTCTATATTGAAAGACTCCCATGAACCTATCGTCTCGTGGTCTAGGACTCTAGATGCTATTGTGGAAGCTTGGTGGTGACTTGTAGGATATATCGGGCATTCCTTTTCCTCTTTTCATGTTCGTAGAAGCAAACACTCTTCGCTTTTGTTTACTGATTTTTGTTCAAACTCTTTGTTATCTTGCGTCTTGTCGTTATGACCTGTCTCTACCGTATGAATTGATAGAAGCTGATCTGAAGGCACAGCCTGCAGCCTGGTTGCCGATTGGTAGGACACAAGGTAAGCTACATGAGAGAGATCTAGTGATGTGTCATATTGGTCTGCAAAACTTGGTTCCGGGCTCCCAGATGATTACGCTGAACCGAGCGTTTACCATACCAGATATCCTGCTCTGTCTAAGGAATCAGCTATAGTACCTCGATGAAGAAGGGCTGATTTCGGTAAACTGCTGCGAGCCACTGGTCAAGCATCTCGTTGACGGCGCAGATGGAATGTTATGGGCAAAACTCATGATCGATTTCCTCAACTCACCAGCCTTGACTCCCAAAGCAAGAATCGACATCATAAACTAAAATTCTTCCCGAAGGACTCGACTCTTATGTACCGCCGTATTTCACATCTCATTTTCACTTCTGGAGGACCGCAAGCAGACCTCGCCCGACGTGTATTGGTCTGGCTTACTTGCTCGACATTTCCCGAATCAGGCGCGGAACTAGACGAGCTGTGGACCTTTGTCACTTCAGAGACTGATTACAGACAAGTTTGGAACTCTGAGTTCATTTCGATTGTCATAGCGGTGTCTGGCGGTCTTTTGGAAACTCACCAAGTACATTCGTTTTGGTCTGATCGAATAACCACTACATCCCAGTTTGTGCACTTGTCAGTGTGGAATTTCTTCTCCGACATCCAAGAGAAACAGGAAGGCCACTCTGTCGTTCAGGTACGACAGGATCACCCGCCGCCTTAATGTCCTGCGACCGAGATGAGCAGGGTGAGCTAGGTATCATTCATTACAGGACCTTAACGTCGCTAAGACGCAGCTCTTAAACTGTTTCGCAGCACCTATGCTTAAGCGACGCGCCTGCCGGCACGAAGTCGCTCGCTTTTTTTCAGAATCACTGAAGGTTATATCATGCAGGTCCGTTAGAGGTATTATATAGCTATCTGGTGAGATCTTTAAGACTAATAATTATCTAGAACTAGCTGTATCTAATTCTTATTCAGGGGTATATCTTTTGGAAACGTCCCAAGAACGATTTACAGTAACATCTAATGCAAAATACGCCATATTCTGTGCGTTTTGTATCTTGTCACTATCCTCAATGCGTTCACAACTGTTGTTGTATTAGTAAGACGTTGAGCCACTATGCTTGGACACAGAAACTTATACATACCAGTCAGGGTGATAGCAGAACTTGCTAACATCTTTTGGTGCCGGAGCGTAGTTTTTGACGTCAGTACATCTTCTCTCATTTCCGACGATGCCAGAAATGTGTTGTATCTCATGTAGTAAGTTAAATCCTGACGTGAGCAGAACTTGCCCAGACTTCTTCCATCCAGAGGTCCGCCAATCGTCCACCATGGTTTGCCATTTTACTGACTTGAAAAATCGCGGACACAATGTAATTAGGGGACCTGTGTTGTCCGAGATGGCTCCGATCTGGAAAGCAATGGCAACAGCCCCAGGCTCGCAGAGAGAAAAGTCGCGAGGAATGCACACGAATGTGAGCCCCGTCGGGTTAAGTGCGGCCATATTGGCGTCGGGGATCCGGTTGTCTTCCCATGGCGATTTTACGTCTGCGACGGAATCGTAGTTGTTGTTTTTGATTGCTGTTCTCATGGTAGCGTTGGCGTTTTCCTCTTTGGTGGGTTAGCCATTGCTGGTGATGAATGGCGTGCATCTCATTTAACTTACTGCCAAACCACTTGAGGTATGCCATAGAGTCCGTAGAATCTGACTGTGCAAGTACATCTGAGGCTCTTCGGGCTAAGACTTTAGCCTCAATCACAGCATTGTGCAGCTTGGCTATTTGGGAGTTGCTGCAGCCTAGCTCGTCTCCCTTCGCCCGGTCTACAACGAAGTAGCCATCCAAAGCTCGTTTGCGATAAAGGCTAGAGTGTATGCTGTGAGTCTCGGCCCTATGAGCGGAAGAAAAGGCTACAAGAACGATCAGAGAGAATAAATAAGAAAACAACTCCATCCTAGAGAGCGTTGCAAGGCTAGAATAGCCGGGCGCGAGAGAAACAAAGCAGTTTGAAATGTGCTGGTTTTTAATGATGCTGCCCATAGTTTGTGTATATATACTTTAAGTACCCTGGCGTCCAGAGGTACGCGACTCATTTAGTAGCATGTGGAATTGGATTTAAATTACGCCTTAATAAGAATGCACTAACCTGCTGACATTTTAAACTCCGTCAAATTAGAGGGGCATTGAGAACGGTCGCAAAAACGACGCCGTCAATTGCGGGCAGCAAATAACGCCTTATACACCCTTGTGACACAACCCCTCAGATCCTAAGCCCTGTAGAAGGGTAGGGGCCTGTAAGCACTGCGAGCCTCTTTCGGCGGCCTCTATATAATATCGGAAATATCAAATGACGCAAAGCTGATCGGTGTCCTGAACATTTGGTCACCTCCCAGTTTTGATGATTTCACGTCATGTATTGATCCAAATTCGGCTTACTTTGATGTTGAACACTACGCCGATGGCTGGGCAGGTCGCTACGAAGTCTTCTCAGCATCATCGAAAAAGCGTTTGGGGAGTATTCGTCTTTCTCTTGAAAATTCGGACATGGTTATGCTATTCAGGCAGTCGTTTCGTCAAGATATGTCACAGAAGGACTGGCTCCAGGAGAAGAAATATTTTGAGACTTCATTCCCCATGGCTATCGGACGAGCCTGCACGACGTTTACGATTCTAAGAAACAAGTGCCATATTCATCTTGGCACTGAAGAAGACATCAGCTCAGCAACATTCCAGTCCTGTCCACTGCCGCTGGACTTCCTCGAGCATACCGAGGGCCTAGGGTCATTGAGTGAGTTAAAGACATACTCTTTGTCCACAGACAACCAACCAGGTGCCTCGTTGCTGATCCGGGATCGGTACACCTCCTGAATCTCACTCAGTGCAGACGAAAGCCTGCTTTTTTTCGCCGATTATCACAGTCCTTGTCTTACAAACGTTGAAATATTCCGTCTACACAGATCACGAGGCACAGGGCTCAGGGCGTAACTCGTCAACTTCACAAAAGGCAGAATCGGCCCAACCATCTCCTGCCAAGTCTTTCCTGGCCGCCCTCTCTTCTTGTCGGATTGGAAGTCCAATTCGACCTCGAGTCAGGGCAAGCGCAGGGGCCATCTCCAGACCTCTATATCAGCTTCCAAACTGACGGGCTAACCTACGGTTAGAACCTCTCTTTTCCACTTCACGCAGAGATTCAATATACAGTCAATTGACCCTTCGTCATCCCACAGAACTACGGTTCGAACCAGATATCCTGTGATACAGATACCAACACTTCTCCTTCGTTGCAGAATCCAAAGTTTAGACATGGTTCTATACTCAGAGTGAATGCCTCGTCGCCAAAATAGTTACAAGGCAGTATTCTTCCACAATGTTGAAGAGAATTAAAAGAGAAAGTGGGAAAGTTAACGACTTTCAGAACAGTCGAAAATCATGAGTATAAGCACCCGATTCGACGACTGCTGCGTGAAGGAAGGTTCCCGGGAAATCTTTTGGAATCTTCCCGACCTTAGGTTTCACAAGGCAAGCTGTAAAGTCTCCAGTGTCAGCTACTCGCTGTGCGGAGATTTTCTCTTGGCAACTACCGATCGCGGTGTTGAGGTCATTAAAATCCGTTGGATACGACTTCCGGAACAAACCTGGTGAGCTCAAAGGAAGAGTTGCAATCAGGATTGATCCCAGGTGATGTTTTCCTCGGCGGTCATGGAGACTTGAGCGAAGCGGAGCCCAAGCTACCAATTTTCTGCCCAGGATCTAAACTTGTTGCCGGCGGACCCCTCCTGGCTCAACGTAATATGTCAATCGAGACGACAAGAAAGAACCTCGTAGTTTCCCACACATCCGCCAGCTCAGCATCTCCAAAGGCTAGCATCCAGCTTCTTGTCTACTTCAATCCTTCGACCTAAGCAATACCCAGGTCAGCCTACGATTACCAGGAAGCCGCAAGGAGAATCTAGGTATCACAATCAACAAGACCATATCACATGCCTACAGGATCAATGGCGATTCAAATATACAGTTTCCGGCAGTTGTAGACAGGGCCGTTCAATCGGTCGAATTGCAAGACTCACGTGTCGGTCTATTAACCAGTAAGTAGATCCCTTTCACTCTTCAAGACTCTTAATTTCTAATGACTTGCCAGCAGTCTGTCAGAATAATGAGACTGAAGTCGAAAAAAGCTCGGAGAGCAAGAGTTGGAAGCGTAGAAAGTTACTTGAAGAGTAGTGGATTGATTAGATTCCGTATTGTACGGGCTTTCTCCTTGTTTTCTTGGTATACTGGTGCGTCTTGCGGCTTCGGTGATGTAATGCTCCTGATTTGGCACCATTAGCTCAAGTCCTATGTACCTCATCATAGGTACCTAAGGTAGATGCCATACCTCACAAATTCCCAAGTCTTAGCTCACGCATACAATTACATGTGAGTGGGAACTCCATGGCTTCTACTGAGATGCAACTACGCAATCAGTTGCTATAAAGCTGCTGATTAACGACAACATGAGCGCATCAAAGACACCAAAGGTCTAGATTTTAAACCACCGAGAGGCAACTGACAGAACTCTATTAATGTCTTGAGATATTGTATGCTCTAAAGCTATATCCCATTGTCTACCGGTGAAATGTTTATGTTTCAGTTCCATTGACTTCCTTCTCACCACAGTATACAGACCAATGTTGCCACTTTCCGGTCTTAAGGCTCGGCAATCTACAGCAGTGTTAGTCACCAACCAACGTAAGCCTCCGAAGCGACTCATGCAGGAAAACTCACTGTTTACACCCGTCCCCGTCATTATCGAAGCCTTTCCAGTTGTCGTTGTTGCTTGTCGTACATGGACCAAGATCCAGGTAGTAATCGGTGAAGAAGGTCATTGAGCAGCCCCCAAAGACGATGTCGACGCTCTTTGCGTCATAGTTGGCGAAGCTATTGTCGATGCTGGTCATGGTGAAGCAATCGCCCACATGGTCGGATCCGGTGTCACCACCGCCACCGTAGTGGAACGTCGTGCCGTTGGCGCAATGGTCGTGGTCGTGGAATGTCACCGACCAGGCGGAGACGGCGGTCATGGCAGAGAGAAGAACGGCGAGCTTCATTTCTAAAGGTGTCGTACTGCACTAGGAATCAAATAATAGTAGTGGGCTTGGATATTGGGGGAGCTTTTATTATGGATCGGCAAGAGCTTTGCTCATGTAGCTTTCCTTGATAGTGCACGTCTACGACGAACAAGCACCTAGATCGAATGGGCACAGCACTCTTGTAGGTCATCAAGAATGAGTTATCGCGCATTCCTTCTCAATGTAAAAGCTTTTCTTAGTCTGGTCTATAATTATTGCTGCATGCTTGCAATCACTTGCGCGGCTGCTCAACATGTTTCGAACATAGATAGAGGGGGGGACTGGGGGGGCACTGTGAGCTGCCAATCATAGTGGTGGGTGATATCGTGATCGGAAGGGCCAAATTAATGAAGTTCATAGTTGCGGCATGACCGAGGATTTTCATGAGCTGTGCGAGTCATTCGGATGTTCCTGTCTATTCTCATTTCTACGTGATTGGTTCCCGAAACGAGAGTCGTAACGGGCTTGTGCCTGACTCGCGTTGCGCCAACATCAACACGCTCAGAACACTACTGAACTGAAGTGAAGCTGGAGACCGCCTTCAGAGAAAGTTTGAAAAAACACTGAAAGCTTTGTCAAGTGACCGCTATCAGCATATTTTGTTGGTCACGCACGTCTCGGTGTATCCTTCAATAGCGACGACAGCCATCAAGTTATTCCTTCTGTCTTCTAAAGTACACGTAATTTCTTAAGAAGGTATAAAAAGATGTCATGATAGCTGTGACTTGTGATTGTTCATGCTAAGGTGCCCATAGCTGACTGAAATTTCGTAAAAAGTTAATGCTATCTTCGAGCGTATTTGGGGCTACTTACATGAATAGATGGAGGACAAGAAATGGCGCAATGGTAAAGTCACAATCTGACGTGATCTTCCGTTACTCTGACGCTGCTCTCTCCTGAAAAAAGAAGAAATTCCTGAGCGTTAATCTATACAAGCCTAAATTCTTCAATGTGAGCAGTCCCGGTAGAAACATTATCAGACATTTGTCCCTCCATGAGGCCGTATACATATGTATCCCCGACAACTTGATAGGCTTCGCCCTGCTTCCGAAGAGCAAGCGGTACGGGGCAGCCTCCTATCAATACGACGTGGTCTCCGATTTGCGCACCGATCGGAGCCAGTCCCATGTATCCAGTGTCGATAATGACAAAACATCTATCCCGTGTTATCCTATCAACATCGCCGGCAAAAATCAGTTTGGAGCAGTGTAGCATGCATTCAGCTGCCATAATTTCTTCAGCACAAGCAAAATCGAGTGTAGGCTGACTGCTTCTCTCCTGATGGAGGTCTCTCAGCTGCGATGTTTGGTTTTCCTGGCGCCAGTATGCCTTCTCTGTCTCAAAAGAGGGAGCGAAGCGAGCAGAGTGACTGTGACTGACTTCCGGCTGAGGTTGGCTCGAGAAGCTACCAAAAGCGAGCTGCATGAACAAGAGATAGGCTTTTTCCATGCAGATTGACTGGAGGACCGAGATTTGTTCACCCAAAAAATCGGATGTGCGGTCACGATCCATCAAAATGGTGCGATAAAATGCCCATCGCCAACTGTCTCGTGGATGCTTCGTGGTATGCGTTGCCGCGCAGCAACTCCAATTCACCAATTGTTGGTTTACGTAATCACAGGGTGATTTGTTCGATCGAACCGTGGTGACGAAGGGTCAATTACTCTTGTATTGATCTCTGCGTGAAGTGGAAAAGAGAGGTTCCAACCGTTGGTTAGATCGCCGGTCAAACGCTGATATAGAGACCCTCAGATGGCCCCTGCGCTAGCGCTGACTCGAGGTCGAATTAAGCTTCTAATCCGATACTAACTCTCTCTCTTTTATCGTCAATCTCGTACGATTAAAAAAGTAATTCGACGATCTTATAATAGCATATAATACACTAATAAAAGTAATATTTATAATTCCTTTTCTATTTCCTTCTTAAGCCTTTTCTGTATAACCTATTCTTTTATACGTACTATAATTATTTCGTTATTAATAAATCGTTTTAAACTTAGGTTTAGGTTCTATTTAATAAAAACGTTTATTAAATTATCTTTGCTATTAATTTAATGGATTTTAAAAATTTTATACTATTTATACGATTATCGTAAGGCTATAATATCTATTATTAACCTCTTCTTTTTAATAATACCTAACTTAATAAGGCATTTATATAATAAATAGGAATTTATATAAACGATCGTTAATATCGTAAATAAGGTTAATCGATCCGTAATCCGTTTAAATATAATAGAGATTACGTAAGCGAAGTTAACGTTATTAACTATTTTATAAATTTTTAAAATTAAAACGCTTTTAATTACTCTTTTATTTTTAATTAATAAATAATAAACGATATTATTATATATCGTGAATTCGTCGTTTCTTATAGCTTCGTTTATTAAAATAATAATATATCCGAGTTAAGAAGTTAGATTTATATTATTTACGAATAATTCGTCAATAAAGATATAAAGCTTAGTAAAGGCTAAATTTAACGAATAATAAATTAGCCCGTAATTTAAATTTATTATTTATTAACTTAGCCGTTTATTTAGCGCGGTAACGTCTTTTTTAATTAGATCCGTAGCTTACGTTGCTTTTATAATATTAAATATTATTTTTAATTAATAAATACTAATAATATACGATCTTTTTACTTATTTTATTTAATATCTTTTTTACCGGTTATATAATATAAAATTAATAAAGGTAATTTTTTTTTTTTACTTTTTTTAATAGAAAATAACGGTATCGCTTTTAATTATAAGGATCCTATTATTAAACGTTAATAAATAGTTAACGGTAAGGATCTTTTTCGGTTTAGTAATAAATCCGGCCTTTTTAAACTTTTTATCTTCCTTTTATATAAATTCGATATTAAATACGCCTAATATATCGTCGGTTTATATATTAATAATCCTACAGGGTCCCTCTAAATAATTAAAGATTAGTAGGTATAAATTATAAATTAACGTAATTATACCTAGCTATTTAATATAAAAATCGTAATAGGTCGCCCATTAATAAATTCCTAATTCTATTAGCCTATATAATAATTTAAATATGTTAATAATCGTGCTTTTTAAATACTTATTAATTATCTTTTTTAAAAAATAAATAAAGATCTTCTGTATTAAACTAATAGCGGATTATATATATGCTTACGTAATATCCTTATTTTATATGTAATATCCGTCTTTAATAAAAAAAAGGATTAAAGTTAATATTAACTATTAACTATTCTTTTAAACTATTAGCGATTATATAAATAATTTTATTTTCTTAATATCGTTATATTCTTAAATTATGTAATAAGATTTTTTATACGGCGCGTTAATTCCTTTATTTTTAATCTTTTAAACTATACGTAATTTAAAAATCCGTAAATTAATATATTTATTTAAATCGTATAAAATAAAACGATATACGTTTTAATCTCGTAAGGTTTTTATTTCGATAATATTTAAGGCCTTATAAGGCTTACCTTTTATAATAATAATCCTTTTTTTTTATAGTTTAAAAGTTAATTCGAAATCTATTTTCTTTTTAACTAAATAAAAAATATTGGTATAATCGTTGATTAATCCGTTATAATTAAAAAGTTATAGAATTAAGTTTTTTTAAAGCCGGCCTCGCCGCCGTTACGGTGGATTTAGTAATTAATTATTTAATTTATTAATTACGACGATCTTATTAAAAATAATTTTTAATTAGTCGATCTAGTCTTCGCCCTTTTAAATAAGAAGTAACTATTCGACTTCCTTTAGCTTTTTTCTTTTTTCTTTATAAATTATCTTTTTATTTATTTAATTATATAATCGGATCGCTATTATTATAACTTTAAATAATTAATCTCGATCTTTTATAACTATATAAGAGCGCTCGTTAATAAAAATTAGTTTATATAATCTGGTTTATTTATTTACGATATTTTTTTAAACTTATATATTTAAATTTAATAAAATATTGAGATTTTATAATATATTAGGCCCGTTATGTACCGCTAGGGCTTTATTAATTTACTTTTTTATTTTTAAATCTTATAAAACTCGTATTACCTTCTTAATCGTTTATACTTTTTAAATAATATTAAGTAACGGCGGTAATAAAATAATAGTTTTAAAGTATAATCCGAATATTAAAAACGTTAAAATTAAACCTTATAGTCTAGTAGTATCGTTATAATATTTTAGTATTATTTATAAATAGTCGTTGTTTATAAGATCCGGGCTTTTATTTTTAATAATCTTAAACGCTCTTTTTAATTATTAATAGGCTCGTTCGATTTTATCGATACTATAATAAGCTTTAATTAATATTATTTTTAACTCGATTTTATACGATTTAACGTTCTTTTTAAATTCGGTAGATTTAAAGCTAGTTCCGGTATTAATTCGTATATTATTAAATAGGCCTTAATATATATCGATCTATTACGCTTTTAATACTATTTAAACCGTTTTTATTTAAAAATCGGTAAAAAATTACCTTATTTAAAAAAAAATAGCTAAATCGATTATATAAAAAACTAGCCGGCTATTTAAATAAAAAACGTTTATTATTATCTCTTAATTAAAATTAAACTTATCGTAAATTTTAAATTTAAATCGCCGTAAGCTCTATGCGTTTATTTAATATTAATAATAAAACTTAATTAAATATTTTATTACCGCGATTTTAACGTCGTTATTTAACTATTTAAGTAAGGTATAAAGCTTTTAAACCGATAAGTAACCGAACCTTTAATAAAGGCGCTATAATTCGGTCTTTATAAAATAATAAATTAATAAAATACTAATCTCGAGCCTTATAAAAGTATAGCCCTATCGTTATTCGACGATTTTAAACGCCTTACCATTAATAATCCTATTTATAAAATTTTTAAACGTAATATTAAGGTAATTTATATCTATTAAATATAAAAAAAAAATATATTAATAAGCAATATATAAAAGGTTATAGTGCTGAACTAGGTCTAAATATTAATTATTCCGATCCCGATGATTTATTCGCTAGGTCCGAACGTAATTTTAATAATATTAACCTTAGCGGTATTAAGTTTGGTTAAATAAATCTTTTTTAAAATTTAGAACTACCTTTCTTTTTTTATTAATTATTTTAAAGCTCCCGTATTTAAAATAATCCTTTAAAAGGTCTTTAATTTATATCAATTATTAATAAAATAAATCTATATAATCTCTTCTACTTAGTCGATTAGATTATATAAAAAAGGTCTTAGCGCTATTATTAAGCCTATCTCTTCTTTAAAATTACCTCCTTTTTTGCCTATTTAAAGTTAAAAATAAAAGGTTTTTATTTTAAATTAAATTAAAAAGTCTTAAAATTAGGTAATTTTTTTATTAATAGATTATAGTTAGCCGTAAAAGAAAGCCTATTTATTTAAAGCTTTTACGGCTTGCTTCTTATTAAATATTAAATAGCTAATTACCGATAAAATAAAATAAAACTATTAAGTCTTATTTAAAACGTTTAAATCCTTATTATTATTAATTAAATAAACGGTTAAATTTTCCGTATTTTTAAACTTTACGATAAAGTTTATAATCTTAGGCAATTTACTTTTATAATCGATAAAAAATTAATTATATTTAGTTAAGTTAATTTTACTAGCGGTTCCCTTCGCCTTTTTATATCGCTTATATACTTCGGTTCTTTCCTTTTTTAAATAACTATTAAACTAATAGCCCTTTTTTTAATATATATAATATTTTTAAAGTCCGCGGAACCCTATTGTAAAAGGCTTTTAGGGGCCGTCCGGAGCTGTTCTTTTATTTTAGCTTTATAATTAGGCGTTATATTTAGTTTCTTTTTCTTTACCGTTATAAATACGGTTAACTTAGTATTATTAATATAGTTTTTTATTAATTAAAAACTATTACTATTTAAACATCCTAGTTTCGATATTAAACTTAGTTTTAAATTAAATGTAAAACGCCTCGTATTTATTAAATTAATTTTATAAAGCAAATCTTACTTTATTAATTTATTAAACCGTAATTAATAAATAATCGACCTTCTATTTATCAATTCTTTTTATTAATAAGGTTTTATTAATCTTATTAATTTATAAAATAAGTTTTTTAAAAATCTTTATCTTTAGTTTACCTTCTATCTCTTTTACTACCGATTTAAATAATAAAGCTTTAAGTTTAATAAAAAGCCTTTTTTTTTAATCGTTAATTTTAAAACGGCTTCGAAAAGCGTTAATAATTATAATAAAATCATTTTAATTAACTATTATACATACGACTTAATAATAATATTCCTTAGCCTTTTTAATAAGAACGATAATAATCGCTAAATAATATTAATAGTTTTAAATCCTAATCTTTTTATAATTAATATAGAATATAATTAAAATCTCTTATAAAACCTCGTATTTTCTTTTTAAGTACTTCCTTTTTTTAAAAAAGATTTTATATAAATCGATTAGCTACTGTACGTTAGCCGTTTTTAAGTTTAAATTTTTATAACTTATTTAAAAAAAGGGATTAAGGCCGTGTTAGCCGTAGTTAATTAATCGTAATTTAATACTTATATTTAATTAAATAGGGCTAAGTAGCCTCGTTTTTACCGACGATCCGTTAGCCGTAATAAAAGTTTATAAAAATAATAATAACTTTATTTTTAATAATATCTTTTTAATTAATATAGATTTTAAAGCTAAAATAGCTCCGTTTGTAATTTTAAATAAGAATTCGGGCTTTTTAGTTTACTAAGTAAACTATTTAAATCGATTAATTACTCGGTTAACTTATACTTTAAACTAAATTAAAAAATTAATTACCTAAACCGTTACTATAAAAGTCTTATAAAACTACTTTATTAATATTTAATTTAATAAGACCCTATTATTATAAATAAATCCGCTAAATTCTTTAATAATCCGTTTATTTATAAATTTAAATTAATTATCGGGTTAATAACTTAAGTCATTAATTATATAATAAAATAAAGTTCGCTCAGCTAAGTTTTATTTACGATATATTTTAATTATAAATAATAGCGCTGTATTAATTTAATCGTTATTAAGATTGTCTGTATCGTTATATAACTAATTTCTTTAATACGTTTAGATATTAATAATAATTTATTAATCCGGGATAAGCACTTTTACCTACGCCCGGCTTAACTTGCTTAAGGTCGTATTACGGCCTATATTAAAACTTAAAATAATCGTCGTATTAACTTTTAACGTACTAAAATTTAACCCGCTTAGAGGCAGCGGCGGCAGCCTCCTATCGTCGCTCGATTTATTATTAAAAGTTAAACCGGTCCCTGCGCCCTAGGTTTATTTTATAATATTCCTTGTATTTATCTTTTACCTTATAAATAAGCTTTTAGCGCCGTTTTTAACTATTATAAGCTCTTTTTATTTAATCTAAGCGGTTTTTATTATATTTTATTAAAATAGATTACGGTTAATTTAACGACGTTTTAAATATATACGTTTCTCCTTAAATAAATACTTAGGAGACGTATATGTTCGTTAAGCGAATTACTATTATTTGGTAATCTACTTCCTTTTAATAAATATAAAAAGACCGTTTTAAATTCGTTCTTAGTCTTTTTTTTTTTAGGATTACCTTAGCCTTAGCCTTTTCTTTTAGCGCTTATTATTAAATTATAAAGATATTTATTACCTTCGTACGGTAGGTGCTTATAATAGGCCGGTTAAGTTTAAAAATCTCGTAATAACCTCGTTTTTATTTATAAATCGTTGTTAAGGTAATATTTTATTCGTCTACTTAAAGAGGTAATAAAAAAATTAAAAAAAAATTAAATTAAATAAGATCTTATAAGGTTTACCTTATATTTTTAATCTCTTTTTTAATCGGATTATTATATAGTAAAGGCTTATTTTTTACGCTTACGAAATTAAATAAATTATATAGTTTATTATTTACGTTTTTATTTTACGTTCGTACTTCGTAGGCTATAAAATAAATATAAATATTATGTAATCCGGTCGCGGTTAATATAAATATAAAGTAAATAAATTCGTATACTTATTATAAAAAATAAATAAAAAAGAAAAGTAAAAAAAAAAGTTTTTTAAAATTAAAAGAGGTATAAAAAAGAAAGATTTTTTTAACGGTCGGTAGTTAATTTAAGCGGTTCTATTAATAGACCGTTTAAAAGCGTTATTAACGTAATAAACGCTTCTTTTTTAATAAAAATTTAGAAGAACGGAAATCTTTTATTCCGTACGATATTAAAAAGTCGTTTTTTTTAGTTTTTATAAAAAGTTAAAATAGCGCGATTCCTTTATCCCGTACGGTATTAAAGGGTCGCCTTTTTTATTTTATAATAACTTTATTAATTTATAATAATAGTTAAACTATTAATTAATATTAATTTACGTAATTATAGGGTGATTTATTTAATCGAACCGTGGTAACAAAAGGTTAATTACTTTTATATTAATCTCTACGTGAAGTGGAAAAGAGAGGTTCCAACCGTTAGTTAGATCGCCGGTCAAACGCTGATATAGAGACCCTCAGATGGCCCCTGCGCTGGCGCTGACTCGAGGTCGAATTGGGCTTCCAATCCGACACCAATCTCTTAGCAACCAAGGTGTCTGGGCTGGACCGAGAAATAACCCGCCCTACTCGCACACCTTTTACACGGAGCACCATATTGTCTTGTGAAAGATCCCATCCGTGCGGAAAGAAAGTCCCAGCCTCAAACTTGGCAATCCTAACGGACGTCAAAAGACTCACACCGTTATGGATTTCAACGAAGGGCCCGCTGTGGTTTGGAACCCACGACGGCACTTCTTTGCAAGACCTGCGCATTCGTGTACAGTTCTTGTGTCCAGTTCCCGACTGGGCGATGAGGCCGAAATTTTTCTTCAAGGTCAGGAGGGCGAAGTCCTTGAAAACCTCAGCCGGGCTCTTCGTGTAGTCTGGCGTAATGATGACAGTCGTATCAGGAAACAGACCGAGGACGCCATAGAGATAATCGCAGGGATCCGTAGCATTGAACCGCGATGTCTCGATCATCATTTCGTTCAGCAGGGTGAATTGCTCCGCTATTGTATGACTTTGAGGCTGTCGAGATGGCATCAGGGTGCCGTCAACCATCCTGGTTCCATGAAAATCACGGATGTCGCTAGCCGCTTGCAAAACTTCTCTACCATGGAATTCGCTCGCCATCAGCTGCACAAAGTCCTTCAGCAATCTGAGACTGCGAGCCAAGTCTTCACTGCTTATCTCGTTGCTCTCACATAGAAAGAGGCGTTCTTTGGCTAGTACGTTTTCTTGGACCACCCATAGTCTGGACCAATACGGTCGACTAAGTATATCCCGAATGGCATCCGACTTGGACGCGAAAGCCTGTGGGGAGCTTAACGTATCCGCGTGATGCACGCATCCTCGTAGAAATGGCAAGATTGAGTGGTCATCTACGTCTGGTCCCAGCCAGCACAGGACTATGCGAGCCTTGGAATAGATGCGAGTCATCAATGAAACTTGATGGCTTCTTTCGTAATCGTCTTTCTGATTTACGCATATTGCATCGACCCACAGAAATGAGTTGTTGGTTTTAGATCTCAAGACTTTCAGGGCAGCGTGGAGGTTGTTGGTGACTTCGAAACCCAGACCATTGAGAAGGATAGACGTGGTTTGGTCCTTGTCTCCCCATGCGTATGACAGAGCATTGAAACCAGGCGCTTCTTTCATGCTTTTGGTGTGGAGATTGACTTTGATTATGTTCTCATTGTTCTCTGCTGCTTCGATTTTGAGCAATCGGATCTGAGGCGAGGGCGCTCGCTTCAGATCGCTGGATGAATATCAGCAACAGACTTGAACTTTCGATACGGTATCTCTCTCACGTGTAGTGGTTTTGGCTTTCCATGATAACATAAAAGGTGCTCATGAGCTGTCTTTAGCCATAGAATTCCTGATTGACCCTTTGATCTGAGCCTGACGGTCTCAGCCATGTCTTGTACACTCTCCGAGTGATTGTTGTGTGGCCGTTGGGCATTCAGGCTGACGGGGTTGCCTTGGGCTCAGCCGCCAAGCATGCATGCAGTCAAGCTGCACCGACTTCCAAGACTCAGACTGATAGGTTGAGCCCCTACGCCAATTTACTCTCAAGTATGGTACCTAAGTAGGCAAGAGAGGTACCCACTACCTAAGTCCAGAGATCGGCATTGGTCCATGTTCTCCTCCACATTAGCACGGCTTGGTCCTTCCACATCTTGATACCTCTTTTGCTTGTCAAGCGGCAGCCCTCGCTTGGATAGTCTACTGCCAAACCACACTTTCAGATTTACTTTGCGACGTTTTGGAAAGTAATATGATATGTCATCACGACTGAAAATGCGGCTACCTATGAAAATCGAACGAGATAGCGAACTTGTTCTACAACTCTTAAGAACACACGGTTATATTGCATCACGATACACTATTTGTAGACTGTTTGGTGGTTCCTAACAATCTCGCCATAATCTTTAAGTCAGATAGGTCTGACCAGAAATAAATTCATCGTCAAGTTATTCTGGCGCTGAATGCACATGAAACAATCGAGCGGGTCGAGGTAGCCGTCAGACTTGCACCGATCACCTTTCCGCTCTCCTGTAGACCTGAAATCAATAGACGCAAGAGAGATTACCTCTGCTGTCGGTCCACGTTCTGTTCTTCTATCGTATTTGTCATGCTCAAGTGCGGGATGACGGAAGATTCTAGTAGCTAGTGGACTGCTGGACATAACTATCCTCTTTCACAATTGCATAGAAGTGGGACTTCTGTTGGACGCAGATCCGCCTCCATCAGAATAGAAGAACAACAGAACAACGACGCAAACGCCAGTGTTGTCTCTGATGCTTTCTCGGTGTGGCTATACGATTATTCTTGCAAGGTCCAATGTCGAGTTTTGGGCTAATAAACTGTGAGACCTACTCTCTTCCACTTTCAGGCCAACTGCCTCTTCTCCAAGACGTACTATGTTCAGAGCAGGTATTCGAGGCTTAAGAACACCTCTGAACCATGACGTACCAGAGACATAAGTGACTGAATTGTATGAGAGTTATTGAATTAGTCTTCATTACCTTTAGATCTTTCGTTATGCTTATTCATATGTCTTGAGGAACAAGAATAGGGCAATAGACTGCATCTTGAACCTCGACTAAAGGTGACATGAAGTTGTTGTCGAATATGAACTATACAATAGTATGTAGGGTCTTTATACAATTTTGCAAAGCAATGGAGTATCTACACTTTATAGAAGTTGATTTTCACCCCCATCTAGGCCGGATACCTGCTTTTCAGCAGAGAACCACAGTCTCCCAGCGAGCATTACAGTCCTTCCACTGACTGAGCCATACATATCCCACCCCGACCCTCCGCGCAACAAACGGTGCACACGGCAGCCGCTCAACAAGCATGACATTGAACCGCCACATCTCGTGGAACTGCCCCTCAATAAACGCCCACTCATTACTCTCGCTGACCTCGGTATCGACAGAGGCACTGACAACAATGAAATCAAGTAGCTTCCTCCGATCCCTCACCCCCTTCCGTCCAGAAATCCACTGAGCATCCATCTTATCCAAATACCCAACATGCCTCCCCATCATATCCAAAATCTCAGCATCCTCATGTTGCCCCTGCGCCCCTCTCGCCCCGATAGTCTTCCGATCCCGCCCAACTCTCAACGAGGCAACAGTCGTATTAAACACAAGGGCCCCGGGAAAGTCAAGCGCGATCTCAACAGCCCCCGGTTCGAGCTCCGCGTGCGCGAGCGCCTCCCACGGACTGTGCGGACACTCCCGCCACATGGCGGCGTACTTCTCGTCAGTCTCCGCCGAGACGTTGAACTTGCCCCCGGCCATCTTCCTCTGCAAGGGCGGCAGCTTCTCGATCCCGCTCACCTTGGTCAGCCGCATCGAGCTGCCCAGCCACCTCTCCGTCACTCGCACCTTGCGCAGCAGCCCATCGCCGTCTCCAGACTTTTCAGCAGCCCGCCTGGTATCGTACATGTAAAACTGCACCAGCGTCACGATCCGCACAAGCTTGGTGTCAAAAAGCCGCGCATCGCCGTGAATCCACCGATAACTTGCGGCACTCCCTCCCGAGACTGACGACCACGCCGCCCAGCTCCAGCTCGGTATCCCCAGGCCTCCATCATCTCTACATCGGACGGCGCCCGTGTGGCTCCACATGAGCGTCTGTGGGAGGTACATCTCCGGCAGGCCAAAGGTCATCTCGGTGCGCATGGATTCCCCCACGGCGTTGCCGATGCCCGCAAAGGCGTTGAGGACGTCTGCTTCACGGGAGAGCTGCCGCGACGTGTAGTCTTCGACCCATTGGCAGTAGTTTGCTAGCGATACCTGGCCTCTCAGCTTGACTGGTGCGTCCTTGCTGTGGAGCGCTCGACGGTAGAAGCCGGGGATGTTGGGTATGCAATGTGTCTTGTCCCCGTTTGCCGCTTCGTCGACATCTGTCTGGCCCGTGTGATGAGTTTGTGAGTCGTGCTCATCATTGGGCTCTTCTGCTTGCGTTTGCTCTACATCCTCGTCGGGCACAGGTGTAGGAACACCTTGCCGCGCTCGTCCCCAGGCCAGTTCCTCAGCGGCGTGACCACGACAGCACTGGAACAAGACCTGGTACTCCGTAATGAAGATACTACGCCTGGAAAGCAGCCTCTCCTGGAACGTCCAGCCCCTCCGGTTCCACAGGGACGCGTCGACAATCGTTTGCAAACCGTTCGGGTCAATCCCCTTCCCAACGTTCCGGTTCCATGGCGGACACCACAACGAGGCCCGCGGTCTCCTGGGATTGCCGGCATATCCCGGAAATCCGTTTCCCCGGCGGTCATTCAACGCGGCGAGGATCGAAAAGGATGCAGACTGGTAGATCCGGTCCATCCCGTCTATCTGGTCGGGCTTCGACCGCTCGTCATCTTGGATGATGCAGAGCCGATCCACCCATAAGTAGCCCTCTCCGAGGTCCCTACAGAGGGCTATAGCGTCCAGAATTATGCGTGGTAGAGTGACTGACGCGAGGCTCCCAGGGATTTCCAGGTCCTCGGCGTTTGTCTTCTCCAGCTGGGCATGTCCCGATGCCTCGGTAGCTTCCCACATGTAGCTGAGAGCAACGAAGCGTACCGGCCCTGGCGGCTTGACAATCTTCATTTCGTGGATATCGATGACCCGAAACCCCAATGGTAGACTGCCTGAGTCCATGTTAGAGTTGTTATGCGCAGCCTCGAGCTGCAGGCAAAAACCACTTACTGATCGACTTGTACTTGCCTACACAGTGGTGGCCGTGGAGAATCTCGCAACCGTCGATCCAAACTTTTAATGTCTCGACATCAAAGTACTCAGCATCCCATTCTTCGACTGCCTGCAATCTCTGAGGTTCGTCCGTCGAGTATCTAAACAAGAACTGCGGCGTGACCGCAAAGGGCGACGGCACCGACGCCCGAGCCCTCGACTCGTCCGGCACCGCACTCAGAGTCAACTCCAGAAACAACCTCACAGAAACTTCATCCAAAGAAGAAGCAAACAACCGGTGCTTCTGGTCCTCAGCCAGCCCCGCGTCAAGAAAGAAAGGGCCCTGCAGTGTCACAAACACGCAGGCATCCGGGCAAGCACGTAACCACCCATCCTCCCGCCGTCGCGCCTCGACAGTCGCAGCGACCGCGCGGCAAAACAGACACGTTGGCGACCGGAGCGAGATACTCTCCAACGACACGTAGTGGTGGGCTTTCGAGCCGAGACCGGCGGCGAAGTCGGGTACGTCCCAGTCCTGGCATCGCTCGCACAGCCGAGGGCTGGGGTCGGTCTGCCGCCGCTTCTGTATGAGCTGCGCGACGCGTGGGAGGTTGGTGGCGGAGGCTAGGCCCCTGAATGAGACGGCCTCGGGTCTCTTGGTTCTCGGGAGCATTCAATGGGTTGAGGATCGAAGTTGGTGATGTTCGAATTATCCGAGTATTCGCAAATTGGGACTGTACCACATCAAATTCTTGCGATGCCATACGCTGAAAAATGATAGAGATGCCGCTTTGGATAATAAGAACCAACAATACTTAGATATGAATAATTGGAGATGGGGTAATTGTACAAGGTAAAGATTCAAAGGTTTAGATGATAATGATGATGATGATGAGATCGCATTGTAGATCTAGGCGGGAAGATGTGGGGTCCATATTCTCCTTAGCCACGAAACGGGTTTTCGGTTTGCTGACCAACATGGTGGTGCCGAATACTGGTACTACCATCTTAGTTTGAGGCTAATTGTTAATTGAGACGACGCGGACAAGGTTGGGTTTCTTCAACTCAGCCAGGATAAAGGGGTTAAATCTACGTCACATGCGAGAATGCGGACTAGTTGACGATGTAGTTTGATTTGGTCTGCTGTAGAATCGGTCAGGTAAATGTCATAGCATCATGCACTGGAGAAGAGAGCATCAGAAAGTAGAAGAATCATGATGGACAAGTAAAATACGACGAACGATCAAGTCACGGTCTTTCAGGCAGCATAGCGAAAACCCAAGGACATACAGACCTCTTATATTCCATTGAACTCCCACCCTATGCCCCTTGGCCGAAGACGTTGCTATTGTACATAATTCGACATCTTCACGCTCCGTTTCTTTTTTCGAATTTCCGCTGCAAAACTGAAAGTTCGCATGCTGAGTTTTCCAAGGAGATCCCGTTTCTCCTTTACCGTTGATTTTGTGTGTATGGTCAGACAACGTGGAAAACGATCTGTCGCCTCGTGTAGCGTTTTCCAGACATGACAGCCCCATCCCATGATACCCCCGTCCTGCATTGAAGAGGGATGACAGACCGGATGCAAGACCCCATGCATCAGATTAAACATTGGTAGGTAACGAACGTGGAGTGGACTGTAGTACCACATATCACTGAAGGGTGATGAGATACGAGGAAAGGTGTACTCTATACATATGAGAATGTTATAGGAAATGACCAGCGTAGACATTGGCTTCGTTGATCATGCGTAGAAAGCCTCGAAGAAGTAGATGAATCCAAACACCAGGAAAGCAACAGCGCCACCGACCGTGACTGTGTCGAGTTAGATGGGAACTTATAACATGGGTTCGATGATAACTTACCGACTTTGAGACTGACACGGCCTGCGATGGCACGGCCGCCAATAACGGCAGCACCGGTGCAGATGCAGTGGCCGACCATGGCACCGAGAATAACCCACCAGTAGTCCTGTCCTGCAGCCATGGCAATAGTTGCAATCTGACTGCGGTCGCCCCATTCACCCAAGAAAGTCATGACGAACGTTTGGACCCAAGCAGGGCTGAGAAGAAGGCCAAGGAGGTTGTTCAGGCCGTTCAGGGAGCCCCTAATGCCACCAGAACCGGGAGAAGGGCTGCGGGGCGGCGACGAGGAAGGCGAGCGCGGGGGCGAGGGGAAACGGCTCTTAGACCTAGACTTCCTGCTGCCGTTGAGGCCCATTTCCAGCGCGTAGGGAGACACAGCAGAGCCCCGCCTCTTACCCTCCTTTTCCTTCTCAGCCAGCTCTCGCTCGACCTCGTGCAGCTCGGCAGTCACACCCTCGTTAGGGTCCATGCCCAAGCCTTCACGAAGTAGCTTCGCGCCGAACACGAAGAAGAGACCAGCAGCAAGGAAGCTGGTCACGCGCTTGGGGATTAAGGTCGGAACAGCGTGGCCGAGGACGGCTGACAGAACAGTCATGACCAGCAGGGCACCAAAGGCGGCAGAGAAAACGACGATCCGGTCATGCTTCATCGCCATGAGGGCAGCTACAAGGAAGGTCTTGTCGCCAACTTCGGAAACGAGAATCATGGTAAGAGACAGGACGAAGGAGTGGAAGGGTTGGATGACACCTTCGGCCTCCTCGTCGAGGCTAGATGAAGACTTGCCCTTGGGCTTTGAAAGATCCAGATGATCCTTGTGCGCCGAGTTAGGGAGAGGATGGGGCTTGTCATCGAGCTTGTCAGGGAGACCGGCCGGTTTCTGCCGCACCTCAGTCAGCATTTCACGCCTTGACTAATATTATGGCATTCACAAACTCACCTCGAGCCCTGCAATCTCATCGGCAGTGTGGCGATCATGGTCATGCTCCTTGCTCGTGACGGAGTCCTTTTCGCTCGAGATCTTCTCCTGTTCGCTGTGCGGCAGAGGGGGCTTTTCCTTGGGAGCCTCTGGCTTATTGTCGACCTTTTCGCCCGTTCGGCCCTCAGCTGCCTTGCGCGCCTTGTCCTTTTCGCTAACACCTCCTTCGGTGCCCGTAGTTCCCTCCTTGGGCTTCTGGCGTGTCTTGTCGTTCATGACGCCGTCGTTGGTCTCGGGGATCTTCTTGCCATCGACAACGGTGGGGTCGGACGGGCGTCCCTTCAAGGGAGGCAATTCCTTCTTGCCATCGGCATCAGCGCCCTCCTTCTTGGTCTCTCTGGTCTGGTCGACGAAAGGACCCTCGTGGGGCATGCCGTCCTTGCCATCGACAGGCGCGTGGTCGGTGCCATATCTGGTCTTGATGCCAGAGGTGACAGTCGAGTCGGTGGCCTTTTCGGTGGAACCTACCGCTTTGGCGCCATTTTTGTCTTTGGTTTCGACGGCGAGACCAGCGACGAGGGATGGGATGAGGAGGAGGAGCAAAGGGGAGGGTCGAGTGCGCAGCCTCATGATGGCTCGTTCGGGCTGTCGAGCCTCGCTGGTATCTGGACAATGGGGGTGAGATATAAATGAGAGTTTGGAAATGAGCCCGAGAAGAATTCTGCTATTTTTGCTAAGGGGGCAAAGGAGAAGGAAGGGTGTTTTGGTGGTTTCTGATTAACTCTGGCAATGCGACAGCTCAGCCACGGGTTCTAAAATTGTTACGTATCTTTGCTGCACGGCCACGGGGGTAGGCAGGTAAGGTAAAGTACCTTCAGGTACCTGAAGGTACGGAGCACCCGACATTAGACGTGAGGTGGACGCGCCGTGGCCCCATGTTCCGAATCCCTTGAGGCGCCCCACAGGGGGCGGCGACATTGGGGATCATGGAACCCCTAGAATGTTTCCGCCTGAGATGTCTTGAAGGGGATATATACATAGAGGACACTTCAAACGTTGGATAACGGCTTAAGAGGCATATTGTCGCATTGAAGCAGATGGAATACAAACGCTTGACTTTCAACAGAGAGCAAGCAAATTCAAGGTGTCGCGCAAGCGCAGGGTGTAAAGTAAGCAGGTCAATTGCCTTGGTAGGCATACTTCAGTCTCTTCTGCTGAGGTACAGAGCGTGCACGACAGTCAAAGGTGGTACCTTACATTGGACCAGGTTGCATCCAGGCGACCCCAGATTTGCTCAAAGAATTCCGAGTATTTCTTGGCCGGACCCTTTCGTGAGCTCTGGAAAAGATACGTACATAATGCTTACAGTGGCAGAGTGGGTGGCCGAGGAGAGCTCCATCAGCTGGCGCCACTGGCATGCCGGAGCTTACAATAGCTGTGCTATCTTATCTCCGCCGTTCGGCCCAGGACACCCCACCTACCCCGGGACTGAATGGATGTCGTCACGAACAACCGCTTCTTCGTGAAACATAATCTGAGCGTTGTCTCTTGCTGTCTCTCTTTCTATGCTCAAATCGTTTGCTTTCCTGCACTTCAGCCTTACACCACACCACGTACATAGAGCCAGGAATCTAGACGATTGCCACGGACGCACCTGCATAGAGTCCTCCATCACACGTCGGCCGTCTCAAATCCGAGCTCCGCTGTATCACTAAGCATCAATCCGAACTTCCGTGTGAACACAAAGTCAGAATGGACGACTCTGGGGACAGTCTGCGATCGCCCTCAGCGAGCATGAGTTTGAATGAAGAGGATGACGAGCCCACCTGGACCTATCACTTTGATCCGGAAGATGCCGGAGATATGGACGACAACGATGAGTACGACCCCGATTTCCAAGATGAGCCAGAGGAGGAGGATGGAGACGATGACGAGTATCATGGTAACAAACTCAAATCTTCCACGTTGAATCACACAGAGACTCACCAAGCACAGATGCCGAGGACGGCGGCGACAGCAACGTAGAAGTGGAGGTGTTCATGGGTGCTGGGGACGAGGATGACGATGATGCTGAGGAAGGCGGCATGGCCGCAAATACAATATCGAGGCTCATGACTCTTATCAGTGAGCCATACAATGCCAAATAAAAAAACCTAATGTAAGTGGAGGCTAACCATTGATACAGCTGGCGCTGCGGGAAACGGAACCGGGTTTCTTACACGGGCCCAATTACTAGGCCTGATCCAAAGTGGCGAAGTGACACTGCGCAGTACTCTCGAAGAAGATGACGACGATGAAGACATTGGTTGGGGAAGAAGACGCAGACGGCCTCGCGCAAGGGAGCCGAACCGCTTCCCCAAAGTACCGAGCGATGAGGGCACAAAGTTAATGCACTCTGGCGTTTTCGGCGCCAATGATTATCGAGTGACAAAGAAGAAGCAACTGGCGCGCAGGATATTGGATCGTGAGCTCGGCCTAGGCGACAGGCGTGAACGGAAGCAGAACCAAGATCTCATGGCTCAGGGCATGATACCATCGACAAACCCCGAAATGATCGTGCACTATGACGACCCTGTGTATTCTGGCCAGTTCTCCGACGACGGTAATTTTTTCTACGCCTGCGGTCACGACTTCAAGGTTCGCATGTACGACACCTCCAATCCGTATAATTGGAAATATTACAAAACGGTCAATTATCCTTGGGGACAGTGGACACTGACCGACGCATCCCTGAGTCCCGATAACCGCTGGCTGGCTTACACGTCAATCCAAAGCAACGTTTGTCTGGCACCTACGGACCCCAATGACACGGGAGACCCATATACTTTGGATCTCGCCGAGAGGAGCGCGGGAACTCAACACGCAGGATGGCGATCGAGGCACTCCTTTGGAATTTGGTCCGTGAGGTTTTCAGGAGACGGTCGCGAGCTCGTGGCCGGCACCAATATGCAGTCGATCGTCGTATACGATATTGAGTCGCGCACTGTGTTACATAACGTCGTCGGCCACGAAGACGACGTGAACGCTGTGTGTTTCGCAGACAAGTCCTCTCCGCACATTCTCTACTCTGGGTCGGACGACGCTACCATCAAAGTCTGGGATCGACGTAGCATGGGAGACGGGCGGCCAGCTGGCGCTTTCGTGGGCCATGTGGAAGGCCTCACGTACATTGACAGCAAAGGTGACGGTCGCTACATTCTCAGTAACGGCAAAGACCAGACAATGAAGCTGTGGGATCTGAGAATGGTCATGTCCACGGCTAAGTACGACGAGGTCAACCCGACAAGATTGACTAGCCACAGTGACTTCGACTACCGATGGGGTACATACAGGGACGAGGACTGGTTTCCGCATCCCAACGATAACTCGTTGGTGACGTTCCGAGGACATCGCGTGATGCGCACGCTGATTCGGTGCCACTTTTCGCCTCCATCAAGTACGAACTCGCGTTATGTTTACTCTGGCAGTCAGGATGGCAAGGTTTACATTTGGAACATGGATGCCACGCTCGCTGGTACCATTGATGTGAGGAAGGCCACCAAGAACTCGCGGCCTTTGGAGCGCCGGTACCGCATTTACCACGGTGACGACTTCCCGGGGTGGAACACGTGCGTGCGCGACGTGAGCTGGCATCCTAATGCGCCAGTCCTTGCTGGTAAGTTTCCCCATACTCCACAAGCCTCAGACCATGACTGATCTCCTCCAGCATCCGCGTGGAACGGCTTCAACATGGCTCACGGAACCTGCACACTGCATTCGTACAACGAAGCCGAAGAAGACGAAGCGGAGCCTCAGATGGGCCGGAGTGTCGACGAGAAGCTGCGCCCTGTCGGCGAAGCGTTCCAGAGCTAGTTAATTCTCTCCAAATCTCCAGGAACCGATTCACTTGGGATTCACTTTGGGAGAGTGGCGTGGGATGATTATTTTAATTATTTTGTACATCTTTCACACATGTCCAACCCCTCTTTCGGCAATGATACATGATCGATGAAGCCACTTTGGTCTCGGGGTATCTCCCATCACTCCCGCGCAGCATCTCTTCCTGTGTTTGGTGCAACGCTGCCACAATCTGCCTGTGTTATGCTTTTTGAGACCCATCCCTGCGTGTAAAATCATTTTGGTCGTCACGTGTCGACGTGAAAGTGCTCGAGAAGCCAGCCCGAAATATCGGTGCTTCCATTGAAGATAGATGTAGCGTTTATGCGCCTCCGACAAGGATATTGTTGACGGGAATGTGAATCAACTTCACGATGTAGCCGACGGCGCCCATGATGAGAAAACCGACGCCGACAGCCTGGCAGAGCTTCAGGAACTCGAGCTTGTCGGCTAAATGACAAGTTAGGATTAGAGTGTTCTCGGCATCCTCAGACGGGGCGCAACGTACGCTTGGTGCACCTTCTCATGAACTGAACACCTTCCTGAGCGAACTCGGAGGGAACCTCGAGGATCTCCTTGACTTGGTCGGCCATTATGGGTAGAAGCGCGTTGGGTGCGGAGAAGAGAAAGGGGTGGGTAATCTGATGAAAGTCGCGAATGAAATCCCAATGGCCCGCAGTGTAATAGAAAAGCGCAAAGTCGATAAATGAAAGGCGCGGCGACGTGTGTTTAAGGCGTTGCAGGTCGGGCGGGTGGAAGATTCGAGAGATCGAATGGGCAGAAGGGAGATGTGTTAAATTCAGCGCGCTGTCACCAAATGGTCCCCAAAATTTCGGGACAAGCTCCCGCTGTGGAAGGAAGAGCCAGATTGCCATTAAGGAGGCATGGAGGAATAATGCGCCGGCCGCCGATGCGCACGCCACATATGGCTTATCTAAGGTTGGGATGATAGGAGTCCCCCTTGGTGTCCCCTTGGGTGGAGGAGGGCCCCTGGATTCCCCCGCCAGTGGGCAGAGAGGGTCTGGTCTGGGTCATTTTGACCAGCCATAGCTCAGTGCATTCAAGCACATGACAGGGAGACGAGAGACGTACCGCTCAGCGGGCAGTCGCGAGCCCCATTCGGGCATCCACTGGCGGAGTCTGTGCCTGCCGCAGCCTGGCGGCCATGGCCCTTGTCGGGTCCCGCCTGGCTCAGGATGCGACCTCAGCTCCTGAAAGAGCTCCCCCCAGTTTTCTTCCCTTCCCAACCTGAACGTTCCTCCACTCACCTTCCTCGACCGCATTTCTTTCATCGCGTCGACATCCAACCGAATCGTCCGTCCTTGAGCTGTTCGACAACATACAGCTCTACTCAAGCTATCCTACGCGTCGATTTTCCTATCTACACAGAATACATCAGAATACCAACGAAGCGACGCGCCATCGTTGCCTACTCGCCAGCCGGAAACCTTGATTGGGCTTCCTGGATCACTAACTCATCACGGCTAACAGCATCGTTCACGCAGTGAGCGAGCAGGTACGCGGTTGGAGCGTCGGCCAAAGGCGGTAGCAGAACAAGCAAACAGTCTCTGGAATCGCGGGATCCTGTTTCCATTCTTCCTCGTCCCAACTACATCTTGTTGCCTGTACCTAAGGCTTCTGGGCCGAACTAGGAAAGAAAGTACGGTCACGTCGCCATTGGGGAAGACCGAAGCACAGAGCTTCGTCTTCATTTTTATTTGGCTAAAGGAGAGGATTACATTGGCTTGGCACTTTCCATTCCAACCTCTTCTATCCTGTCTGCGGAACGAGGAGTGTACGTATCAGATGTTCTCTGTTTCTATCCTACGTTCGACCTTTTTTGGCTCCAGAGTTTGGCTATAACCATGTATTAGCAGCGGCTGATAATGATGTTCAAGACTGCAGACATTTCCTGTATCTCGCAGACTAATAACAACCTTTTTCCAACTACAACCAAGCTCACTGCCCCAACTCACGGCTACCAGATACTACCGTCGCCATGGCTGAGGAGGAATTCGAGATCGATATCTATGGCGATGCGCCTCAAGATCACCAAGACGGAAATGCCGAGAACTATGACGGAACCCCGGCCAACGGCCATGCAGACAACCACCAGGAACAGCACGACCAGCAAGTGCACCACGAAGACCAGCAGAAACACGAGCAGCAGGAAGAATACCACGATCAGCAAGAGGCGCCTGCTCCCCAGCAAGGCGTGAAGAGAAAGGGCGATGACCGGCCGGTCGACCCTGGCGCAACCACGGCCCTGATGGTCTCGGATCTTAACTGGTGGAACACGGACGATGATATCAGGGGGTACGCCAGAGCTGGCCACTGCGAAGATGAGCTCAAGGACATCACCTTTAGTGAACACAAGGTCAACGGAAAGAGCAAAGGGTATGATTCGTGCTGGGGAATTGACATGCACAGCTGCTAACTTTGCCCTCAGCCAAGCCTACATTGAGTTCACATCGCAGCAAGCTGCCACGGCCGCCAAGCACGCTTTCGAATCGACAGATAACGCACAAGGCGTACCGAAAAAATACCAGGTCACCTACTCGAACCCTCACGTCAATCCGTTCCGCACGCTGCCTAAGGATGCACCGAACCGCGCAGGTAAAGACCAGGGCACCCGACCTGGCGGCAACTACAACAACCAAGGCTCCTCGATGGGCAGCGACTTCCGTGGAAACGGCTATCGCGGTCGGGGAGGTTTCAACGGTCCCCGTGGCGGCATGAACCAGGGCGGCTTCAACCGCAACTTCTCGGGTGGTATGGGAGGTGGTTTCAACAATAACAACAATATGGGCGGGGGCGGCTTCAACAACGGCATGGGCGGTGGCAATTTCGGCGGCGGCGGTTTCCAGCGAGGCGGCGGCTTCGGCGGTGGCATGCGCGGCGGCCCCGGCATGCGCGGTGGACGGGGCGGTATGCACAACCCGATGGGCGGTATGAACATGGGCCCGATGGGAGGCATGCCCAACATGGGTATGCCTAACATGGGCATGATGGGCGGCGGAATGCCTGGTATGACTCCCCCTTCTCTTCAATTCTCCCAGCAAAGCCACAATCCCTCAAAACCTCAGCCTGCTTTTGGGTCAACCCCAGAGCGCAGTTACTCTGGCCGGCGAAAGGGCAAAGCTGCCAAGACCGGCCAACACGAAATCCCTTCAAGCACCAAACGGCAGAAGGGGCAACCAAAGCCTGTTTTCGAACAACCTCAACCTGTCATTGCACGAGCGTTGGGCCGATGGACAAAGGAGCGCGGGTTGGAGTATATAGCAGGCACCCTTCCAACCCCTACAACCGCTCGGTTCGGCTCAAGGATGCTGCCTCACTACTCGGCTCCTCGCTGATTACCCTTGGCTGGTCTCTCTGCTTTTTGGGTTTTCATTCGTTCTTCACTCGAAACCGCACAAACTGACTTTTCCCCCAGGATTTCAAGGCATGCCGCAACAGTTCAACCCTGCGTTCTTTGGCGGAAACCAAGGCGGTGGAAACGACTGGGGCAACCCTCATGGTGCTAAGCGACCTCGCCCGGAGTAGGACTCCCGGCCAAGACAGTTTGCGAGATCTTGAGGTAAGGGGAACGATTTAATGGCCAATGCGTCGCAGAACTCACGGTCACGAACCCCTCCATGCCACATATAACCCACATTTCATTCCTTTAGCCAAGATTATCTCATCGACGAGATCTCTTCGCGGTTGTCGGGAAATTTGGCTTGATCGAGGCCTCTGGTCTCCGTATAAATGAGGGGTACATTGGCTGCAAATTCACGAAGCTCGTTCCAGCTACGGATGGATAAGTGCGGCCACCAAACTCTCAGATGTTTGCTTCGAGTTACTGTATGTGTACTATTAGAAAATGGCTGCATGGGAATGGTACCCTAGCACCTCGGTTACGGCGTTACAGTTCAGACCTGAAAAGCACAATCTACGACTGCGTTTCGTCATTTCACCCCTCGTTTCTCTTGAAAGAATACCAGCAGCTTGTTATTCATTGGTCTTTGGAAACATTCAGCTTTTGTATCGTGCCGCGTACAAGTAATTTTATCTGCTCCCAGCGAGTAACAATCATGTCGCGCTGGAACTCCTCGCCTTCATCCAGCTCACGCGCTGTCTCGATCTTGGACCCAATCTCCTCATCATACGCAACCAGCATCTCGCGCAGCAACTCATCTACCTCGGGCTGCTCCGCCTCCCCGTCCGCAAAGCCATCGACGAACTGCGACCACCGCCTCGCGGGCAACATGAGTGTGCGCAGTGCCACCTGCGTCCGATAGCAGACCGTCTCCGAGTCGATCACATACTTCCCCAGAAATCCTTTCTCCTCCAGCCGTCGTCGGTGAGCGGCACCCAGGCGCGGGAGGACGGCGTCATCGATGCAGACCTCGTCCCACTCGTTTTCGCCCTGGGACATGACGAAACCGTACTCGACTAGTAAGAGGTCGTTGCTGTGGCGGCCGTAGCAGATGTGAATCTCTTCGCCCGGCGTGTAGGCCCTGTCGGCTTTTATGGTGAAGGAATACTTGTCAAAGGCGACGGAGCAGCCGTGGGCCGCGTGGTTGAGGAGGTCTGCGACGGGTTGTAGGACCATGTGGTCGTCGCGGTGGCGTTTTGCGGTTTTGGGGGTGACGTGGTAGAAAGTGCGGGAGTTCACGAGAAGCCAGGCGTGGCGGTAGTCTTTGTATGTGAGGTCCAGGTCCGGGAGGGTTGAGGAGACGAGGGACCAGTGGGATTCGAACTTTTCGCGTTGGGCTTTGAGGAGGGAGATGGCTTGGGCTGGGAGGAGGGCGGACAGGGAGGGAGACCAGGTTAGAGGGCACGAGGAGAGGTCTTGCGGGGATGGGAAGACGGCGGACCAGGTTTTGAAGGCGGGGGAGTTGTCGAGGGCGATGTCGAGGGCTAGGAGGGCGTGGACATGTGTTTCTTTTGGGAAGGGACGGGTTAAGTGTTTTGGGATTGTTGAGATTGTTTTTAGGCAGGGAATTGGGACGTCGAGGATTGTGTCGTCTTTCTGGGGTGGAGGAGTTAGTGTGTGAGGGAGTTGAAGACGAGATTGATGTGAATAGCATCGTGGGGCGTGGGGGGTTTGAAGATGCGTACCTGGAGAGGCGCTGTTACGACGATTCCTATACCTCTTCCTGGGAGAGCTCGGGGGCCGACGTTGGTTACTTTGATTCCTTGGGTTTGCGCCCAGGATAAGAGTTTCTCGATTGCGTCCATTTGGTGTTTCGTTTGGAGCCAGAGTTTGGATTAGATGTCGGAGAGTTTGATAGACAAAAGTTAAGGTGAGTGTAATCTTGAAGAGTGGCAAGAGATCGTGTAGGTATGAGGCTCTACGTTGATAAATCGACACTCAAATATAATTTTTGTGAGAGGAGTGATTTGTAACTCCTTTTCGCTTGTTATCCGATGACAAGATTAGTAGTATTATACTTGGACGGCGATGAACTCTCGCATCTGCGGGCCGTCGTAAAATTGCCGAGACTGGGGTGAACAAGTCTCGTGAGAATAATGACTCGTTTTTTTTCTGCGTACAATTGAGTTGACAAGCTACACTAGGGCCAAGAATTTAAAAAAGTAAACATCACAGTTGGTCCTGCGGTGAAAGCTTGAAGAATGACAGAAACGAGGAAGTTGAGACGAGAAAGAGACAGAAAACTAAAGTGACGAATCAAATGCGCCGAGGGGCATTTCCAACGATCTGGAACGGGAGGCCCTTGTCCAACCGACCTAACCCACCACGGGGCACCACTGCCGTAGAAATGTGCAACTGCTATCGAAAAGGTCGGCGCTAGTATCCACCGACTCCCCGACCCGACCCTGCTTGTCCAAATTCTCGGGGGAGGCCGTCGCCGAGGTGAGGTAATGGAGCTGCCCAGAGCTTCCAAAATGTCTTCCGGTCATCGAACCATCCTCAACCTGAGGTGAGACCACGGCTTTCGACGGGTCCCGGCAGCTCTCTCGTCCACGATTCCAAACCTCTCGAGGACGCTTAACGGCATGTAAACGATTGAAACACCACACTTGAAATACAACCGCACAATGAGAGCTCTCACAACCGTTTCTGCGGCCCAAAGCCGCCGCGCCCTCCCCGCCATCTGCGCGGCCTGCACCTCAACCACACCATCCTCGTCCTCCTCGTCCTCCTCCCGCCGCCCCTTTTCCGTCCTAAACCGCCCACCACCAAACTACCCAGGCCACGTCCCCCTCACAAAGATCGAGCGCGCCGCCCTAGGCCTCGGCGCAGGCATCTGGTCCCTTCTAAGTCCCTACCGCGGCGACCTCATCGCCGCCGTAGGCGAGACCACCGCGACCCCCTACTTCATCTACCGCCTCCGCGACGCCATGCTCTCGGACCCGACGGGACGCCGCATCCTCCGCGACAGGCCCCGCATGACCTCCACATCCCTCAACCTCGCCCGCCTGCGCGCCATGCCGGAGAACAGCGTCGGGCGCGCCTACGTAGGCTGGCTGGACCTCGAAGGCGTGAGCCCGGACACGCGGCCCGTTGTGCGGTACATTGACGACCCGGAGTGCGCGTACGTGATGCAGCGGTACCGCGAGTGTCACGACTTTTACCACGCGCTGACGGGCCTGCCGATTGTGCGCGAGGGCGAGGTGGCGCTCAAGGCGTTCGAGTTTGCGAACACGCTCCTCCCGATGACGGGGTTCGCGGTGCTGAGCTACGCTACCTTGAAGACGGGGGAGCGGAAGCGGTTCCGGGAGATTTACGGGCCCTGGGCGGTGAAGAATGGGATGAGAGCCAAGGAGGTGATTAATGTCTACTGGGAGGAGCAGATGGAGAGGGATGTGGATGATTTGAGGGCGGAGCTGGGCATCGAGCGGCCGCCTAATATGAGGGATATTCGGAAGAGGGAGAGGGAGGAGAGGAAGAGGGCGCGGGAGGCTTTGAAGGGGGTTTAGACTCGGCGGATGTGTAGAGATAGGTTATACAAATATTGTATGTTAGATGTAGTTTGTTTATTTCTTTTTATTCTTGGTAGGATCCTGTGGAAATCCCACACGGACAAGAAGCCAATCTGCTACTTTTGCAGTAATGCTTATAAACGCCCTCCAACGCCGGCACGATATCCCCTCCCGCCGAGGCAGGTCCACAGTCTTGCCGTCAGAACCATTCAAAGTCTGCGCAGTAGACCACCGGTAGTTCGAAGAGAAACCCCCCATTTCCCTGCTAAGGAGCACACCTTGGGGCGGGATACGCATGCTTGATGAAACGAAAATCCCCTATTCTTTTCCCCCACCCCTTTCTACAGATCCAACAAGTCGTCATCGTCATCGTCCCACCCCTTGCGCCGGCTCACCACAATCTTCTCCTCCTCCTTTGTTCCCGCCACAGCCTCGAGCAGCTCCTTGAGCTGCGCCTCCGTCACCTTGCTGCGCAGCTGCCCGCTCTGCGCGAGCATGATGAGCCTGTTCTCGACGTCCTGCGCGCGCTGCTCCTTGACAAGACGGATGCGGCCCAGACGGTCCGCCGCCTCGGGGTGCAGGATCTGGTTGAGGATCTGCTGGCGGGCTTCCTGTTCTTGTTGTCTGTGGGTTGGGTGCGCGTGCGTGGTTAGCTGGTTGTGGTGGCGATGCGGTATGGCACACTGGTGGTATTGGTAGGTACATGTAGAGGGGGGGGAATCGGGTCGCGACTGGGTTTGGGTATCTAGGTGTTTGGGAAAGGGGTACGAGGAGCGAGGACATACTGGCGCTGTTCTTGCTGCTGCTGCTTGTTTGAGCCGCCGCCGCCGCCGCCGCCGGAGCTGCCTCCCGCCCCGCCTTGCGCCTTGAGCTGCTCGAGGCGAGCCTTGCGGATCTGGCAGATGCTTAGGTTAGTCCCAGGTTGCAAGCTCTCCGTCGTGCAAAAGGATGTGAGTGCGTACTTGATCGAGTTCAGAGTCGTCCATGGTTGTGGGTATCTGGTGTGAGTGTGCGCGGTCGGGAGGTGGTTGTTTGCCAGATCGTGTTTGGTAGGTCGTGTTTGGTCAGGAAAACGCGGGGCTCCATGTGCCTGACGTCCAAGTTTTTGGCGGGGTTGAGCTTTGGGTCTTTTCGCGCCTTACAAATTTCATGACGACGTGGAGCACCATTTTTTGATCGATTAAGCTCGCCTAACAGAGATAACTTCTTCCTCATCTTGACATGGAATTAATCCTTTTGGCCATTGGACAGTGCAATGAAGACTAGTGAAAATGTGTCTAGTTTTGTGCTTGAATATAGTCATACAATGCTAAACCGCCCATCAAATTAAATACACACGAACCAGGTCCTACAGCCAACCACGGTATCATTTACCTCCTTGAGGTCACCTCTAATGGGATGTACGACCGATTCTTCTCTAGTTGCGCCTTGTGCTTCGCTTTGACCATGCCCACAACCATTTCGTTCGCCGGAAGCTTGACGCCGAATCTACGGCCTCTCTCGATGAAGAAGCCGTTCAAATAATCAATATCCGTCAACATGCCACGCTGGATCTGCAACGCCATCTTGCTCGGCGCGGACCCTTTTCCTCTCAGCTTCCCCATAATCTCCTTGCGCATGCCCTCGCCGCGCAGGATGGCCTGCAGCTCTGGCGAGTTTTTGACCTCGGGCATTCGCGCAACCACGTCGGCGATCTCGTTCAGGAGCTGGTTTATGAGCTTGTTGGCCGTCGGGTTGTAGATGAGCTCCTCGTAGCGGTAGTCCAGCATGACGCAGATCGGGTCGCAGACGGCCGAGAACATGAGCGACGGGATCTTGACCTTCATCCAGCTGTCGAGAGCCAGACCCTTGGCCTTGAGGAGGTCGGAAGAGGCAAACTTGTCCATCATACTCTGTGTCCGCAGCCAGGTGTCTGTCGAGAGGTGCTTCGACTTCTTCTTGCCGTAGTAGGGCCGTACGCCGGCGAGAGCGGTCTCGTACCCGGGCGCCATCACCTTGACCGACTTTGCTTTTCGGTCGTACGCCAGGGAATGGGTCATGTGTCCGAGCATAATCGAGGGGCGTTTGTCCTTCTCCGGAAAGACCCGATTGGTGACCGCCTCCGCGACTCCGAGTCCGTCTTGCACGTAGCACACAGCCGTCCGATCGTCGATCCGATGCTTCACCTTCTCGAGCAGCTTAACGGTCTGACTCGGTCTTCCGGCTACCACCAGATTGCTAATATGTGTATCATCATTCTCCCCTTCCTTTGACCTCCCTATCGCGGCATTCGGTTCGAGCCAAGCTCGGGTATTCCTCTTCACGTCGAGATTTCCAGCAACATCCCGATATGGTGTATTCGACGTTAGGTTGAGTGTCTTGACCGAGTCGTAGATACCGTGCAGAGCGTGCGACAGAAACAATGATCGCTCGTCATTTCCTAGAATATGAACCGTACGCGACGAAGGTGGTGGCGGCGAGTTGTGCCCCATCATGACGGCCGGCACGTAGAAACGTGATGTTGAATCCGCCTTGAAGATGGCGTATAGCTCCTTTTCATTTTGCTCCGGCTGCAGGCCCAGCACTCTATTGAACTTTTGCTTCTGTTCTCCCGGCACACCCAGAGTTGCGCCCCCAGGAAGCGTGGCTGCCATCTCCTTGGGTGCCACTCTCCCAGGGGCGATGCCGTGCGGTGGCGGTCCCGCCCCCAAGCCGAGCTTATTCGAGGAATTGACCGAGACATATCTGATGGCTCCCCGGCCCGTAGAAGCGCTACCGTTCCTCCATATCGTATGTGTTTTGGGTATCCGCGCGGAGAGCCGCGGTCTCGGGAGACTCGCCAGAGTGCCTGCCACGATGGGTGAAATTCTCGGGGGGTTCGGCGCAATCACTGCGCAGTGCTCATTAGGGGATAAATGAAGGGCGGTCGTCGGCAAGTGTGACTGTAACAAATCAATGGGAATGTGCTTCGTAATCTGAAGTGTAGGTGAGGGTGTCGAGGATTAGAGGCGTCCGTTTTGTGGTTAATGAGCGTATAGTCTTTGTCGCAAATAAGAGGCGTCGATCGGTGTGGATGACGGGGACATTCATGGTCTCAAAATTTGGCGCGTGGTAGCCGTGGAATCCCGGCCGGCAGGAGACCCACCCAGATGCGCGGCCCCTGCGCCTCGTTAGATGCATGCAAATCCTTCAACGCCCGGATTTTTGAATTTTCAACTCACGTCTCATCGATGAGAGGGACCTAGCTACGAGTCGTCACTTACATCAACGCGTCCATCTCATTATCTCTTTACACCAAGTGACTACTTGCACACTACTCACCGAAAATCTCATTTTTTTTGCGAACACTTGAAATTCCATCATCATGGCGCTAAAGGACATGGCCCCCGATCTGAAGAAGCTTGATTCTCACATCGACTCTCTTGAAGATGCACTCAAGCCCCTGATCGATAACCTTCCCGAGATGGCCAACGAGCTTCCCCTGCTCGACAAGGCCAAGATGTACGCTCTCACTGCCTACGCCATCGAGACTCTTCTCTTTTGTGAGTGCTCCCATGCAACAGACCAAGACCGCCGTCCCCTGGCTAACCACAATGACAGCATCTCTACGTCTGCAAGGCGTCGACGCCAAGGACCACCAGGTCATGACGGAACTCAAGCGCGTGCAGCAGTATTTTGGAAAGATCAAGAGCGTAGAGGAAACACCTGCGCAGCGGACAACGACCGTTAACACAGAGGCCGCGACGCGTATTCTCAAGGCGGACCTTGTAAGTCGCGTTTGCCAGAGAAGAGACGAAAATCCGAGGAAACGAAAATGAGCTGACCATCACCACAGGGAAGTAACGACCAGGCGCTGAGGAAGAGGCTGGAGGAGAAGCTGGCGGAGGAGCGCGCCAAGGCGCTGCTCAACTCGATGCAGAAGACCAAGAGGCCAGCTCCCGAGTCACCGTCCGCCAGCTCCTTTGGCCCGGAGAAGAAGCAGAGAAACTCAAGAAGGAAGAGCTCTGGCAAGAACAAATCTTGAAAGCAGAGTGTCACGAGAACCTTTACGAATGCCCCTTGGCAGATTTTGATGTTCGGCACTAGCAGAGATACTGAGGAAAAGTCGCCGGCCGAGAAAGCCAATTTTTTTCGAGTCAGAAAGACGCTGCAATATTGAGGTTGCGTGTTTTTCTGACATCACGTTGGAAAACAAGCAGCATCGCAGCCGACCTCACTGCCCTGTGGGATGAAACAAGGAGTTAAGTCAAGATTGGCTGAAGATTAACCCAACAGACTAGAATGACAATAGTGTTTCGCGCACTGGGAAAACGGATACCCCCTAGATAGATATGAATACCAAATAATGAACAGATTATCTTCAACAGCTTATCATTTCTAGACGCCTTCAAGTAGGTAGTCTTGAACCTAGGAATTCAGCTTGAATAGGTGCGTGTTATAAAAGGCTTCTTTAGAATTCAAGTGCCCACCATAAGGATAGCGTTCTTCTGATCAGACTGTCGGAAAGACGTCTTTCTCGTTCTGCAAACTCCATCTTGACTTTCTCGAACACGAAATCGGGATATTGCCACTGAAACTGGGCAGCTACTGATCTGCCCCCTTTGATGAATATACCTTCTCCACCAATACCCCCAGGTAATACCCACCTAACCATAAAAGACCCCTTCCCCAATTCCTGACCACGCCCAAATTCACCCTCCCCTGATTGGCCACACCTCGCCACCCACCCCGGCCCGCCGAGCTTTCAACACCCGAGCACCTCTACAACTTTTGTCACCTTAACCCCGGGCGCATAACTTCTGCCGACTTCCCTCCACATCCACGCCGGCATTTCCTTCTCTCCCTCTCTCTCACTCACACACAAAACCACCGCTCTTTCCACCCTCACGAAGTCACGAACACACCTTCACACCACAGTACCCTCTCTCCCGAGTTCCACACACCAAAACTCCCCAAGATGCCTCGTCAACGCTCCGCCGGCCGCCCCAGCGCCCCCTCGCGCCCTACCGTCTCGGCCGCGAGGCCCGCTCCCACCCAGACTCGCCCGGCAACGACCATGGCCGCTCCTCCCCAACAGCACGCCGCTCCCCCGGCCGCGGCTCCCGCTGCTCCCGCCGCCGCCGCCCCCTCGCAGGGCCCCGGTCTCTTTGGCCAGATGGCTAGCACCGCCGCGTACGTCTGACATCCATCCCATATCCCCCAAGAGACACCTTATACCTTGCGCAAGGAAGCATCAAGGCCTTTAGCAATGACAAACCCAAGAGTTCCTTACCATATACAACCAGAAAGCTAACTAAAACTTCCCCACAGCGGTGTCGCAATCGGCTCCTCCATCGGCCACGCCATCGGCGGCATGTTCGGCGGCGGCTCCTCCGCGCCCGCCGAGGCCGCGCCCCAGAACAACTCCCCCGTCGCTGCCTCGGGCGAGTCCCAGACGACGCAGCAATGGGGCAACAACTGCGCCGGCGCCACCCAGCAGTTCACAAAGTGCATGGACGAGCACAGCGGCAACATGCAGATCTGCAACTGGTACCTCGAGCAGCTCAAGGCCTGCCAAGCCGCGGCTAGCCAGTACTAGAGAAAGAAGAAGAAGAAGAAGAAGAAACGCTCTTGTTTTATTTTCTCTCTCGCGCGTCTGAGAGGGAAGTATAGCTACTGCGTATGTCGAAAAAGCTCAATCCCGGCTGAAGGGCCAGCCGGGTGGTTGTTATATGTAACTTAATAGTCAAAAAACGGGAATGGGAGGAAGAAAAACAAACAGACCAGGGCCTTGGAGCTTTCGCGGAAAATTCATACAGCATTTGCATTGGTGGAAGCATCGAAGATGGGCCATTGAGAAAGACTACGTCTCCCAACAGTGTACAATACATGACATTCCCACTCGTTAACCACTTTGCGCCTCGTCTAATGGATGCGATGTGAAAAAAATGTCGGCCCTGTGGCCCCCTATTCGTCCTTCTTCTCATCCGGCCGCGGCTCAAAGTTCAGCTACAAAATAATCAGCTTCACAAAATCGACATCGTCCACACACACCCCTGTTTCCGGTGTAAGATGGACAGGAAAACGTACCGAGTTGCCATTATACAACTGATGATCACCCCTCTGATCATCCGGGTTCGCAAACTGCGAAAACTTACCCTTCCGCTGCTCCCTGACCGTGACGGGCTCCGCGCCCTGCTCCTCGGCCGCCTCCTGCCTCGCTCCAAGACCGGAGAACACGCCAGAGACGAGGCCCCACAGCCACTGCAGGAACGTCAACGGCAGCAAAAGGAACGTCAAGGCCGCGCTCCCAAATGATGACGACCCCTCGTACGCGCCGACATGTGCGCCGACCGGCGCCAGCACGAGCGTTGAAGACGGCGAAAGACCCAGCTCCGCGAGGCTCTTGCCCTCCTCCGTGTCGTCGATAAGCCTGCTCGGCCGCGGCGCTAGAACAACCTTGAACCGGAACGGCTCCCCGCTGCCCCCGTCCGTCCTCTCGCTCTCGATCCACTTGCGCACCTCGCCGCCGAGAGTCTTGCCGCTAGGGAACCGCGAGCGGATCGTGCACCCGTCCAGCAGACGGACCTGCAGCGCCGTCATGCCGCTCGCGGAAGAGCTCGACGGGGCCAGGGAACTCGACTCCGACCTCGTCAACGCGGCCGCGACCTCCCCGAGTTTGGGCGAAGAAGCCTGCTCCCTCAGCGCAGCGCGCTCAGCGGCTTTAGCCCTCCTCTCGGCGCGGTCGTCCTCAATCTTCCTGAGGATGCGTGCCTTTTCGTCAGCGGCCTCCTGGCGCGCTTTCTTGAGCGCCTCCTTGTGGCTGCGCGTCTGCTCGGCCTGCTTGGAGCTGTCGCTCTCTGCCTTCTCCGCCGCGGCCGCGCGAGCAGCCTTTGCCTTCTTTTCGGATTCGAGGCGCTGAGCCTCCAGGCGCGCGCCGCGTTCTGCGAGGACTGCGCGCAGGGTCGCGGCGTTGTCTTCCTCCTGGGTCGGCGTTGCGGGACCGCGCGGGCTGGAAGAGGGGGAGGTGCCGGGCCTGGCAGGTTGAGTTTCCGTGTTGACGGGAGCGGCTGCGGCGCGGGGAGGGTTGTACGGGGTCTCGTCGTACAGGTTGTCGGTGGGCTGGGCAGCCGGTGCGGGAGGTGTTGCGGGTGTTGGACTTGTTGTAGCTGGTTGACCTTGAGCGCCGCGGAATGCGGTTGTCACTCGTCTGACAAACTCGTCCTTGCTGGTGCCGGCGACGATGTACTCCTTGAGGTCGCCATTTTTGATCACGACTACAGTGGGCGTGTTGGGCAGCGGGAAGATGGCGGCCAGGTAGCCAGCCTCTTCCGATCCCTTCTTCAGGCGCAGTGAGACGGCCTCATCTTGTAGCAACGTCGCAATCTAGGCTACTGGTCAGATGTGAGCCATTTCGTCATGGGTAGCTCAGAAACTCACCGAGCTCTCCTTCAGATACTCGGTCTCCCACGTCTGGCTTTCAGCTTCCTCATCTACATGGCATCAGTGGAAGGCTCAAGCAAAGCTGATGTGGGAGATGTAAGCTTACCCGTGACGAAGCAGAAGACGCATTTGCTCTGCTGCAGCGCAGTAGCAATGCCTTCGTGTAGACTTCCCGTGAAAAACATTATGTCTTGATCAGGTGTTTGTAAACCGCACTGCAAGTTGAGCCTGGAAGTCTGTGACTTTGAGGTTGACTGCTGCTCTGAGAAGATGAGGGATGCGGACGCTGTGGAGCTCGATTTACGTCGGCGCTGAATCTGGATCTGAAAAGGATCCACCAAAGCTTTTGAGGTGTCAAAAAGTAGATTTTTCGTGGTTCCGTCACGACTACAACTTGGTTCTCACTGGAGCACTATCCTGTCGTTTGATGAGTATCCAAGAGCTCAAAGGTGACGAGGAAACAGGTGTCGTCGTGTCGCTACGAACGGCGCCAGGGGACCTTGCCTTAGTCGGGTGTCCACCATGTATCCCTCCCTTCCGGGGCGAACATTGAGCCACCCAATTGGTGCCGCCCCCACATTTTGACGCCCCTCTCGACCGCGTGCTTCTGCAGCTCTGGGCGGCTGGGCCACTGAGTGGTGAGGTACCTTACGATTAGCTCCCAGCTCATCCGTGCAGCGCGCCGGCGCCCAGGTACCCTAGGTAGAAAGATACGGCAGGCCGGACCCCAAAAACCCGAAATATCCTGACCTCACCACCCGGCAAGCTCACTCTCTCTCCCACCCGCATCACCACCGGAAACCACCGCCAACAAGCCGGCGCCCAAACTCACAATGCCGCCCCCGCTACCACGAGCGCTCTTCCGGGCCCCGGGCCCCGCGACACAAACCTGCCTAAAGTCAATCATCCACCCAAGAACATTCCCTCATCCCAGACTATCCCCAGCAGCAGCATCATCAACACCCTCACCAACCGCCCGCAATGCAACCCGCAAATTCCACACCACTCGCCGCCACCGCGCCTCCGAACCAGCCCCAGACTTCGTCTCCATAGTCGACAACCCCCCCGAGCTCGTCCGCGCAGGCCGCCGCCACGGACCAGGCCTCATCATCCTCGCCCTGATCCCCATCACAGCCTTCGTCCTCGGCACCTGGCAAGTCAAGCGCCTCGGCTGGAAAACAGACCTCATCGCCAAATTCGAAGACCGCCTCGTCCGCGACCCCCTCCCCCTCCCGCCCAAAATCGACCCGGACGCCGTCGCCGACTTTGACTACCGCCGCGTCTACGCCACGGGCCACTTCCGCCACGACAAAGAGATGCTCATCGGCCCGCGCATGTGGGAGGGCGAGCAGGGGTACATGGTCGTGACGCCGCTCGAAAGGGAGGGCGAGGGCACGACGGTGCTGGTGAACCGCGGGTGGATCAGCAAGGACATGGCGGACCAGCGGAGGCGGCCCCACGCGCTGCCACGGGGGGAGGTCACGGTCGAGGGACTGCTGCGGGAGCCGTGGAAGAAGAACATGTTCACGCCCGACAACAGGCCGGACCGCTGGGAGTTTTTCTTCCCCGACGTGCACCAGATGGCGCAGCTGACGGGGAGTCAGCCCGTTTGGATTGAGGCTACTATAGGTACGTCGTGGCCCTAAATCCCTTTCTTTTGGAGATTCCCCTGCGGTCTTGTAGGGCTTGCTATGAGATACAAGCTGATACTGACTTTCGTTGCAGAGCACGAGTTCTTCCGCATCGTGGACCTCAAGTCCAAGGGCATCCCTATTGGAAGAGCCGCAGAGGTGAATCTGCGGAATAACCATGCCCAGTATATCTTCACATGGTAAAGCCAACACCTAATTCCTTCGCTATTCATTCCCCCATGGCCCCTCCGCCACAGCCAGTACTGATATCCTTGAATAGGTATGGTCTCGCATTCGCCACTTCAATCATGTTGTGGATGGTCGTCAAAAAGCCCCCATCCGACATCTCGCGAAAGGTGCGCATGAATAAGCATTGGTAATGATGTCACCTTTGGTTTTTCCTTTGAGGAGAAATCGGAAAAGATTTCATCGTAGTGGGAGGAGGTCGGACTCTTCAAGTCACTTCCTACTGTCCGCCGTCAGTTACGCGACGGCGCTTCTTCTTTGGCTCCGCCGGTGGTAGCGGCTTGGGCATCCTCAACTCCTGCAGCAACTCCCTGGGTAGATGTCTGTGTGCCAGGGAAAAGGGGGTGGTCGTCGAGCTGGTCTGGCGTTGTCTGTAGGAATATTAGACACCATTGTATTTGTACAAAACAAAAGATCCGTGGGTATGAAGAGGGATAGCAGTAGCAAATTGTCGATACCCCCAAATTGGAGCTTGCCAACTTCAGAACAGTGAAAGCATCCCGACACGTACCTTCGCATGAGGGTGAGCATGTCGCTCTCGTCAATGGTCTTGCGCTTGGCATGCTTCGCGTACGCAGATAAATCGTCGCCCAGCTGCTCAAAGAACCAATCTGACGCCCTCTGTATCTCGGCCAGCGCGTCCGGGCTAATCTTGGTCTTGCTGATGCCGCTCGATTTCGCAAAGGTATTCGCCAGCCGCTTCACCACCGCTGGTGGCAGAGACGGATACTCCACGTTGTACTTTGACAGCTTCACGCCGCGCTTCGTCTTGCGCAGCCTCTGCTCGACCTGAACGACGCTCACCTCCGTCTCTCCGTCTAGCTCTTCTTCCGCGGCCTCGGTGGGCTCGATCGGCGTTGAGCTGCGCATGTCGTAGTATGAATTTCCGAAACCGAGGTCCTCGTCCATGGGAGGCGCCGCCGGTTCGTCGTCCACCGGCGCGATGTTGAGCGACGGCTGTTCGTCTGTAATCTCGGGCAGAGGTCGCGCCGGTGAACTCTGCCCGTCTACCGCCATCATGAACGTCGTCTGGTTGTCCGCGTCGATGGGCACTTCGAACCCAAAGTCGCTGTCCCGCGCAGAAGCCAGCGTCTCACGCCTTAGGTCCTCGTCCTCAACTCTGTGTTCCATCAATTAGCAAGATCTCCCCTATCGCCAGCGTAGAAATCATAGGAGCGACTCACCTGTCCAAAGTCTCCTCCGGCTCCCTCCCCTCCTCGTCCAACGCTCCGACCTCAAACGCAGGAAAGAACCCCTCCCCGCGGTCATCATCATCGTCAAGGTCCTCGTAATTCCTATACTCACTCAAACGCGCGCTGCCCATGGACATTCGCGACGGCTGGTCCACGTATGCCCGACGAGGGAACTCAATCGTCGCATTCTCATCAATCTGCGATAACTCAGGCGCCACAAGCTCATCCTCGTCGTCATCCTCAACATCCAACGGTAGCGACAGCCTCGGCCGATCGATGGGAAGCTCGTCATCGTCGTCGTCGTCATCGTACACTGTGCCCCTCCTGTCGCCAATCGTCCGTATCGGCAAGCTCGCGCTCGGCGCCGTCACCGCCCTCGAACCCACGTCGCTGGGCGAAGAGGACGACGAGATGGGTTGCGTAGTATGCTTGACGACCCGGCTCAGACCCCGCAGCACGTCATGCAGTGACTCCCTCCGCGGTCGGAAGCTTTCACGGCGCTTGTTCCCGCCTGGCGTAAGGGCCGCGGCGCGACGCTGGTCGATTGTGCGGTAGGCTGCGCGCGCGTGCGGCGTCGCGGCGAGAGAGCGGCGGCCCGAGGCGGAGAGGCCGCGGTAGCCTGAGCTGCGCAGGGAGGAGCGGAGGGGGTTGTTGTTGGAGGGTGTGCGTGGTAGGAGAGACGCACGGCTGGAGGGGGGATCGAGGCTGAGGGCGCGGCGGTTCGGGGTGACGGTGTCGAGGGCGGAAGAGAAGAGGGGATCGTCGTCATCTGCGCCGGCCGCGGCGGTGAGGCGTGCGTTGAGGGGCGTGGTGAATGTTGGTGAAGAGGACATGTCTGGTTTGTTTGCGACGGGGTCGCTGGACGCCGGTGAGGTGTCGCTGTTGGTGTTGTCAGGGAGCGTTGGGTGTCGGGATGAAAGGGACGCAGCCGTCCAGCCGCAAGACAATGAGATTGCTGAACCTGCTTCCCAGTGAGCCGGCGCTGATCTCTCGCAAAAGGCGATCGGGAGCGAGCACGGGTGGTGTGGAGTTTGTCAACGGTACTCTGTGGTGGGCGCGGCGTCAAGGTACCCCCGCCGTCTCGGAGCTTTGTACCTTGGGAAGACGCGACTCTCGACGCGCCTGCCATGGTGCAGCGGATGTCATCAATGGGTAATTTGACGCACAGACCATTTTCAGATGTCCGATATTTCGGCCCCACTCACCGGTTCTGGGACGGGACGCGGCTTGAATTGCACCGTACTATTCGCCGAAAAGATCCCCGGTGCTTTGATGGATTTTAGCCCTCACTGAATAAACTCTTGAGTTAGACACATCATGGATCGCATGGACCACAATCAAGGAGTTCATCACTCGCTCGTAGGTCATACAATGAGCGAGGGAAATCGCAGTAATTGTTCTACTTTATTCATTAATTCGCTTCCCTTCTCTGCTCAGCTTTATGTCCCTTGCCCTTTCCTAGGCAAGTAAGTGGAGGATGGTCTCCTTGCTGTATACTAATAAGGCACCATTTTATTAAGACAACACAAGTTCAAGTTAAACCGAATTCCAATGCTCATCTCGAGTTAGGCCAGCAAAGTAAAACCTCAGTACCAAGAAGACAAGGGCCATAGTGGCACAGTCAGAAAAGATGGGCACGCTGTAACAATACAACAACATGACATGAAGTTTATCTATATCCCTATCTTTTTAACGTGAGAGGGCGCGTTAGATAGTGCAAAAGGCTTCTACCACTATAAATCTAGTAACGAACGCACTCAAACTAAGAACACGATAGGTATGAAGTTTACGTTCTAGGCAACGAGGTGAATGCTCGCGGGCTTGTCTTAAGATGCTGAGACGCTGCATATGTTCTACGCAAGCTGGGTGTGAGTCCCAATATCTCATGAGAACATAATCGTCCTCACGCTATATCAACATCTTTACATCTTAACTTGCGCTCGCTAGCCACTAGTAGGTGTGGCTGGATTATTCGTTCTAGAATAGAATCACGAAAGCGCAGCACGCTAGACCTAGACGGATATGTATTGGGAACTGCTCCGTTAATAGAGTTGTTGCATAGAAACTACTAGTCCTCTTCTCAGCGCAACAGAACGTAGATTTAGGTAGTATGAGAGATTCCAACAAAACGACTAGCCAAAAAGGTGAGGGGTGCCGTTATCGTCCTTGGCCATGTTGCATAGCATGTAGAGTTGGATTGGGCAGCCGGGATGGATGTGAGGCATGGACTACTACGAGCCAGTGCGAAGCATCTCTCAGCTTCTGTGATATGTGACGCTAATAACGCTGTTTGATGATCGTCCCGCGGCTGTTCAGGGCGTGGTTGGACTAGGCCTCTGTAGATCCGTCCACCAGTGGGCAATGCCCAACCGCTGTATCGTGGAACTTCCGACCTCGCATTCAAAATGTCTGCCAGGTCGGAGAATGTTCATGGCTTGCGGGGGTGGTCTATATAGAGGCATTCGCGAGATAATGATGGTACAGGATATAAGGAAGTTGATCGCCGAGATGCAGCACATCTTCGACCAGAGGACACCTTGATACCACCTCTCCGCACAGCACCCAACGGCCGAACGGCGTTCGCACACCCTGTCCGGTAACCCAGGCGCCACAGGTTTCGTGGGCTACAAGACCCTCCTCGCCGCCCTCAAAGCCGGCTTTTGCATTCGCTGCGCCATCAGATCAGACTCCGGCATCCACATATGTGATCCTAGCGGCGCCGAGTATCAGAAACAACACGCCGGCAGGCGACCAGCTCTCCTGGACCATCGTGCCCAACATCTCGATCCCCGGCGCTTACGACAAGGCTGCACACGACGTCGATTACATTTTCCACTGCGCATCGCCCGAGCCCTTTTTCGGCAAGGACGGGTGTGTGGGCACGGAAGAGGAAATCTACGTCAGACCGGCAGTTGCCGTCGTAATCGGCTTACTCGAGAGCGCAAGGAGGCACGCCGCGGGCACTCTCAGGAGAGTCGTCGTTGAAAGCTGGATTGTGGCTATCATCCCGATGTTGTGCTTCACGAGGCAAGGCCTCGACCGACCGGCCAGTGATGGAGAATCCCGGGTGGCGACACCGCCTGCCCCGTGCAGATCCGGATTCGGAGTCTACCGCGCAAGTAATATCGCCGCCCTGAACGCCTCTGAAGCCTGGATGAAGGTGCACAATCCAAAGGTCAACCTCGTCTCCATCATCCCGGCGTGGCTCTGGGTCCTTCGGACTCCAACAGCGTGTTGCTCGAGTACTTGTGAGGCAGAAAGAGCGAGACGCCCATTCTCTCCGTCGAAGACGTGGCTACTGCGCATGTTTGCGTGCTGTCCCCATCGGTATCCGGCAAGCAGAGTTTCTACCGGGACAGGCATGTCGCCGTGGAATAAACCAGGGCTGTCGTGATGGAGAACTTTCCCCAGGCGTTTGCGGATGGCATCTTTAGCGCGCGCGGCCGGCCACTAGGTAAATGACTGTCAGCATATCCGTTCCGACGGATGCTTCCGAGCGCGAGAGACTGCTTGGCCGGAAATTTGTAAGCGGGGAAGACATGGTGAGGGATGTAGCCGGCCAGTCTTTGCGCCTTGTCGTGACTAGCCCGTAACTTTGAAGGGCTAGCACGCATTAAATGCCAATGGTCTATCTTCCTAGGTGCTAATCCAGTATCAAACGAGGCAAGGCCATAGTCCTTTCAAGGAGAAAAGTCAAGAAGCATTCCGAGTCTCTGACCGGATCCTAGGGCCAGATACAGCAAGCTCTGGCATCATGAAGCTCACTCACGACTGAATGAAGTGATGATGGACCTTGCTCGTCCTGGCTCGGCAATCCCGTGAGCCAAGCTATCAGACAAGGTGATGTGATATTGTCCGTGTGCCAGAGTGCGCAATCGGGGGAAACGGGTACGGTTACATGTGAAGAAGCGATCTGTGCGACTTGCGACGAATTGGGTCGGGTTCGTGACGGGAAACGAACGACATCTGTCGAGTGGTTCGAGGAACGTGTTTCTGTAGCCGATAAGCCAATCCAACGCAGTAATTGAGCTCCGGGGGCTTTCTTTTCTAGAGGACGGAGAACGATGGCGATGGGGCCAAGGGTTGGATTGCAAGTATCCGCCGCCAAGGAAGTCGGTGATCTGACCAGTGCTTCCTTAACTTGACAGGAGCTGTCTAAAAAGGAAGAGATAGGATGGGTAGTAGAGATCAGAAAAAGTCAGTAACGAGTATATGATTGGCTCCGGTCTGATGATCTCTAGAGGTTTATAACAGTGGGATATTGAAACGGTGACGGCCACTGTTAAAATAATGAATCACTTGACGAGCCGACGAGAGCTCTCCACAGAGAACGAACTATCTAGGGTAGTGAAAGAAGACGATTCATTATCCGTGTCCTTTAACATTATGGCGAGGGCGGATTACGTGGGTTGGTAGGCCGTCGAATTCAATAAAAGCGCTGGTCCGTTCAACCTAAGCGAATCAGATCAGTTGTCTTCCCGCCTTGAAGTAGTCAATCTCAATATTGCGGAGCAGTATACCCTCTGCAGCATGTGGGTATGACAATATGGATTGACGAGGTGGATGTAAGTGAAAGTGCGCGTGGCCACAGGCCAGTGGGATGGATCAGCTCCAGAGCCAGGTATCCCTTGGACGAGTTCGAGTCGGCAGGGACGGGTGGACGGGTAGACGCGGTTCGAACTTGGAAGGCGAAAAGAAGGAGCTTCAGGACGTTCCTCGAAGTGTTCCATCAATCGCAGAAGTTTGTTACAAGACGTGCGTCAAGTGGCGCCTGAACTCTCATTCTGGGGCGAGCGAGCGGGCGGGCGGGCGGCGAAGGTGGACGGACATTTCTCTTGCACGTGTGAGTGTGTATCCGTACTCCGTATGTGTGTGTGTGTGTGTGTGTGTGGAACATCTAGCCACGGCGCGGCAGAAAGACGAGATGAGACTGGTGATGGCGACGGTAGATGGAGACTGACAAGAAACAAAGGAGACAGCCCCGACTCATCGTCACAAAGGAAACGGAAACAATGCCTACGTACTTCGCGTCTTGGGGCTGCCGTGGTAGTAAAGACTTTGGCGGTGGGGAAGAGGAGACTCGATTGGCTAACTGGATCCCCAGAGGCTGCCGCGATTGATAGATATCGTGGCCCGGCCCCTTGCAAGTTTCGCAAAGCCTCCCAGTTTGATAGACGGACCGGGGCTAAGCCGTTTTAAGCGAACATATCCACTTTACGGTTGTGAGCCTTCCACCCCTGGTTATGTATCTCCTTCCCTCTCAGTTTCGTCGTTCAGTGACCTTGAGATGGGAGCCTCCCGTTTCTTTGGGAAAGCACGGGTCGGAAAGCCTTAGGAAAACGGCAGGACGTTGCTCACAAGGGAAAGGGGGCCCCTAAACTAGCCGGTCTGACCTGATTTTCTGATTATTTACTCCTGGATAATCCCAAGGAGGGAAAGATGGCCGATGCGATGATCCAAATTGCAGAGTGAGAAAATGGACGGTCGGCCGGTGCGATTATTGAATATTGGACATTGACGGGGCCCTCAGGGATTAACCAAGGCTCCCCTGGGAAATGGCGAGAGCTCCCTGTGCGCGCTACTCTTTAGCTCTCGCCCATCACGAATTTCGTCGGGTGACATGCAAGGTACATAATAGCCTTTGATGCTGCACCTCACTGTTCAAGCCATGAAAGAGACTGTGGGCTTTGGTAAAAAAAAAAAGAGCCGATAGTAGAAGATGACGAGTATCGTTCGCATTGCCCTGTTGCCATCGTGATATGGAAAGACGGCTACCTAGAATTGCTCGTCGATCTTATCAACCACCAACAACAGAGTTCCCCTGTACATCAGATCGGTGCAGTTGCGTCCCCTGGTGTTGGAAATATCGTCGTCGTCATACCTTCACGACTGAAAAGAAGAGACGAGTCGATGTCGAGGCGGTCCCAGCGGCACCCAATCTCATCAGTTTGCGCCATCGAGTTGACGTTGGCTTAGCGCTTCACGCACCAGACCTTTTGTTCAGGCACCGCTGTTTGTCTTCTCAGTGTCTTTGGAATCGTAATCTTGGTCAAGGTCGTTACTGTTCCAAAGTGGCGGCACCATCGCTGAGCTGACGTGGAATTACTCTCTTGTTCCCCTATCAACGTCCCATTCCCGTGACGATCCCAGACAAAGTCCAGGTCGAGTTCGGCTCATTCCTCGAGGCACGAAACTGGCATCGTGATGAACAGCTCTGACTGGCTAGTGTTTGTTGCACGTACCTCCAAGTAACTGCTCCTCCACCACCCAGACATCTGCCAGTGCCAGTCAAAAAAGGAAAAAAAAAACCGCCGACAGTAGAGCGCCAATGGCAGCACCAACCACCGACGACGGAGGTCATAGGTCAACACGGACCACCACACCGCCGCCAACCATAGGCATTGGATCTATCCAGATCCAGATCCAGACCCAAGGAGGCAAGGACCCAACACCAGCCCTCTCCTTTCTGAGTTCCTCAACTTCTTGCCTCCCATGTTGCTTAGTCCGCCTCCAATGCTTAGCAAGGTACCCAGGGACCTCAACATCGCCGAAGCTCACCACATCGCATCACGGCAGACGATGTTTGGCTTTCGGTCCAAAGACAAGATGCTTTCGCATTGTCGAACCCATGCCCAACCCACAATGACCGTCTGAATCCACATCTCACCGTCCGCCGTCCACCGTCCACACCCATTCAAGAACATCACCGCCACTGACTGGCCTGCGCCGTGCCCGCCTGCCGGATCTTGACCACCCAATCCAGCCTGTCCTCCTTTCCAAGTCCCATGGAATTCATCCAGCGCCTTCAAACGCAGTGCACCGTCCACCGGTACCTTGCGAGGTTCCTTACCCAAGTACCCGCCAGTGAATTACCTCCTGCACGCGCCGGCTGGTCTACCGGTAATCCTCCTCGCCTCGCCTTGCACACCACCAGAACCAGTCACTATCCGTGTCTATCTAGCTGGGTACCTTGGTCTGCCGCTGTCGAGTGCCCTCTTCCATTGTCTATCTTCGTCTGGTCGCGCCGCATTGCCTCTCCACTGGCAAGCTGTAACTCTCCCAACTGTGACTCTTTGCCCTCGTTGCCGCCGCTTTCCCATTGGATTGGGGACCATCGTGCAACGTAAAGCGCGTTGACGCCGAAACTGTTGCAACCAGGAGCTCCTTGCTGCCCGCGACGCACTGCAGCGCAGCGCAGCGCAGCGCAGCGCATCGCATCGCAGACCGCACACCGGTACGTGCCACCCATCTCTCCTCCCCTTCCCCTCCTCCCCAAACCCGCGCCTGGCTCATCTGCACCCCTCTGTTCAAGTCTAGGTAGGTACCTCACCTCACCTCATACCGCACCTCGCCATTCTTGTGTCGTGCCCTGCTGCTTCGCAACCGTAGCCGTGAGTTCTTTCTCTCTTCCCGCCGCCTTTCCCAATGACCACCACCACCACCACCACTCTCACGAAGCTTCCGTCCTCCTCTGCCTCGACATCGCTCACTGCCACGACCAGCCGCTTCCACTGCCACCACTAGCTGTCTTCTTTGTTACCCAAAGCCAACTCACCAAAACCCCCGTCTTCAGGTTCCATCTCTTCAACACTCCAACTAAGCTTGCTGCGGTCGCGCACACCCACCTCCCCCAGCAGCAGCGACTTGCTTGCTGCTCTAATCTGTATCCGTACGAATACAGCACACTCTCTGTACCTAAGCCTGGTAGGTGTTTTGTCCTGCTGGTCTGCTCTCGGGCTCGCTCCTCTTCTCTCCTCTCCTCTCCTCTCCTCCCCCGGCTGTCCAAGGCTTCCCCTTCCCACCACCTTCAACAACCCCCCGGTCGGCTTCCCCCCTTACCCTGTCCCGAGACCATACCTACTCCGTACCAAAAGGTACCTACCAACCTATTTGCTCACCTTACCTTACCTTACCACCTTTCTCTCCCTGGACCTTACGACGACCCTGCCGCACTGCGACTCTAAACCGCCTGCCCAGTGTGCCCACTCCGACCCCCTCCACTTCCCTTCCCTCAGGTTTCCCAATTGCCCCCATCCCCACTTTCTTTGCCTGAGAAGAAGGTTAGATATACAGGGTACCGTTATCACCCTTTCAGCTTCACCTCCTGCGGCACTAAACCCTTCCGCCGTGTCAAAACATTTCTGACCTCGACTTTTTATGCAGCCATCGGAACCCACCAGAGCTCAGACTCCGCAACTGTCTATTGCTGCTGCCGCGCAGTGTGCCTGCTTCGTTTTCTGCCACTCCAACTCTACTCACTTCTGTACCTTTGACCTCGCTCCTCTCCCGCCGTGCTCTTCAGAATCCGACCTAACCTTGCCGTCAAACAGAGACTATCGTCCTGACCTCCGCTCTCGCCTCGTTCCGCCCGCTCCTGCTACTTGGAACTGGAACCTGAATTTCTGCTGCTTTGTCTGTTCGACACTGTTCGACTCTGTTCGACACGACGCGACACGACACGACGCTTGACGCCAGCCCAGGCCACCCCATCGTACCATACTATACCAAAGCTCTCTATACCACACCCATAATTGCGATTCCTCAGGACCAAACAAATTACGAGCGTTCGCCACCCAGAGAACCGCTCGCCATTCTCCCTGTCCCTCCAACCTGGTGTCACTAGACTTTGAAGAAGCCCATTTCGGATCGATTCCAAATTCGACGCCGCCTCTCTTAACTCGCGAACTCTATTCGCACTAACGATTATCGTGGACTTCAACTACGCATCGCCTAGAACATCACAGAAATGGCTCAGCCAGGAGTCCAGTCGTTGAAGGTGCGTCGCGCTTGCCGAAAGCTATCGTCCTGATGTCAGTGGGAAGGAACCAACGGCTAATGATTTATGATTTTGTAGTGCGTGGTGACTGGTGACGGTGCCGTCGGAAAGGTGAGCTTCCATTCTCATCATACCCCTTGGTGGCTCGCGACTGATCCATCTTGCAGACATGTCTGCTGATTTCATACACAACGAACGCCTTTCCCGGCGAATACATTCCTACCGTGTAAGCAGTCTAAAAGCAATTGACGACAGAGCCCGGTCTGACGTTGAGCTTCTAGCTTCGACAACTACTCGGCGAGTGTGATGGTTGATGGAAAGCCAATCAGCCTGGGATTGTGGGATACTGCTGGTCAGGAAGATTACGACAGACTGCGGCCGCTTTCATACCCCCAGACTGACGTCTTTCTCATTTGCTTCTCCATTGTCAGCCCGCCTTCATTTGATAACGTCAAGGCCAAGGTACGGCAGGCACCTTGCACCACCACCACCTGAAGATCAGCACTAATTTGATGCAGTGGTACCCCGAGATCGACCACCATGCACCAAACATTCCCATCATTCTCGTTGGCACCAAGTTGGATCTGAGAGAGGACCCCAACACCCTCGAGTCTCTCCGCCAAAAGCGTATGGAGCCTGTTTCCTACGACCAAGCCTTGGTCTGTGCCAAGGAGATCAAGGCACACAAGTACTTGGAGTGCTCCGCTTTAACGCAGAGAAATCTGAAGAGCGTTTTCGATGAGGCTATTCGGTAGGGAACCACAAGTGCAAAAGTGAGAGGCAAAGTAACTAACGTGGGATTAGTGCCGTATTGAACCCTCGTCCGATCGCTACGCAGAAGAAGAAGTCCAAGTGCACGATTTTGTAACTGGTTTCACACGATGCGAAGCGTTGCGGGTTAACATTGGGATTGGCGAACAGGAGTGTGTGATACGGCTAGTTTTCCACTGCCTGTTCGTCGGGGCTCAACCATGTTGTACAACCCGGTGCCTTGCGCTTATCCACCGAGAAGACACTACTTTCAGAGGCACACCCACACAAGAGCCCAGCTGAGCACAGCCTGCAAAGATCGCAACAATCCCCAATTATCTGATTTTGCTCACTGGCGACGGCAGATTCATGAGTGACATTCCAGTGTCTCCTTGATCGGCCATGGCAGCGTGACGAATCAACGTGCTTTCGTTATTGCTTTTTTCTCTCTTTCAGGGACAAAAGGCAAAGAAGAGAATGACAGACACAGGGGGAAATTGTTGGTAGCAGGCATGCTTTGCAACACATGACACAAGGATATCCCAAGTTTTCTGTAGATAGCACTCACTCTCACAAAGAAACTACTTTTTTCGCGGAGGAATTTAGACCCTGGGCCAGGAAGGGATGATCTTCGTCTTGAGAATTGACTGCCATTGCAAATACTCTTGGTTATCTACTGAGACTTTGATGTTGCAAAAGTATGATGACGAGTCTATCGAACCCTTTTTCTCTATACCACAACTCCTGTTATCCAATATCAAACCTTCATCCAGAGCTATCCAGATCCAGCTTTTATATACCACAGCTTTTGTTCAACATATCGACCAAATTATACCCCCCTCCCCCCGACCACAAACACATGTCATCCGTCTACTGATACATCATGGCCAAGCGACTGGGGTGGATGCTCTCCTGTTGGCTGTTGGCGCCGCCCTGCTTCGCCCTCTCCTTTTTGTACTCCTCCTCCTTTTGCATGCGCCTCTGGCGATTCTCGTCGAGGTGGACGTTGCGCTCCTTGATCTTTTCCTTGCGGAACTTGCTCTTGCCTCCGCCGCCGGCGCTGTGTGGGGTGTTAGTTTGGGACCTCATATTTTAGATCTTCAGGGGGTGTGGCAGAGCGTCACGGGTTGGGGGGGTTAAGTTTAGTGTGAAGAGGGCTGAGTGTGTAAGAGGAGGGGGGGATAAAGAAGTGGGCAACGTACGAGAGCTCAAGGTTAATCTGGCGCGCGGGGGAGAGGCCGTCGTCGAACGAGGTGTGGTGCATCTTGTCGAGGCAGGTGCGCATGTTGGAGCCGTTGCTGAACTCGAGAAAGGCGATGCCGCGGCAGACGTTGGGGTTGCCGTCCTTGTGGAGGCAGCGGATGGCGGAGGGCTTGTAGGCGGCAAAGTGGGCGTTGATGGAGTCCTTGTTTGCCGTGTAGGGGAGGTTTCCTGGAGAAGGGGGGGTTGAGTGGGTTAGTGATTGTTGTTACCCAAAGCTTTTGAGTGCCAAGGTCGCGTACTGGGGGGTTTCGTGTGTCGTGGCGGTGAGAGAGGAAGGGATGGGAGATGTAGGACTGACTTACCGACAAAGACAATGTACTTTTCCCTCTTGCCTCCCTCGGCGGGCGTCTCTTCTTCTTCTTGGGTGGTTGCTGGCTCAGCTGCTGCTGGTGCTGCGGCGGGGGCGGGAGCGGTTTCGTCCTTGGACTTTTTCGCCTTCTTGGACTTCTTCTCTGTCTTGTCCGTCTTCTCTTTGGCGGGAGCGGCGGTAGTCTCCTCGGCCTCCTTCTCCTCCTTCTTCTTCTTGTCCTTCTTTTCTTTCTTGTCCTTCTTCTCCTTCTTTTCCGTCTTCACGTCCAAGTCGTCCTTCTTGCTCTTCTTGATCTTCTTCTCTTCCGTGACGGGCGGGTCGACGTCCATTGCGTCGGCGTCGGCATCTGATGCTGCTCCTGCGGCCTCGGCGGCTTTACGGGCTTCCTTTTCCTTGCGCTTGCGTTCCTTCTTTTCGGCCTTGGATTCCTCGAGGGCGATGAACTCGGTCGCGGGTTCAGACTCGGCGGCGGCGGCGGCGGCGGCGGCAGCAGCCTTCTCCTTCTTTTCTTTCTTTTCCTTCTTGTCCTTCTTCTCCTTCTTTTCGGATTTGGACTTCTTTGTCGCGGTGGTGGACTCGTCGTCAGCGACGGCGGCGGCCGTGGCCTCGGCGCGCTTGCGCTTCTTGGAGAGTTCTGCGGATGCCATTGTTGCTGTCGAGGGATGTCGGGTTCGGAAGAGAGGACTTGTGGGAGTGGGTGACTTTCAAATGAACAGCAAAGTCAGAAATATAATTTCAGCCCCGTAGCGGTCACCGACTGTGGAGCAAGACGAAAAGACGCGGTCGAGGAACTTGACCAAAATATTTCCACCTTGGAAATTTGTTGCCCAGGGACTGGACTTGCTTTGCTATCGGGGAACCCAAAAAAAAAGTTTCGGTGTGGGGGGGGGACGCGCGATAAGAACCAGCAGCGGCAGCGATTAGAAAATTCTTGTGGGGCTGTTTACCTCACCGCGCTTGGCAACTGCGCTCGCATACGGCGAAGTGGATGCGGTCTATTCGGCGGCCTGGTGGGGCATGCATTTTCGGAGGCGGGATCTCGGCGGGGAGGGGGGAATGGACGGGACGGAGCTATTGATTTGGGCGGCGAGTTTCTTTTTAGTCGTGTAGAAATTCTGCGTCTTGTATTGGGTTCCATTGCATTTCCTTGCGCTGTTCCGGTCACTGCTTGGCTTGCTGGTACTTTGGGAAGCAGTACCATCTCGCCTACCTTACCCAGCCTCTGGCTTGGCGATGTTCATGCCCTGTGAGAGGAGACGAGGGTTCCTCGATGTCTGGTGGGCAAGTTATATTGAAAGTTGCTTTTAGTTGAAGGGCGTTGTCCGCAGTTCATTCTCTTCGAAACCCTGGATAACTCGAGAAGGCAATACTTCTTACCTACTTGACAGATGGTAAATTCTGCCAAGTATCAAAATTCTGCATTCACGAACGCTCTTGTTGTGACAGCTGCGGTCCTCGCGTGCCTCTTTTCTGTCGAGGTCGAAAGAGACGTGCAAGCTGCCTTTGGACAACGAATCCATCTCCTGAACAACATGACGAACACTTCTTGACTCATTTGTTAGAGTAAAGTAATTACACTGGCATCTAATGGATAACGTATTAAAGAGAACTTACGAATGTATCCTTAGAAGTATTCAGTAGTGAACTTGAAGGAAACTGACCTTGGATGGACGTGAGTGAGTCGTCTGGGTACTCGGTCGGCAGTTGACCTGCGCTTCAGCGGACGAAGCCTGCACACTGTGGGAGCTCCAGTGCGGGCCCAAGCACCTATGGATCTCTTCTTAGGTGTCGCCCGTGGGGGTCCAACGCTACCTTACAGTGCGAGGCTGACTTTTTCCCGACTTGCTGAAATTTTCATATGCACCGAGTTCCCATTCAACTACCTTACACCAATCCTCACTGAGCACGCTCAAACCCAAAACTTTTGCCGCCAAAATACTCGCCCTCAAAGACATATTTCTCACCGAAACTGAGAACAACAGTACGTTGCTACGAGGATAAGGATAGCCAGAACTCAAAAGAGCACGACAAAAAAAGCAATGTCCAACTCGAAAAAGAGAGCGGCACCCAGCCAGGACGGCGAGGGCCAAAAGGCCAAGAAGCAGAAGAAGAAGTCGGCGTACCAGGTGGACGAGACGCTCCTCAACGGGGAGCTGGGCATCAACGAGTCTTTTGCCGTCATGGACAACCAGCTGCTCGCAGACTACACCGCGCAGAAGATTACCCGCTTCGGCACAGACCTGAGTACCGTTGAGCTGTCGGATCTGACCATCTCTGGTGAGTTTTGTACCACCCCCTTTTTCCAACCATTTCGGCTTGGATCTCATTTTTCAATATCACGGACATATTCTATCGCCTTTTCCAAGACAAAAAAAAAAGAGAAGAAAGAAAGGAACAACAGCGAGAAATTTCCTCCCTCCATGTAAATGAGTAAAGAGCGTGCTAACCAGGACGGGATATAGCAAACGCCATCAAGGACACCACATCGTGGACGGAACCGCGGGCCCTGGACAAGCTCCCTGGGTTCCTCGAAAAGTTTGCCGAGAGGCCCGACAGGCTGTTCACGGCGCCCAAGGTCAAGGGCGCGCCGCACACCATCGTCGTTGCCGCCGCGGGGCTGCGGGCGGCGGACGTCGTGAGGGCCCTGAGGAAGTTCCAGGGCAAGGAGAGCACCGTGTCGAAGCTTGTGAGTTTCTTCGACCCATTGCCAATGCCATTGCTATTGTCATTTCCAGTAGCGATTCATGGGTTGAGATGGGACGTGGGCTAATGGTGGGAAAAATCGCAGTTTGCCAAGCACATGAAGGTAGACGAGCAGGTCAAGTTCCTGCAAAATACGCGGACGGGCATCGCAGTCGGCACCCCCGCCAGACTCATGGAGTTGGCAGACAATGGTTCGTTGGTCATTTCTTCCATTTCTGACCCTTATCATTCTACATACTCGCCAGGCACCACATCAATCTGTCATGCATACGGAGGGAAAGGACTGACCAGGTATTTGCAAATACAGGAGCCTTATCCCTGGACAAGCTGCAGCGCCTCGTGGTGGACGCGTCGCACATTGACCAGAAGAAGCGCGGCATCATGGACATGAAGGATACGATGCTGCCGCTCGCGAGGTGGTTGACGAGGAAGGAGTTTAGGGAGCGGTACGGGGACGAAAAGAAACCTTTGGATTTGCTGTTCTACTAAATGTAGGGGAGGTTAGGGAGGCTGGCCACGGCGATTAAGGGCCTTGTGTAGTCAGAGCAGGGAGACATTATCAGCAGAGCAAGGGGAGGAGAGGCAAGGCGAGGCGCTGTGGAGGAGGCTATAGTTCCTTGGAAGAAGGAATTCTAGAGAGATGATTTGATGGATTTGGTCTTGGTACGCAGTACTACCGTGGTCACGATGTCGGGAGAGGAGCATCTGCTAAAGGGCTTAAAAGGACATGCTAGAAGCTTGCAAGTCCCTCATTCATATAAAAGGCTTGTTAAGAAGTCGTAGGCGGGGCATCAAATCGAAACCCACAGCGATAGCTGGTGGCTATTCAGACGTCACGTCCCTGCCGTCCCGTGTCAGAATATCTTAAGATATTTTTTTACTACCGTGAAAGAGAGCATGAAACGCTGACGTCTTTCATGCTTGTTCCGGCATGCGGTGAACCAAGACAAGTTCGTCAGCGGTGGGTGATGGGTAGAGTTTGAAGACGGTCGTATGCGGATGAGATTGGTGGTTGAGAGTCCTCCTGCGACATCCATGAAGGCTTTTGATTCCTGATCTATTTACTTGGGTGGGGTAGGATAGATGGCGGAATGGATGGCATATCCCCCCATCTCGTCTCTGTGACGCTCTGGCGGAGTGTATCCTATGCATTATGGCAGATGCGTTATGCAGTTGCTGACACGGTGTGTGTGAGTGTTGGCGGTGGTGGTGATATATAACATTCTGATATCACCGAAAAACTGGGATCGGCGGTCTGAAGTCAGTCAGGCTATTCCCCGCTAAGTCTAGAAGGCAAGGATCGCCTGCGTGGAGTTGAACTCGGCTCCTCTTCAAGTCTCGAGCCCGCACTTCCCGAAGCCCAGGGCTCTTTTTGGGTTTTCGATCCGTCACTTTAATTGTAAGTCTAGATTAGACGAACGCGGCCGTGGGACGCGGATCGAACTTGGCGAGGGGCGTTGGAGTGAGTGTTGCAATGGGTGAGGAGGTTGTGGCCGAGCAAAGTCAAAATTGGGATTTGGGGGGTATGAAGAAATGTTGTTGCAGAGTCGGGATGCCAGGTTGGATGTTTGCTTACCATGGTGTCTGGGACATGGGAGGGCAGGCATGATACATTGTGTACGAGATCGACGTTGAGGGGACAGTTTTAAGATGACAGGAGGAAGGGGCCAGATCGGGACTTGGGATGCCCAAGGGGATAAGCTCTCGGTGACTGTCGATAGTTCAGTCGATGGATGGATGTTGGTCGAATTGAAGAGCAATTTGCCGGACTGTGCAAGAGAAAGTGCTATAGTAAAGCTCTACTCTTGCTAGAGTTGCAAAGCCTTGTTGCAGTGTAAGTCGAGCCAGCATCAACGCCTCTAGAGTAAGAAATTGGCAACATTCCATTGTCGAGCGTTGAAGGAATCGAAACCCTGGCTAGCTCGGAAGCCTCGGCGCGGCTATTCAACAGACTCACCTACAGCAGCCGCTGGTGAATAGCGATGTTCGAGCTAGAAATAACTACCTCAGCTAGATTTGACCACGGATGAGGATACGAGCCTCGCGAAACAGGGCCCGTCCTGGATCGGCGGCCGACTCGAGGCATCTCAAGAGCCCAATATATCCGTATACGAAGTGAATTAAACCTGCACGATGGGCTGCGTGCTATCTTTTAGCAGTGTGTCACTGGGCTGACGTTGTGCGCGTCGCCCCATGGTGAACTACAATGCTCCTACTACACCTTGATACCAGAAGTTGAACAAATTGAGAAACATCCCACGTCCTTGATCCATCTTCAACGCCGGGCACGGGCATTGCTCAGCTCTCAACTGAGGGGAGCTAAGCTCGAAAGAGACTACGTGCCCGTTTTGTCGATTGGGGCGGCGGTGGCGGGTGGTGCGAGGTCTGTGTGGTTTTCGAATGGAGTTGTATCCGTATGTAGAGGGGCTGGCGATCCAGTTTATTCGCTTTAGCCCCGATAGTGGAGTGAGGGACGCCTCAGCAAAAGAAGTCGACCATTCATTCCCTGACTTTGCGGGTGGCATTGGGGAGGGGAGGAGATTAGAGTAGTCGGCTGTCACCAGGGAGGGTCCCGATCTGATTGCGCTACGCTCGACATCCTCGCGTCTATTCATAGCATCCCAACTGAAATCGTCCTCGAGGTTGGAGAAAGCCACTCGCCATTGGTATCCGCGGTTGATGTGAGGTTTTGTATCGCGTACCGACTGACGGTCATCTTTGAGGCGCATAGCAGCAGCACTCGTCATCTTGATGGGCCAGTGCCTCTGCATCGCAAACTGCCGGCGTCGAGGGCGAATGGTTGGTGTCTCGTGCTCTGTTTGCATCTCTCAAATATTCGTACATATCTGGGTAGACCAAGGGAAACAAAATAAAAGCAACACCTGCATCTTTGCGCAAAGGCCGTGCGACGAGACCATTTCTTCTAGCTGTCGCTTGCCGATTCCACACACGTCTTTCCCTCTGTCTCCCTCGCTCTTTCTCTCCCGTCTCCTTCCCCACCTCGCAGCTTCCTTCCGCCGCGACAGAAGGACCTCGTCAGGTTCCTTCCTTCAGTCTGCACCTGCGGCCCAGCTTCCTTGCCTGATGTAGGTACGCTAAGACCACGGCACGGTAGGTAGTCTCGTCTGAAAAAAATCGAGAGTCAAAAAAAAGCCCGAGACATCTATTCCGCTGTCCATTCCAGCATTATTCCAGATCAAGACCTTGCCAAATCCAATTCCAATTCCACGCGTCCACGCCGTTAAACGTTAACTACCTAATTACCCTACGGATACCTTCAGCCACCCAACCCACCTTACCCAAGGTAGATAGACCCTGACGTACCACTCTCGCCCGTCGTCTCCGTCGATTGCTCGTGGTCCCTCACTCGTCCCACGTTAATCCGTCCTCCGTGTGCTCCCCCGGTTACCAGCAGCTGGCTAGGTACCCACGCACAACCGGCGTCCTCTTGTGCAGCACACCACGACTACCACCACCTCCACCACCGTCCCGCGCCCATCCGTGTATCCCAGGCCACATTTCATCCGCGCGATACCCATCACTTCCCCGTCCGACCGGTCACATTGGACGACCCATCCTCCCACGAACCCATCATCGAGTCTCTCGCATGAATTACCTCCGTTTCATCCCCTGCCTCTCCACCTAGACACATCCCCCTACTCCCCTCGCTCACGGTCACCACCACCGTCGCACCGGGGATTTACCTTTCACCAAAGCAAAGCCGCAATAGCTCGCGCCCTCGCCCATCTCGACCCTCCACGCCTCGGAACGACGCCTGTCCTGGCTTCTTCCTTGCCTCGTCCCGTCTTCGCAAGCAGCCTGCCGCCACCTGAGCCCGAGCCTCCATCTCGTATTACCTGACTAGACTTGCGCCGCATTGCTCAAATCCCCCCGACCTCTCAAAATGGCCGACCTCCGCTCCCCATCCGACGACAACTTACCCTCCCACAACGAACAGCGCGACAGAGCAAGCAGCATGTCGCTAGGAAACACAGAAACTCTAGCTGCCTCTCAGAATGGGGGTGCCGCAACAGCAAATGGCGGCGCGCCCGCTGGTGCCGAGACGGGCCCAGCGCCTCCTTCTGAGATCTCGCGCCAGGTGCAAGAAGTGTTGTCATCAGACGTAAGGAGGCCGTCCGCTCTCTCCGGACCACCCAAATACTGACAATGGCCCAGATTGGCATCGCAACCATGTTGAACCAGCTCAAGGCGAGCATTGCTTCCGCAAAGGTGAGCGGGGCTTGATCCCGACCCCGATCCTCGACAAGGACGACAGCTGCTGACGAGAAATCAAGGAATTCGCACTCTTCCTCAAGAAGCGATCACACATCGAAGAAAGCCACGCCTCCTCCCTCAAAAAGCTATCCCGTATAAGCCAAGAAACAATGCACCAACCCGACCACAGGCAGGGCTCTTTCGCGCAGGCCTACAGCGAAATGATGTACATCCACGAGCGCATGGCCGAAAATGGGACACAGTTCGCCCTCTCACTACAACAGATGCACGACGACCTGCTCGAGCTGGCCGCCGTCGCGGAGCGCAGCAGAAAGGGGTGGAAGGCGAACGGCTTGGCGGCGGAACACAGGGTGGCAGAACTGGAGGCTGCCATGCGCAAATCCAAGGCCAAATACGACAGTTTGGCCGAGGAGTACGACCGCGCTCGCACCGGTGACACCAGCAGGAACAGTGGCAAGATGTTCAGCTTGAAGTCCAAGTCTGGCCCCCAGCACGAGGAGGATCTTTTGCGCAAAGCCCAGGGCGCCGATCAGGACTACCAGGCCAAGGTGCAGACGCTGCAAAGTGAGAAGGCCGAATTGATTGCTAGGACAAGACCGGAGGCCATCTCTGCTCTGCAGGACTTGGTTAAGGAGACGGACTCTGGTCTGGCGCTGCAAATGCAGAAGTTTGGTAGGCCATACATCGCTCCTGAAGAAGTCTGAGCTAACGCAATCACAGCGTCCTTTAACGAGAAGCTGCTCCTGAGTAACGGCCTTAGTATCAGCCCCATCAAGGGACAGGGTTCTGGTGGAGGACCGCGCAGCCTTCGCGAGGCCGTTCTAGCCATTAATAACGAAAAGGACCTACATGATTACCTGGCTTCTCACCATTCAAAGGTGGCCAATAACAATGGCGAGGTCAAATACGAGAAGAACCCGATCTTGGCGACCGCGCGGCAGCAAGCAATGGGTCACCAGCCCAATGCTTCGGTTTCAAACATACCTCAGGTGACGCAGTCCGGACAGTTCTCTGGTCCGACAGCAGGGCCAAGTCAGCAGCAGCAACGAGATATGCCACCTCCTGCTAGACCTGGCAATTTCCAACCGCCATCTGACTCTCCCCAAAGCTTTGCACCGCCCAATATGCCGGCCGCCCAACAGTCACGACCATCGTCTCAGCAGCAGCATCCCTCTCCTCAGGCACAGCAACACGGCCGTAGCTTCAGCACAAACAACATGCTGAACCAGCCTAGCCAACAGCAACAGTTCCAG